TTATCATCAGTGTTCTAAACTCTGTCTCTGAAAGGTTGGATACCTCTGTTTCATTTAGTTCCATTTCTTGAGGTTTCTTCTGATCTTTAACTTGGGACATGTTTCTTTGTTTCTTCATTCTGGCAGTCACTCTAATTGCTTCGATGTATTAGATCACCTACAAAGACAAAAAAAGAAAAAAAAAAGAAAAAAAAAAGAGAAAGAAAAAAGAGAAAAAGGGGGGGAAAAAGGAAAAAGAAAAAAAGGGGGGGAGGGGCTCTCCACCTGCTTTTAATCTGCAGACCACTTGTTCAGCAATAGAGAGACTCTGGGCAACTCAACACCAGCTGTTGAGGGGAAGGGCTCAGGGCGTCATGTGCCAACCTCCCTCTAGACTTGAAGTAAGCTTCCCACAATTAGTTGCTGTGTGCTCTGGAACCGTGCTCACCACCAAAAATTCTCACAGGTTGTTGCGGGCTGTCTGCTGCTGCAAAAAAACCCCTGTGGCCTGCGGAGGTAGGGGCCAGTGACCAGGGGCACAGGGTGCCCCTGGCAACACAGCTCTGGGTAGGTGGGGCAGGCCCCCAAGGCACCACAGGATGTGGTCAATGGCCCCCACCACATCAGAGCATCATGTACTCCTGCATCAGCAGCCAACCCACACAAACTCGCCTGGAAAGCCCCGGCTGAATCACGCAGGCGCACAGCTCGCAGCCCTGCACTCCCAGGAGAACTCCCTGTCTCAGCCTGTCCCAATCAGCCGCTCAAAGATCAGGCCAAGCAGCCCGACAGCCAATCGCCACCCAGGCAACTCTGCACGCGCCGTGAGGAAATGAGGGACCCAAGGCGAGTCGCGCACTCCTGGGTCTCAATAAGCAGTCTGTTGGAGTCGGAACGCGCCTGCCAGGCGTCTCCCTGGCTACGCAGCACAAGCAGTGTGTAGGGTGGGGATCCAAGGCCGCATGCTGTGCATGCACACACGCATGCATGCACGCACTCCTGCACCAATTTCAGCAGATCAATGCAGTCCCAGACCTGAGCCTCTGTGGGAGGGCCCAACCCTGAAAAAATGGCGGCCTCCTGTGTACCACTTGTGTGCAAGCTCCACACCGGGGGAACAATGGTCCCAAAAACTTCCAGCTCCCGCGCCAAAGGCACTCAGTTTAGTCCTTCCCACAGGCTCCTGGGCCCCGCTTACAAAGCCACTCCGTCCACCAGGAACTGGGTGAGGGCTCACAAGTGAGCGAGTCAGTTTGCTAAGTCCACTGTTTCTCCAGCTGCCCTCAGCCTCACCGAGTTGACCAAAGAGAGTCTGCACTATTTTCTACTTCCAGCTATCATAGAACTCCTCTTCCCGGCAAAGTAACTCTGGGCTGGTGAGCTCGGTGTGGGGCCTCCCCACCGCTGAAGTGTCCCTCACAGGGTTTGCCCTCTCTCATCTCCGCCCCTCCTACCAGACTCTACATGGCCTCCTCTTAAGTCCTTCATTTAGAGGTTCTGCTCATCTAGGGTCCAGGGAACTTCTGAGGTTGAATATCTTATAAATTATTTGTAATTTTGGTGTGATCCTGGGAGGCAGTCGGCACAGCGTCTGTCTATGCCGCCATCTTACCAGAAGTCCCCCGAGAATAGATATTTAAATGGAGTGCTAATATTACTTTGCTGCTCTTATGAACATCTCATGAGAAGAGGTAGGTGATCTTAATCCAAAACAATAGTCATACTGGGCCCTTTAACAAAAATCAGACTATGAAGTATGTTTTAAATTATTTTCTAAGTTACTCTAGCAGCAGCCTATTTAAAGAACTACTCACAAATAGTCTCTCTCTTCATTTCACCAAGATGACAGCACTTGATGTGTATGAAAGTAATGAAAGTGTTTCTTCCTTTCAAATAAAAGTAGCAAAAAAACCCCAAAAAACAAAATAAACAAATAAAAAAACCTTTCTTTTAGAAAAAATCTCACATGACTTTTCCCTAATCCACACAGACCTTTTCTTAAGTTATTTTAAATTTTATTAAATTTTGCATCCTGCTGATTTGTTTAGCCAATCTAAGTGACTATTCGTTAGTTTTCATATACAGAGGCAATGCTTCTCCATCAAGACTTCACATTCGAATCACCTGCAGAGATTTTTTTTTTTTTAACGTACTATCTCAGTCTCTCCTCAGTCCTACTGAATCAGAATTTCTGCAGATACATTGCAGGCATATATACTTTTGAGATTCTCGAGGTAATTCTGATGTGCAGCCCCATTTAAGCATCACTGTTTCTAAGGTACGCATTTGGCAAAAGACTTTCAATAAGATAATCTAGTCATTAATCTCACAACCCAAGCACTAACTGTTCAATGAATAACAGTAATGATGGAAAACCCAAAATTAAAAAAACCTTAGAAATTTAGTACCTGTTTTGATATATTGTAATCCAAACATTCTCTAGGATAGACCAGATTTCTTGATGCCTGTTGGGCTGGGAAAGATGAGAAGCTGAGAAAATTGTGACTTCTTGGTTATTAGACTTCATTGCAGAAGTATCTTCTTGCTTTTTACCCGCTGTATTTTCAGAAGGATTTCGATTAAGTTTTGCCTTGATCTGGAGAGATAAGAATTACATACAATGCAGTTAGTCCTTCCCTAGTAAGTGAGAGAAAAAGAATGCCAATTGTGCTTACTGGGAAGTGTTCGCTAGTTTTTGTCCCTTGATTATGTACAGAATAGTCGCAGAAAAGTATAAGAGCTAAGAAAAAATTTTCCTTTTCCATTTATATCAAATAATAATTGGGTTGTCAGAAAAGTCATGACGCATTTTTGCAACAAAAAACATTAAAAAAACACGTCATGACTTTTCCCACAACCCAATATTTCCAATCTATTTATTATTGGATTGTCGGAAAAGTCATGACATATTTTGTCTATGTTTTTCAAAGGTCATTTATTTATATAAAGAACAAAGATCAATCAATGATATATTGCTCGTTTTATTCGATAACCTTTTGCCATCTTTCATTGAGCTTCATAATTCCTCGTTCATAGACGGACCTGTCTTTATTTGCAAAAAACTGAACAAGGTGCTGATTTACAGCCTCATCTGAATTGAACGTTATACCACGCAAGGAGTTTTGAAGAGAGAGAAACAAGTGGAAGTCTGATGGCGCAAGGTCAGGCGAGTATGGTGGGTGTGGCAACATGTCCCATCCAAACTCCAATAATTTTTGACGGGTGATCAAACTTGTGTGTGGTCCCGCGTTGTTGCAATGGAACACAACTCCTTTACCATTAACAAGCTCTGGATGTTTCTGGATGATGGAGTCATTCAAACTGGCCAACTGCCAACAGTACACAGTTGCATTGATTGCTTGGTTCCTTGGTAGGAATTCGAAAAACAAAACACCTTTAAAATCCCATCACTCTGAGAACATAACCTTCCTCTGATGAATGTTTGCTTTTGATGTCGTTTGAGGCAAATCGTCAAGTCAGGGCCAAGACCGTTTGCACACCACATTGTTGTAAACAATTTACTTCTCATCACCAGTTATCAGTCGCTTCGAAAAAGAATTATTTTCCTCACGTTTAACGAGCATATCGCAGAGGTTTACACGCGCTGTCAAATGAACTCCTCTGAGTTCATGCGGAATCCAAATATCGAGCTTGCTTACGTATCTCAGCTTCTTCAGGTGGTCATGAATGCTTGAATGATGGATGTTCAATGTTCCTACAATCTCTCGTGTCATGTAACATGGGTTTGACTCGATCGATGCCTTTATTTTGTTGTCATCAACCTCAATGGGCCTTCCTGACCGAGGAAAGTCATTAAGATAAAAATCACCAGCACGGAATTTCGTGAACCATTGTTGGCACTGACATTCTTGTAGAGCATTGTCACCGTAAACTTTATGCAACTTTTCACAAGCTTGACGTGCATTCTTCCGTTTATGGAAGTAAAACAGTAAAACATAGCAAAAATGCACAGTTTGGTCTTCCAACTTCAACTTGTAAAATCTCCAAAACTCAACCAAATCACTCAATTTTTTTTTAGAATGAAGCTAGAACTGTCAGCTGTCAAATGACATAGCAATAACATAGATGTGAATGACTCTAATACTTCTAAAATTGAACTAGTGCCATCTGCTGCAAACATGCGTCATGACTTTTCCGACAACCCAATATTATAGTGACCTTTCTTAGCTAACATGCTAATATCAATTTAAGAATACTGTTTGAACTGTTGTACACATATGGCATTGAACTACAGAGATACCTACAATACAATGATAAATAGGTATAGTCAAGCCTTGAAGTACCTTATAATCCAGTAAAAAGAATGAGATTCAAAGGGCTGTTAAAGAAAAAAAATCAGGACAGAATGGAAGTCTTAGTCTATGAACAATGGTGAACCACTGAAGGTTTCTCACTTAAGAAATGATATACATAAAACTGCACTCTAGGGCTGGCCGAGTGGTGTGATGGTTAAGAGCTGGCTTGGGACGCCAGAGGGCCCCGGTTCGGATCCCACATATGAGGACCAGTGACACTGCCCTCTACAGCTAAGATGCTGAACAACAGCTCAACCTGGAGCTGGGCTGCCATGAGTCGCCGGCGCCAGCGTAGGCTGCAGCCCCTGCTGCAGTGGGTTGCCATGGGCTACCGTGTGTAGCCAGCAGCCAGCATGAGCGGCCAGCAGCCACCGTGAGCAGCCGTCTAGAAGCTGGCGACCGATCTGCCTCACCCGGGAAGAGCGCAATGATGGTGCCAACTTGGGCCAGTGAAGCAATGTCCTCCTCAACTAGACTGAAGAACGAAACGACAGCAACTTGTCTGTTCCCCTTCCCCCAATTCCTCAGCGCTGTCCCCATCCCCCCAATTCCCCAATAAAAATCTTAAAAAAAAAACACAAAAAACTGCACTCTTAAGACAAACTGGAACAGAAGAAGGTAGAGGCAAGAAAGTGGTTAGAAGGCTACTGAAATAATCCAGGGAAGGAATACTGAGAACTTGAATTCGGTTTTAAAAATCGCAGTAAAATTAAAAGAAAATTTTGTGCAAGAAATACTTTAGAAGACTTGGCCAAAAACTAGATTCAGGGACCCTAAGATTTTTTTTTAACCTAGATACCTAGAAGAACAATGGTACAAATAATAAAAATGTAGGGTGTCCATAAAGTCTAGAAATCTATTTAAACAGATCAAACCGCCTTGATTACTTCTGCAAAGGAATATAAAGACAGCTTTGCTCAGAAGTTGAGCACATAAACACAAGCAACACACCTCAGAAACATGCACAAGAACTGATGGAAATTTTTACTTTGATGCACCACATTCACCGCAGTTTTAAGCAGCACATTATACTATGCATTGCTGATGAAGGACAAAACATTGAACATATCGTGTATTATAATATGTAGCAATAAACCACTGAGCGCATGTTTATCTATGTTTCTGTATTTACGGCCACCTGTAGATATGGCAAAAGGAGACGAGCATACAAGTAGATGAGATTGTTAGGAGAGAACATAGCAAAAAAGAAGGGAAAGGCTAGACAAACTGAAGGAGGAAAGGTGGCAACTAGCAAAAAAGAAAAGAGACCAACCAGATAAAAGGAAAGAATCAGAAGTATTCAATCGTAACAGAAGCCAAGAGAGAGGATTCAGGAAAGAAAGAATGGGCAACATCAAGTGCCGAAGAGAGGCTGAGAAAGATTGAGAAAAGGGTAGATTTGATAATTAGGAAGCAAATGATAACCTAATTCTTTTAAGAGAGCGTGGAGGTAGAATTCTATTTGTGAAAGATTAAGGAATAAGTGAGCGAAGAAATGAAAATAATGGTTACAGATCGCTCTTTTAAGGAGTTTGGTAGTTGATGGAAGGAGATAGTACAGTGAGTATGGCCAATGAAAAGTATTTAAGAATAGGTCTGAGCATGTTTTAAAGCAGAGTAAAAGAGCTATACTATTGATTCAATTGATTTTTTTTTTTAAATATCACTTTGGGGGAGGGTATCAACTTAGGTGAAAAAAAGCTCTGATAGAATAGAAAAAAATCTTAACTCTGAGTTTAAAAACTTGGGGTTTTTTTGTCTTGGCTCTACTGTAACTTCTTTGTGAACTTACACAAAATCACTCTATTTCTCTAGGTTTCCGATGATAAAAGTATGGTTTTCAAGGTTATCTTCATGGGTTTTTAGTTTCACACTTATCAAATTGGAAAAAAGGTAACTCCAATACTATTAATAACAGTTAATATTTATTGAGCATTTTTTTATGCACTGGAACTTTCTAAGAACTTTGTATCTATTAGTTCATTTACTCCTCCCAACTACTTTATGAAACAGATACTGTGATTATCTGTATTTTATAACTGATGCATTTTCTGGGTAACTCGTGCAAGGTCGCACATGATAAGAGGCATTAACAGGATTTGACCTCCAGCCATCTGACTGTGAATGGATTTATGATCTCTCTCCAACTGTATAAGTAAATATTATCATTTTCTATTTTGGGGGGCAAGAAGGAAAAAAAGAAAGAAATTATTCTTCGTCTTTCTGCCCATTAACTTAATAAATACACATGAATGAAAAGACATACTTTGCTCTGAGATAAAATTTTTTAATCACCATATAATGCTTCAACTCCTCTGCTCTCAAATACTAGTGTTACAACTATACAAATGGATTTCTTCATCACACACGTATGTAGCACAGACTATGTGCTTTACAAATATTAAATTTATTAATACTCATGACAGTTCTGAAGCAGAGATTATTATTATATTCATTGTACATAAGAAGGAATTAAGGGGCAGAGAGGTTAAACAACCAGATATAAAAAACGCAACTCTTCAAGATGGAGAATCTGAGGCACATTGAGTCTATCAAGTTTATCAACAAAACTGATTTTAATTATTCTACCATATTGGTAGAGCAAATCTTATTTTTCTGGCAGTTGGAAGGCTTATAAAAGAAAAATGTATGTATCCTTTTACTGTTCCCACCCCATTTATATAAAAATCTGGAAAATGATGTTAATTAACTTTCCATTTTGGTTTCTCAGAAGCCTTTTTGGAAGCAAACAAATAATAAATATTTCTCTTTTCCTGATTTCCTATACCTGGTAAATTAAGATATGGGACTTTTTTTTTTTTTTTACAGTTACTATATTTAGATACTTTATCCCTGGAGGTAACCTATTTCTTTTTGTTGCTCAAGCTACTGAAACATGACTAAGTATTTAGGTCATATATGAAATCTGATGCAGTCTGCAAAACAACTCCTGTTAAAAGTGTATTAAAAGTGTATTGTAAAAGCCCAAGCTACATCACAGTTCCCGGCTGACTTAGACAATGAATTGCTTCTACCATGAAAATAAAGGAGCAACTCTTCAGAGCTGTAATTGTGTGAACAGCTCAGGCTGTTTCAGGCAGTCACACTAAAGCCAAATGTTGAGGCAAAAGCACAAATGAGAATGTCAGATTGTTCGCTTGCCTTCATGAATCTCTTGATAATGTAGCAGCTGGAAAATCAACATCCAGGAATAAATAACTTACTAAATAAGAATTCAGGATTTTTAAATACTCGGTGTGCAACATATAATAGGTACACCATTATCTGATAAACACTAAATTTTAACATCATATTTTCATGGTACTTCCTATGTCTAGGTTTAAACTGATTAAAGGACCTTAAAACTTGACATTATTATTTTTATCTCAATCAATCCTATTTTTTTTATTCTCAGTAATCTTAATTTTAAAACTGCTAAGCCTGTGGGTATCCTGAACTTTGCATCTTGTTCACTATGTTTGTATCACTGAAGATGTGATTTAGGGCTCAGTTCCGTGATGAGAAAGGATACTTTTCCCTACATAATTCACGTGCAATACTCAAGCTGCAACCCACTAACTTCCCAGGTCCATTCTTTCCTATTAATAATTCTAAAAGTCATGCTTGTCATAAAAAAATACAACTACCAATGTTCTGGTCTTCTTAAACCGAAAGATCGTTTCACCTCTTAAATCAGTTCTTTTTTCCAGGATTATCAATAATATTATAACTATTATAATATTTCCTATTTATTAGAAAATAGATGCTTCTTTTAAGACATGAGATACTCTCTTAAGCAAGTTAGTTCTTTCCTTACCAACTATTACTAAATTTAGTATCACCTAATCCTTTCATTACTTCATGGGTAGTGAGACGTATGTGACCATGAAAACTCAAGAGAAAAACCTGGCCAAATCAATAGCTCAGAGAGAAAAGAGAACATGATAGATATGTATGTATCATTAATATCTTATCTAGTCATTTTGATATTGAATTTTTTTAACTGTTTCTGGCATATAAAACTCCCAGAATTTTCTAGGTTTGAAATTAGAAGACTGCAGAAATAAGAGTATTACCAGGGACAAAAGTTACACAGTTAATTTAAAAGGGATAAGAATTACATGAAGAGATCTGTTAAAACATTGGTAGGTCAACTGGCAAAGTCTTCGTAAGGAATACAGTTTAGCTAATCGTATGACATCAATATTGATTTCCTGATCAATTATACTAGTCACATAAGATATCCTCATTCTTTAGGAAACACATATGGAAATATTTAGGGGTAAAGGGGCATCATACCTGTAACAGACTCTCAAAGAGTTCAGAAAAAAGAAGTGAACAGGTAAGTACATAGCCAGGTAGACAGGTGCAGATAGTGAAAACAATGAAGCAAATGTGGCAGAATGTTAACATCAGGGAAGCTGGGTAAAGATATATATGGGAATTCTTTGTACTATTCTTGCAACTTTTTTGTAAGTTTACAATTATTTCAAAATAAAAAGAGAAACAAGAACAATATTACTTGGAACCACCACCAGAAGTTAGAGTCAGTAAGGTTTGAGAGAGGCTTGGCACCTGCATGTTTAAGAAATTTCCAAAGTATTTTGATGCGTGTGGTGGTCCCCTAGTCTAGGACACTGGAAAATGAGTATTCAAATAACAGGGCATAGTTCTCTTCTCTCCATTAACTGAAATAACAGAAAATCCCAACAACTGATGTGACACCGTTTTACAGGAGGAGGTACGTTTTATAACTTATAATAAGGATTGCTTATTCAATATTGATTTCACTTAATATATTACTTATGCCTTTAGTATGTTAGAATAAGAATTAAAATATCCTTTACCTACTGTCGTCTGCTAAATACATTTTAGAACATATGTGATTAGCTCCCCTTAACAGCATTCCAAGGGCATCTTACCTCCGTAAATGTTTGCAGTAGTTTGTTTACTTGAGCAAAGGCCTGGGGAAGAATACCATCATAATTTGACCTTGTACTGAAAGCATGTAACAGACTTTGAGAATCCTGAAGCAGGAATTTCACTGTTGTAACATCCACTGCCTTGTTAGCTGGAAACAGAAAATGACGAAGGAAGAAACAGGTTAAGAATGAGCATACCACACAAAAATGTCTTTGGAAAATCAATCTAATATTAATTATGAAATTTAAAAAGAATACCCATTTACACCTACATGCCACTCCTAATTTATCTCTCTGGTGTAAAAAGCAACGATTGAACAGACTGAGTTACAGACAAAGATCTTGGAGTCGATTCTGGTATTGTGTATTCAGAGTCCAAGAGTTCCCTCAACATGGTCAACTCCAAAGCAAACGTAAAGTGAAAGAACACTGTGCTCTTCAGAAAAGAGAGATAATCACCAAACAAATGAGTTAACTACAGAATTTCAAAACTGAGGTTGTTTCACAAAGAGATTACTATGGAGGCATCAGAGGAGTAACATTTTGGTGGTAAGCACATAAATTCTACATGGTACCACTCTATCAACTCAGTTATGTAATGGTTAATCTTCAAATTCCATTACATGAAATGTAATACTACATTTACTGAAAATAATGTGTTCTCTCTCCTTGCTCAACACAACTGTAGTAAAAAATAAATAATTTGTAACAGTACGCTGTGGTCAAAAGAAGCTAGCAGAATTTTTTCCCTTGTAAATTAGCAAAGTGAGTTAATCAACAAGTAATAATATAAAGGTATAATGGTTGTCTCTCGAGGAACTAAAATTACTTACATAAAAATCTTAAATCAGGGGCCAGCCAAGTGGCTCAGTTGGTTAAGAGCACGAGCTCTAAGCAACAGGGTCGCTAGTTTGATTCCCACATGGGCCAGTGAGCTGCGCCCGAGCTGAGCTGCCACTGAGCTGCCAACAGGTGGCAGGATGGCTCATCTGGTGAGAACACGTGCTTCTTACAACAAGGTTTCCGGTTCGACTCCCACATAGGATGGTGGGCTGCGCGCCCCCAGCAACTAAGATTGAACATGGCACCTTGAGTTGAGCGCCCCAAGCTGCCGACGGGTGGCCGGATGGCGACTGGACTTGGAGCTGAGCTAGCTGCGCCCTCCACAACTAAGATTGAAGGACAACAACTTGGCTGTTCCCCTTCCCCAATCCTCCAACACTGTTCCCCTCCTCCAATTCCCCAATAAGATCTTTAAAAAAAAAAACTCAAACTAATTAGGAGAGGTGGTGACAATTTCAACCATTTTAAAAGTTATGAACAATGAAGTTAATTAACTTTCTAATGTCACCAAAACTCAGAAAAAAATCCTTCCCTTATTAAGATAAAATGCTGCATAAGAATTTTCAAAGGCATTTAAAATAGCCATGCTACAACATGTTTTATTTTCTTGTAATGTTCAGGTTCTCCGAAACACCAGCATGGTTTTTCACTGGCACTCTGAGTTAAAAAAACAAAGAGCTCCCTATATCACTTACACAACAAGCATTTGCTTGTGAAATACTTGAAGGTCGAATGAAAATAAAAGATTTTCATAATCACACAATATTCAGAAATTCTAATCTAATGCAATGGTTACAGCCAAGTTTCTGGCTTCCCCAAACAGTATGTTTCCTTACAAAACACTTTCAGTTATTTTTAAGGTCAATGACTAGTTTAAATTCCTGTGGGAAAAGAGATGAGGGAGATTCTACACACAGAAGAAAAGGCAGATTTGATAAACCTAGTAAATCTCCTGAGGAGGAGAAATTGGGCACAGCTTTTTTTTAGAGGCGTCTCCAATGTAGTCTATGCTCAGTAAGGCTCATATCCTTGAATTAATCATTTTATTTCTGTCTTACAAAGACTCTTTGTGGGGGGGGATTAGGGGTGGAGAACAAAATGTTGGGAAATTGGGGGAGGGCAACAGTGTTGGGGGATTGGGGAAGGGGACAAGTTGTTATCCTTCAATCTTAGTGTGGAGTGCGCAGCTAGCTCAGCTCCAAGTCCAGTCGCACCACTCAGCTCAAGGTACTGTGTTCAATTAGTTGCGGGTGGGTGTAGCTACCATCCCATGCGGGAGTCGAACCAGCAGCTTCGTTGTTAAGAGCACACATTCTATTCCCTGAGCCACTGGGGCGGCCACTCAGCTCAAGGTACCAAGTTCAGTCTTCAGTTGCAGGCGGGCATAGCCCACCATCTGGAACAGGCAACCTTGTTGTTAGGAACATGTGCTTTCACCAGCTGAGCCACCCTGCCACCTGCTGGCAGCTCAGCAGCAGCTCAGCTTGGTTGCAGCTCACTGGCCCATGTGGGAATCAAACCGGCGGCCCTGTTGCTCAGAGCTCACACTCTTAAGCTAATTCTTAACCAACTGAGCCACTCGGCTGGCCCACAAAAACTCTTTCTAAAGATTATGGGGAAAAGGGAAATATAACAGTGATAAGTTCAGCATGCAGACACAATATAAAAAGAAATCTAAATGACTGAAATAATTTAATACTTATATAGGAGCAATAATTATTTTGACTAAAGCTAATATGGATAACAAAGTCATTTTCCACACAAATTCCTATAACTTGATCTAAGGATACAAGTTTGGTATTCTGAAGTTAAACACATATGTGTAATTCAACAAAGACAGTAAGCAAAATCACAACCTGTGATTCATCTAATTCAAAATTATTTTACAGCAGAAAGCACTTTTATCGTTCTTTTAATACTGTTCAAAGTCAGTAAACATTAGGCATCAGGTTCTTATCTAGACCAAGGATCAATAAATGGTGCACACAATAATTCCAGAAATGATTTTTTAGCAGAAGGAATGGTCACCGTCCCTTCACTTCTTTCCCTACTGCCATATTACAGCTGCTGCCTACTACCTATAAGCTGTGCGTCAGAGCAAAACACTGGCCACCCCGGGAAGAAACAGACAAATGGAAGATGGCAACTAGATACCCCATTTTTGAAACTAAATCTTGTTCAAGATCATACGTGGTTTATGGACTTTGTCTTTTTATGGAACCAACTAAATTATGCCTCTAGTAAAAGATATGAAAAATGTTTCATGTATCTTGTAAAACTGCTTTGAAGACATGTCCAACATGTGGTTCTATGACCCTGATATAATAATACCTCTAATAAATAACTTCTATAGTTAAAGACAATGCCTGGAAAATGTCTTTCTTTTAAAAATGGTAACTTTGAAAAATAGGTATTCATGCCACATCCTCCTTTTACAGGTCATAAGGCACTGACTAGGCATTTTAGATCCCCTGGGGTTTTACTCTGCTTTTTAAAAGGTATAGCAAGACAATTCTAGCTGTTTTTTTTAAAAAGATTTTATTAGGGAATTGGGGAGGGGAACAGCGCTGGGGAATCGGGAGAAGGGGAACAGAGAAGTTGCTGTCCTTTTGTTCTTCAGTCTAGTTGTGGAGGTCGTCACTTCACTGGCCCATGTTGGTATCATCATTGTGCTCTTCCCGGGTGAGGTAGATCGGTCGTCGGCCTCTGGACGGCCGCTCATGGCGGCTCTTGGCAGCTCACATCAGCTGCCGGCTGCTTACACTGGCTGTTGGCCACACACGGTAGCATATGGCAGCCCACTGCAGCTTCACTGCAGCCTGTGCCGTCGCCGGCAACTCACGGCAGCCCAGCTCCAGGTCGAGCTGTTGTTCACCATCTTAGCTGTAGAGGGCAGTGTCACTGGCCTTCATGTGGGATCCGAACCGGGGCCCTGCTGCTCAGAGCCGGTGTCCCAAGCCAGCTCTTAACCAACGCGCCACTTGGCCGGCCCCAATTCTAGCTGTTTGACTTTGGACAAATCACTTACACTCTCTGGGCTAGTTTCCTTGACTACAAAACACGGGCTTTAATCACATTAGATCAATGCTTTTCACCTTTTTTTCTTCTTAGCAGAGAAACTTTTTTTTTTTCCAAATCCTACATAGAATCTCCATATATAAACAGATAAAAGAAAGCTGCTTGGCTATAAATATAAAGTAGGGTTGAAGGCCAAAGGCCCACCAGGCCCCCAGGCTCCCATCAGCCTCTCCACCTCCAAATATTAGCAGCTCAGGAAGCCTGAGGTGCTGTTCGGCACAATTTAAAAGCCACCAACTAAGTGGCTGACTGTCGTCTCTTCTGCTTTGAAAATTCACTATGCACCACAGCCAAAGGATTCTTATTCCTTACCGTATATTTTAGCTAGAACCCTTGATACACTATTTCTAAAATTAGTCCATGAAGTGTGATCAAAATTTGTGTTAAACACAGTGAGAAATGAAAAAAAAATCTAAATAATTTGATTTGCACACCTGAATAAACTAAGAAATACAGTTTTAAAAGTTTGCAAACATTATTGAAAATTATATATTTACAATATCCAGGAACAACGACACCATTAATAGTCACAAGCTCTATGAACTGCATCCATTCATCCAGCTGCCACAAATTCCCTTTATAAATGATTAAGAATGAATTCACGAACTTATTAATTTATCTTCACATTCCATTGAATGTTATCTGCTAGACTGACTTTAATACATACTGCTAAAAACATCATAAAAGATTCATACCTTTACAGAGATTTTCATACAAGCTCTCAACGGTTAAAAGCAAGTTCTTTTCCATGACTAATCCAAATACAGCCAACCAGTGTTTTCTAAAGCACTGTAATAAATGCATTAGGGTCCATGGTGGTTTCAAGTACAGCATCTAAAATATATTTAGAAAAAATTAGCATTTACTGATTAACTTATTATTCCTATTATTAAACAGTACAGTTGACACTTGAACAACATGGGTTTCAACTGTGCAGGTCCAGTTATATGTGGATTTTTTTCAATATATATATGTACAGAACTGCAAATGTATTTTCCTTATGATTTTCTCACTGACATTTTCTTTCTTCTAGCTTACTTTACTGTGAGAATACAGGATATAATACATGGCTGTTTATGTTATCAGGAAGGCTTCTGGGCAACAGTAGGCTATTAATAGTTACATTTGGAGGGAGTTAAAAACTTACATGTGGATTTTCAACTGTGTGGGTGGATGGCACCCCAAAATCTGACGTTTTTCAAGGGTGAACTGTACTTATTTAGAAATTCCTGCATATATTTCTGGACAAAATATAGCTAGTTGAATTCTTTCTAAAGTAAAAGATGTTTCATTAAAAGCCAGTCATACTCTTAAAATGCTAATTCCATTGCAAATTGTTTCTATAAAATTCATGTTAGTATTAATCCTCATATAGTTTTAGAAACTATCTGTGCAAAAAGAAAGCACAGTTCTAATTAGAAGCACAGTTTCAATTAGCAAAGATCATCAATCTACTTTAGAACATGGTCATTTCTATGAGGAAATCAATCTATTTCACGTAACTGGTGGAAAAAAATCTGTATAGAAAAAAGCTGTCAATTATAATTGACATTTGCTACACTCTTACAAAAATATGTTTACAAAGATTGATCATTTAGTACTACAAGATGTCAGCACACCCTTTTCTTGTTTCAGTCATATAAAATTACTATCTTAGACTCTATTATGAAATATCCAATTTAAGTCAACCCTCCTAGAATCTTTCATCTGATCATTCTTCATCATCTTGGTTCAACACTTGATAACATAATCAAGCAGCAAACACACTAGATTGGCAAACATTAGAATCTCACTGAATATCTGGAATACATACAATTTATAATTGATGGCAACTAATTTTTCTCCTAGCTATAAATGTAAACAGCAAACAAACATTAAACTAAAAAGGCCCTTCTGCCAAATGTGATGTTTTACCTATTGCAGAAAAGATGTGAATCCAAAGAAAATTCAAAGCCAGCCAAGTGGCTCAGTTGGGTAAGAGTTAGCTTAAGAGCACGAGCTCTGAGCAACAGGGCCGCCGGTTCGATTCCCACATGGGCCAGTGGTGCTGCGCCCAAGCTGAGCTGCCAACAGGTGGCAGGATAGCTCAGCTGGTGAGAGCACGTGCTTCTAACAACAAGGCTGCCGGGTTCGACTCCCACATGGGATGGTGGCTATGTCCACCTGCAACTAAGACTGACTCGGCACCCTGAGCTGAGAGCTGCCGCCTGGATGGCTCAGTGGATAGAGCATGCGCTATTAACAACGAGACTGCTGGTTCAACTCCCACATGGGTTGGTGGCTATGCCCACCGCAACTAAGATTGAACACAGCACCTTGAGCTTAGAGGCCATGAGCTGCAGACGGGCAGCCGGATGGCGACTGGCGGCCTCCACAACTAAGATTGAAGAACAACAACTTGGCTGGTCCTCCTCCCCAATTCCCCAACACTATTCCCCTCCCCCAACTCCCCAATTTAAAAAAAATAAATAAAAAAAATTCAAAAAAAAATTCAAAATATCTTGCTAATATGATCAATTTTATATTGATTCTCATATTTACATGCCATAAGCCAAAATATTCCTTTGTTTTCCTGAATACATATTGCTGGGGGAATTCCTTATAATAGACATTTTGCACAATAAATTATTATGCACAATAAAAATTGTTCACTGAAAAAAAAACAATAAAATACAGTCCTAATCTTTAGGAAATATCCATTATTTAATTTTCAAAATGTTATTTCAAAGACGTCAAGAAAAAATATGTGACATAGATTATTACCATGAAGCTTACACATTTTAGACAAAATTTCTTAAAATAAAGCAACCAATCTTTAGCAATAAAAAAGAAATTTTCAACTAATAGGTCTGAAATAATCACCTCCATCCAGAGATTTCCAAAAGCAATTTTCATTTCTGTTTCTAATACTGAAGATAAAGCTGTTCCAAGAGATTTTTCAAGATCAGATATTATGCTTTCAAGCAGAATGGGCAGTCCAGAATTTGTAGATTCTTCCTCAAAGCTCTCTTTCAAAGGTGTTGATTCTTTAAAACAGTTACAAGCTTTACTTAGGACACCAATAGTAAAAATTTTATATATAATTAGTATTTGGTCACAAATAATAAACGTTTTATGTATATAATTAGGATTTGAATTACCTAGAAAACAAATACTTTATTTTAAAAATAGTATTAGAAACATGTATCTCTAGTATAATTGTTTTAGATGTAATATAAACATATTACATTAGCAAATGGTTTATCTGTTTGACAATATGTCAATAATGTTTTGAATTTATGTGTAATAGAAGAAAATGGATCAACACGTGTTTTCTTTCCAAAATAGCATATTCTTACAACTCACATCCATTAATTTTTTTGCATGGACTGAAATCTCTGACCTAACTACCTTTATGCCCTCCTCTTTTAAAATGAGTTTTTATTATTTTAACTTTTATTATTTAATTAACATTACTATTTTGATACCTGAAAACTGACTATAATTTCTTTATGGCAAAATTCAAAACATTAAAGGGCTTATTTATACGAATACAAACTAAGGATTTAAAATGACAGTAATATATTGGTTAAACTGAAAGCATGTTACCCCTAAAAAACCATATTAGAATATCCTGTTACTCCTTCTAAATGCCATTTTGAATATTATCACTAAAGAAATTTTATTACCAAAATGTCAAATTAGAATCATGGGTATATATGAATTTTTATACAGTTATATAAAAGTACATACAATATTAGAGACTTCAATAATTATTTTCCCCACAAAGGGAAAAGGTGGTATGTGTTTTTAAATTATGTCAGATTTCATGTAATATTCCATCAAATATCAAACTATAGAACAGATTATTCTGGGGGGAAAAAAGCCTTTAGCTTTCTTAACTATTAGTTTAAAATTAACCGAAAAACACTATTATTGTCAAGTTTTTCTATTATTTGGTTTTTACAGAATTAATAGTTATGAATATTAAAATCATTTTAAAATGAAACTAAAAATTTCTCTCCATTTCAAATGACTATTTCCTGAAGCCACAATGTAAAAATGTGAGAATACAAACAAAAATTCAAATCAATTTGTAAGAGTGTACATAGAAGGCAATACCGTTAATTACATTTTCTTTTGAATTACCATTATAATTTTCATTTATTTCTACTATTTACATGCGAGCAAATATTTCAAACAATGTTATTTTAAATGTTCAAGATGAAAATTTGCTATTAATTCCAATTGTTATCCATAATCTTAGTATATAAAATAAGATATATTTCTAATTATTTGTAGTAAGAATACTACCTGCTTTCAATTGTTGCTTAGATATACAAGGCTGGTGACATACATCTGTGTTCAGAGATAAGTTTAAGAACTCTGCACTCAATTCTTCTTTACTGAGTGACTTCACACCACTTATTAGGCCTTTGTTTCTTAAATTTTTATCATCCCTAAGGTTGGGTTAGGAGGAAAAGATATTTTATTTTTTATAAGATAAATCACATGGCAACTCAAAACACATGGGATCTAATCAGAGATTTGGGATTTTCAGTATATATATTTACAAAAGAGAACAATTTTTTTTAATAGAGAAGATAAAGGAATTAACATATAATAGAGTCACATCACATGAGATTTTGAGAATAACAACATCCAAAGAGAAATAAATAGGGAGAGTAATAGCAAGAGAAACAATTTACACAGGGCAGGCAATTACAAACTATTCAAAGTGAGCATAAGACAAACGGTGTGAGTTTGTTATTTGCTGAAAGAAGTCAGTATGATTAGAGTACAGCGCATGAGACCAGTTTATGTGGCTACGGAGAACGGCAAGGACATGAATAAAAGGAAAGACATGTAAGGGCTTCAGTGGGGAAATGACATGATCAGATCAGTGTTTATGAAATTGTTCTGGAATCTAGCAGGCTTCCAGCTTTTGTTAATGGAAGAGTAGCTTGGTCAGATTAACCCTCCCACATATGAGGATATTAAAAGATCTGGACAAAAAAGAAAAAAAACAAAAGCAAACTATTTGAAGGCACCGGAGAGCACCAACGTAGGCAGAAGCTGGATGGGCATCTACCCTCAAGACCAGAACCGGCGCTGATGCGAGCTGCAGGTTTCTATCTTTTTGCCTGAGGGCATTCACCAGTTCATCAATGTCTTCAGACAGAAAGCCACAGTCTTAATGGCTTGAAATGTCAGAAGACAGTGTTCGGAGCTGGCCAGAGCAGGTTAAGAGGGAAACTGAAGACGCGAGGAAACCACAGAGCAGGTGAGCCCTAAAATATGCATATAAATTCTGCCCAGAAAAAACAACACACGGCCAAGAGACAAAGCAGTCAACAGAACCAGACTCAGCTATGACACAGAGGCTGAAGCTATCTGATAGTGAATTTAAAATAATCTTGATTAATATTTTTAAAGGGTCTAATGGAAAAGTTGAATAGTATGCAATATCAGATGGGCAGTATCAGCACAGATAAAAAAACATAAGACGGAAGTGCTAGAAATAAAAACAGTAACAGAAATCAAGAATGCCTTCAACAGGCTCCTCAGTAGACCAGACATGGGCAAGGAAAAAACAAAAAAAGTTGAAGATAGGTCAAACTAAATTACCGAGACTGAAACAAAAAGAGAAGGTTAAGAAAAAAGTCCAAGAGCTGTGGGACAATATGAAATTGTCTAACATATGTGCATGTATTGGTTATATACTGCTGTGTAAGAAATTATCCCAAAACTCAGCAATTTAAAACAAACATTTATTATTTCACATAGTTCTTAGAAGTCAGGCAGCTGGACGGGATGGCTCTGGTTCAGGGTCTCTCACAAGGCTGGACCATGCTGTTGCCTAGGGTTGCAGCCGCCTCAAGGTTTGATTGGCACTCATTCATGTGGTCATTGGCTGGCCTCAGCCCCTCACTGGTTTTTGGCCGGAGGCTTCAGTTTCTCACCACGTGGGCCTCTCCCTAGGGCCGCTCACAGCATGGCCGTTTGCTTCCCCAGAACAAGCGATCCAAGAGAGAGGAGGAAGCAAGACAGCACAAGAAGGAAGTCCGAGTCTTTTCTAACCTCCTCTTAGACATGACGTAACACAACTTCTGGTGCATGCCATTTGTCACATAGATAGCCAACTCTGGCACAGTGCAAGAGGGGACTACACAAGAGCACAAAACTAGGGGGCAGAGATCACTGAGGTCGTCTTAGAGGCTGGCTACTACAATGTAATTCTATAATACCAGAAGCAGAAAACAGGGAACAGGGCAGAAGAAATATCTGAAAAAATAATGGTTGAGAATTTGCCAAAACTAAAGACAGACACCAAACCGCAGATCCAAGAAGCTCAGAGAACAACAAGCGGGATAATTCGCTCTCCTCAACACACACATAAACAACTGGGAATATCTGTTAAAAACTGCTAAAACAAACTGCTAAAGAAGCAAAAGACAAATCTTGAAAGCAATGATGGGGGAAAAAAGGCACACTACATACAGAGGAACAAAGATAACATTTACAGCAGACTTCTCATCAGAAACCATACAAGCTACAAGAAAATGGAGTGACATCTTTAAAATACCAGGAAATTCTACCAAAAAAACTATTAGAACTGATAAATAAATTTATAATAGTAAAGTAGCAGGATACAAAATTAATATTCAGAAATCGGTTGCATTTTTATACACCAATAACGCGTATCAGAAAGAGAAATTAAGAAAATTTACAATTGGCATCAAAGAAATAAAATAAAATGCCTAGGAATAAATTTAACCAAGGAAGTAAAAGACCTGTACTCAGAAAATTATAAGACGTTGAAGGGAGAAATTAAAGAAGATACAAACAAATGGAAACATACTTGTATACCATGCTCATGAATACAAAGATTTAATATAGTTAAAATGTCCATATTACCCAAAGCAATCTACAGATTCAGTACAATCCCTACCAAAATACCAATGGCATTTTTCACAGAACTAAAACAAATAACACTAAAATTTATATGGAACCATAAAAGATCCCAAATAGCCACAGCTATCTTGAGAAAGAAGAACAAAGCTGGAGGTATCACGCTACCTGATATCAAACTATACTACATGGCCAATAGTGATCAAAACAGCATGGAATTGGCATAAAAACAGACACATAGATCACTGGAATACAATAGAGAACCCAGAAATAAATTCATGCAGATATGGTCATTTAATCTATGACAAAGGAAGCAAGAATATACACTGGGGTAAAGACAGTCTATTCAATAAAAAGTGCCGAGAAAACTGGACAGGTACATGCAAAAACAAAACAAAACTGGATCACCTTCTCACGCCATATACAAGAATAAACTCAAAATAGATTAAATACTTAAATGTAAGACCCAAAATCATAAGCTTATAGAAGAAAACATAGGCAGTTAATTGTCAGACATTACCCTTAGTAATATTTTTACTGATATATTTCCTTGGGCAAGGGAAGTAAAAGAAAAAATAAACAAATGGGGCTACATCAAACTAAAAAGTTTTTGCACAACAAAGAAAACCATCAACAAAATGAAAAGACATCCTACTGAATGGGAGAAGATATTCGCCAATGATACATCTGATAAGGGATTAATATCCAAAATCTATAAATAAACTCATATAACTCAACACCAGAAAAACAAACAATGCAATTAACAAATGAGCAGAGGACATGAAGAGCTATTTCTCCAAAGAGGACACACAAATGGCCAATAGACATATGAAAATATGCTCAATGTCATAATCATTAGAGAAATGCAAATAAAAACCACAATAAGATATCACCTCACACCTGTCAGAATGACTATCATCAATAAATCAACAAACAAACAATAAATGTCAGTGAGGATGTGGAGAAACTCTAGTGCACTGTTGGTGGGATTGCAGATTGGTGCAGCCACTATGGAAAACAGTATGGAGGTACCTCAAAAAATTAAAAATAGAACTGCCTTATGACCCAGAATTCCACTCCTGGATATTTATCCAAAGAAATCCAAAACACTGATTTGAAAAGACACACTCGTATGCACCCCTATGTTCACTGCAGCACTATTTACAATAGCCGAGATATGGAAACAATAGAAATGCCCATCAATAGATGAATGGATAAAGAAACTGTGGCACATTTATAAAATGGAGTATTTACTCTGCCATAAAAAAAATGAAATCTTACCATCTGCAAAAACATGGATGACTCTAGAGGGTATTATGCCAAGTGAAATAAATCAGACTGAGAAAGACCAGTTCCATATAATCTCACTTATATGTAGCCTCTAAAGAACAAAATAAATGAACAAACAAAACAGAAACAGATCCATAGAAACAGAAGAACAAACTGATGGTTACCAGAAGGGAATGGATTTGGTGGGGCTGGGTGAGAAAGTTGAAGGGATTAAGAAGTACATATTGATAGTTACAAAAGAGTCATGTGGATGTATGCGGAATATGGTCAATAATATTGTAAAAACTATGTATAGTGCCAGATGGGTACTAGACTTATCAGGAGGATCACTTCATAAATTATATAAGTGTCTAATTACTATGCAATATATCTGAAACTAACATAAAATAATACTGAATGTCAACTATAACTTAAAAAAATAGTCATGGGGATATACAGTACAATATAGGGAATATAGTCAATAATATTCTAATAACTATGTACAGTGTCAGATAGGTAATAGACTTATTATGGTTATTACTTTGTGAGGTATATACATATCTAATTACTATGTTGTTTAGTACACCTAAAACTAATAAAAAAATTATTTTAAATACCAGGAAAAAAAAATCAACACAAAATTGTATATCCAGTGAAAGTATCTTTCAAAAATAAATAAAAAATAAAGACACTAGAAGACAAAAAAACCAGAAAATTCATTGCCAAGAGACTTGCGTATGTCAAAGAAAGTTGCTTAGGCAGAAGGAATATGGCACCAGGCAGAAACTTGGATCTATAAAAAAGAAATGAAGAGTGCTCAAAATGTAATGCAAGATTAAAATGTTTGCTTTTTTTCTCACTTTTAATAGCTCTAAACCATAAATGAGTGAAGCAAAAATAGCACAGTATTATGCATTTATTGTTTATGTAAAGGTAAAATCCATGACAACAATAGCACAAAGAATGGAAGGAAGAAACTAGGAATATACTGTTATAATATCCTTCCACTGCACTTGACGCAATGTAATATCATTTGAAGGTAGACTTTGATCAAGTGAAGGTGTATATTGTAAACACTAGGGCAACCATTAAAGAAGTTTTTCAAAAGTGTATAAATAAGCCAATAATGGAGATAAAATGGTATCACAATAAATCATAGTAAATACACAGTTAACCCAAGGGGGGGAAAAAAACAAATAGAAAACAATTAGCAAAATGGTAGATTTTGATCCAACCAATTGAATGTAAACGTATAAACTCATCAATTAAAAGACAGAAATGGTCAGACTAGACAAAAAAAAAAAAAGAGTACCAAGTATATGTTATAAAATACTTACTTTAATATAAAGACACAGGTTAAAAGTAAATGGATAGAAAAAGATATACCATATAAATCCTACCTAAAACAAAACTGGAAAAATAATATTAATACTTAAAAAGAAGACTTCAGAACCAGGAATATTATCAGGGACAAAAAGAGACAGTATATAATGAGAGAGGGGTTAATTCTCCAATAAGACAATTCTAAACAATTCTAAATGTATGTGAATCTTGTCATAGAATTTCCAAATACCTAAAGTAAAACAAAAGGAACTAAAAGAAATAGACAAATCCACAATTAGAGTTGGAGATTTCAACAGTCCTCTCTCAGTAACATGGAATGAGCAGACAGATAATCAGTAAGGTTACAGAAGGCCTGAACAACATTATTGACCAACTTGACCTAATTGAAATTTATAGAATACTCCACTCACAAGAGCAGAATATACATTCTTCTTAAGTGCACATAAAACATTCACCAAGTAGACCATATTCTTGTTCATAAAACAAACTGTAACAAATGTAAAAGAATAAAAACCATATAAACTATGTTCTCAAGTCACAACAGAATTCAACTTTACAAATCAATTAACAAAAAGATAACTGAAAAAATATGCAAATGTTTGGAATTAAGGAACAAACATCTACATAACCTATGGATCAGAAAGGAGGTCACAAGGGAAATTATAAAGAACATTGAACTGAATGAAAATAAAAATACAGCACATCAAAATTTGTGGGATGCAATGAAAGCAGTGCTTAAAGGGAAATCTACAGCTGTCTCAAATAAATGATCTAAGCTTCCACCTTAAGAAACTCTAAAAAAAGCACTAAGGGACACAAGAGTATTTGTGGGTTAATAAAGTGTTTGTTATATCAAGAGAGATGTGAGCTACACCAGCGTATCCACTGTCAGCACTGTATAGTTAAGATGTGTGCATTTCAGTATATGTACATTTCCCCTCAAAATACAAAGAACTTGATAAAATATAAAGTGGAAGGGAGTGGACAGAGGTACAGATAACAGAAGAATGACAGAATTTTGATAATTGTTGTAGCTGGGTACTTAGTAGTTTATTAACTTTTCCTCACTTTGAGTATTGTTGAAATTCTCCATAATGAAACTTTAAAAAATAAAGCAAAAACATTACAACTTTTTGAAGAAAAAATGAAGGAGAGCAAGTGTGGAAGTAGAGCGCTCTTAGTCTTAAGAGTGGGAAAGGATGAAAAATGGGGGAAAAAACATGGCTAGACATAGAATGGTGGTAGGAATGATTAAAAAAAAAATGTTATACAGTACCTGCTAATTGATTAGATATACATCGAAGGAAATGAAAGGCAGGTATAAAAAATGACTGTGAGGTGTGTAGCTTTAGCAAATGAGTGGAAGGTGGCACTTTTTGTTCAGACAGAGAACAGTTTAGAAGGAAAGTTCAAGAGTTCATTTTTGGAGATGGGAATTTCAGATGTCCAAGACATCCAAGTACAAATATCAAATAAGTGGATGAACATACTAGAGTTTAGAGGAGAGATATGGACTGGAGATATTAACTGGGGGTTGCTGGCCCCTACTTATGACTGTTAATGTAAGTAAAGCACTTAAAATGATGTAAAGTATATAGTGTTATAGAAGGTACGCCTATTATTATAATTACCAATTAATATCATCATCATCCATTTAGGTAATATCAACGTAGTCTCACAGTAATTAAGTGACTCATACAATAGTCCTGATTATTGATCTTTATAGGAAAAAAATAAAAAAACAGGCTCACCTAGAAAATGATAATGCCAGCCTAAAAATTTTCATTTCACTAAAAAATGTTACATCTGTCAATTGCAAAACAGTGACTGATCAAGGCTTACCAATTTAATTTTCATTCTAGATCGAACTAAAAAAATAACAATTACATAACAATCATCCCTCAAATCTGGCTTACTTTAAATTCAAAATGATTAGCATATTACTAATTGTATTTCATCCTCCAACAAACCCCAAGATATGTTATAGATCAAAAACCAATTTACACCCTAGAGATAGAAATTGTCCATGTTGCCTTTAATACCGAAAAAAAAACAATATCTTTGAAGACAGCTAAAATAATAATTGACCAAGCCCTCCTAAAAGAAAAATCTTACAGCCATTCCTTTTTGTAATCATTCCATTCCACAGAGAATTCGGCATGATCATGAAACTGTAAAAATACCGTTCTGCAGTGATTAAAATTCAGACTAAACCTGCAAATTAAAAGTGCTCTTCTTGGTTCCTTCGGAGCCTTTTGTCACACATGATGACTATAATCCCGCTTAGCATTATGGTAGTTTCAGCTTTAGAACTAAGTTATGAAAATATTAGTTGGAATGGAGGAAAGGAAGGAGGACAAGAAGAGGAGGAAAAACATCTTAATGATATCATACTGTGCACTGGACACTAAGTCCTTTGTATATATTATCTGATTAAATAGAATAACCTCATGAGGTTAGACATGAGGAAACTAAGTTTATTTTACACGTGAGGAAACTAAGTTAAACATCTGTCTAAAAGTCACAAAGCTCATAAGTGGTAGACCCAGGACTCACTCCAGGCAGTCTAACTCTGTAACAGAAATCCAGGACACGCTACAACATAAATGACTCCTTTCCCCCAGTTGAATTAATTAATTAATTAACCTTCTTGCCTCACGACCAAAAAAATGTCAGGTTTATATTTCTGAACTATTTTATTGGGGTATTAAAAACTGATTTTTCCCATTTTTTGAAAGTTTTCTGATTATATAAATTAAATTGAAATGATCTTCATCTATTTAAGACTCAAATCTCATTCTTCTGCAGCTTACACATTATAAGAATGTGAGATAGTACAGCATGGCAACTGTGGTTAATTAATACTGTAATGCATATTGGAAAATTGCCAAGAGAATAGAAAAGTCCTCATCACATAGAAAAAAATTTTTGTAACTATGCATGGTGATAGATGTGTGAACCTCTATTGTGATCATTTCATAAACAAATATCAAGTCATTATATCATTATATCATATCATTAAAACTAAAATAATGTTATATGTTAATTGTACCTCAATAAAAAAGGAAAAGAATGTGAGATGTAATTTAATATGTTTACTGACAGATTTAGAAAAGTATGCATGTTTTGATGTTTGGTATGGTAGATACAGTATGGTTTTTAAAAAATTCTTTGGTGTAATTTGCTATTTAAAAAAAAAAAAAAGAAGAAAATGACTATGCAACTCACGTGCACAGAATAACAAGAGAACAAGGGAATAATTCCTGATACTGAAGACAGCATTTCAATACTCGATCATCATTGTTCTCGTCACTCAATCCATCTGCAAATTTAGCAAAAGCAACTGTCAATAAATACTAAAAATCTAGATACCATATGAATAATCTAGACTGAATTTACATATCAAAACATCTTAAACAAAGAAAACTTTTTAAATGAAAAGAGGAAAATAAAACAGCAAAACAATACCTTGAAAATTCTGGATCTAGAACACACATAGCATAAAGTTCTGACTTTGATAAAGTGGTCAGTTTACTACTACAATGGAATAGGATATGCCTATTAACAAACTCAAAGAAATGTGATCAGTAGGTTACATGCTAGACTAGAAACCAAAAGCTATGAATTCTGGTCTCAATTCAGTCACTTAGAGATTATTCGTAAATTCTATGATTATATCATACTTAAAATTATCTCAACTTAAAAGAGATCTGTAAAGTGATAAGCTACTGTTCTACCAGCAACAGAAACATTTTCATATGTCTGCTTTGCCTTACTCTCTAAGGCAATAACATTTAGAGATTACACAAGGCAAAATGAGCCGTAGGCGTAGAACACAAAAAGTAATCCCTAGTAAATAAATGTTAATCAGCAGCCGACAGGGTGTCCTCAGCCTTCTCCAAGCCTCAAAGCGTGTAGTAAAAGTTCAGGTTTTGTGAAAATAATGCATCATGCAGAAAGAGGACCAAAGATAGTGTTTCTCCTAGGTCCTTACACTACCTGCCTCAGAACTCCCTAGAGTGCTTGTTAATAATACAGACTATATACAGGAGCCCTTGGTGAGTCCCTTACACACTTAAAAATCACAACATACTAGCCGATGAGCTTCGACTTTGTTCCCGGGTTATAACTTGTTTCCCCCTCAACTTTTAACCTATATTGTATTACTTAGTCCTCTAAACATTCAAATTAGAAAGCTCATTCATTCCTGCAATAAATATTTACATAGAGCCTGATTTGCGCCAGGTCGCTATGCTAAGCAATTGGACATGCAAAGACAAGCTCTTTGGGAGCTCACAATCTCGTAGTAAAGTCTAGACAGAACTCAGCTGATATCAGAGCATGAACCTAAGGGATATTCAATTCAGTTGCTTAATCAGACAACCAGTGAGCTAGACACAAATATATTACAGCAGCCAATTCTCCTTCTTTTTAGCTGACAGAGTAAACACCACAATAATGCAAGATAGGCAACTCAAAATCATTAGTTAATTTTAAACAACTCAATTCAGTAGACAAAAACAGAGGTTTAAAAGTCACATTGCACTGCTCAAAAGGTTTCAAATCTTAAAAATATCTGTTCTATCACTTTTTCTAGGATATTTGGGGCTGAAAACCACACCTAAAACTGCAAGAATGTTCATGAAACATTTAGTCAACACGGTTTATCTAATATTGTATGTCATTAGCATTTTTCAATATAGTATGGCTATATAAAAATGGCCACAGCATTGTATGTAACTTCTCCAATTGTTAGACAGTCAGGTTGTTTCAAATTTTTGCTGTATAAATATGCTGTGATGCACATTATTTATATAAATCACTGTGAGCATCTCTCATTATTTCTTTAGGATATATTTGTGGAAAGAGAATTGTATCTTTAGGCTTCTTGATACACACTGATAAATTAGTCTCCTGAAAAGTTACCAGTTCATATTCCCAAAGCACTGAAGCACTGCTAAGTGTTCCTAGCAGGTGTTGGGAAAAGGGAACTTTCCAAATTTAGAAGCATTAAAAAGAAATAACAAAAAAAAAAAAGAAAGGTAAAGACTAAAAATATTTGTTTGTTCGTTTATTTAATTTACTTTTCAATAGGCAATATATACTCATTTTTTAATTAAATTTATTGGGATGACACTGGTTAATAAAACTATATAGGTTTCAAGTGTACGATTCTATAATATATCATCTATATATTACATTGTGTGTTCACCACCCAGTCAATTCTCCTTCCATTACCATATTATTTTGACCCCCTTTACCCTTTTCTCCCATCCCCCACCCCCTTACCTTCTGGTAACCTCTAAACTGTTCTGGTCTATGAGTTTTTGTTTGTTTACTTAGTCTCATAAAAATTTTTATACATAAGAAATTAACAATATTAAAAACAATAAACAGGAAAATATTTGCAGTGCACAAATGTCTGACTAGCTGTATTTCTTCCTTTTGTGAATTACCTATTAATAATCTTTGTCCATTTAGGGGAAAGGGATATTTAATTTTTCTAATAAATCTCTATAAGCTTTTTATACAATGAAGACAGAGAGAATTACTGTCTATTCCAGGCCATAAATCATTAAGTACTTTAATATATTAACTCAAGCAATCTTCACAACCAGTTTTTCAGCTGGAGGTTGTTTCCCCCCATTTTATTTTACTCAGTTTCCTAACCTTTAACTTTCCCAGGTCAAGTTATAAACCAGGTAAATCAGATTTCAGATCCTATTCTCTTTTCACCACAACAAATACTACAGGAAACAAATATAATTTTGAAAAGAGTTAAGGACAAGGCTAAAATTAAAACTAAGGCTGTTTAACATGGACTACGCACATTTAAGTTGTGGCATTTTTCTTTTTTTTAATGGAGAAATGCTTGTGTAAAAAAATACATTGTTGTAATACTCAGTGATTATGTGAAAGAAAATAATACATGCAAAATGAACATTACAGTTGGCTGTAAATGTGCTTGACAGATGTAAAGTGTAATTAAAAGTTCATTTTGTTCTTGCCTTCCTCCAAATAAGTACTTTCATTTTACTCAATAATCCTGAATTGAGTTTTTTCATAAGAATTTCAGTTTATCATTAGAATATAAAACGTAATTTTATTATGATAAAAATGACTAAAGATATTTCTCAAGGACATCATAAAATCATTATCAGATGTTGATAAGATATTATCAAGAAAATAATATTATCAAGAAATTAACATTATTAAAAGATAATGCTAATAAAACATTATCAACAAAATAAATTTACTAAGTACATTGGATTTTACATACAGAATGTTTTCAATGATTAGTGTGACAAGAAAACAATGATACCAAGAAACACCTAAAGGACTTCCCTGACATAGACAATTACAGAAACAATCTATTATTATATCTACAATCTTACAATTAACAAAACAAATATCAAATAATACCATTTAAACATTAAAGTGAAATAATACAGGTTTCAAGGAAGACACCTAGAAATGAAACAACACAGTAAAACAACACAGAAGTTTGAGACAACTACCATGACTTATCGCCCTTAATCATCAAAGAAGCATGGACTGAAAAGGTCAAAGTATCAAAAAAGCACATGGAAAAAAAAAAAGAAACATAACAAGCATCTATAAATAATAAAGGTGGCCAAAATATCTATCCTAAAATGAGCTCTTCTAAAATAATTTTCAAAGCCAATCTATTGAAGGAATTTCTGTCTAGGACAAGTGCTTAACCTTTGTGTCTCAATTTCCTCCCCAATAAAATGGGGCTAATAAGAGTATATTCCACAATACTATAAGGTTTGAATGAGATATTAGCTGTACGGCACTTGGAAAAGGGTCTGGAGAATAATGCCATATAAGTGTTATCTATTATTATCAGTGTTATTATGTAATAAAATATAATTTGTATCAACAAACTAAAAAAAAAAACATTAAGAGTGAGCAAAATTCCCACCTCTAAGGAGTGGGGTTTTGCTGAAATGATGGTTTACATCAGCGTTTAATTTTTGTTAATTGTGTAGTTGTTTAAAAAAAAGTCTTGGGCAGCTGGTTAGCTCAGTTGGTTAGAGCGCAGTGCTCTTAACACCAAGGTTGCAGGTTCGATTCCCACATGGACCACTGAGCTGCACCCTCTACAACTAGACTGAAACAACTACTTGACTTGGAGCTGATGGGTCCTAGAAAAACACACTGTCCCCCAATAAAAATCTTTAAAAAACAAAGTCTTATTTGTAAGCAACACAAACCAAATTATTTATGAGTAAAAATGATATGATAGTATATCTGGGATTTGTTTCAAACTACTGCAGGAGTTCCAGTGAGTTCCAGGAGCAACAAGTTGACAATTACTGAAAATAAGTGATGGGTACATAGGGATTCACTATATTATTCTATGTTTGCATTTTAAATTTTGCATAATGAAAGTAAAAAAAAAGACTAAGGTGTTTAATTTAACAATGTGTTCAAACATTTTAATATTGTCTTAACTCTAATAAGTGAAATTTATTTGTGGTTTTATTTTAAAAGCTTGAAACAAATCACACAAAGTCCCTACTTAAAATGCACAAGTATTGTTGCTGGAATATACTAAGAGCTAATAAATATGGAATGAATAAATGAATGGTGGAAGCCCTTTTTCTTCAGAGATTTAAGACTAAATAGCTGCCAAAAGCCTTCTCAGCATCAATACCACGACTAGATACATCTTAGGATGAGTTCTTTCATATCTTATGGTGAATGTGGGTACAGTAGATAACATACATCCATGATATTTAAAATAATGTAAGTCCACACATATAAATAGATCTGAGTTGGGAAGAAACTCATTTTTGAAGAATGAAATAAATCCTCTAAATGGATGTATGAACTCTGTAGAGGCAACAATGTTGCTTTACACAAAGGGGTTTTTTTCCCCAAAAAGACTTATATAAAACATAATGAGCACACTCCGATTCTAAGACTAGAGTGATTTTAAAATGACTGAAAAGAAACTAACGTGGAAATAAAATAAAATCAGAAGATCTATTGACCTTTATTATAGAAACACCCCCTTATTACAAATTCTGACAAACGAGAGGAAAACAATGCCTGCCTCTGCATTATGCTAACTGCATGCAGTGATAGATTAGAAACCTAGACGACTTACGGGCCTCATCACTCTACAATGGTATTTAAAAAGAAGAAGCCAGAGTACTGTAGCATAGATTACTATACATACAGAACTCTATGGTCACTATGTGAAATACAGGCATAATGTAGGAAGGTCTAAAAGAAGCCGAAAAATATAAATGAAAGGCCCCTCCCTGTCCCAAACCATCACTATGTTCTGCCATTCACATTGCAATGGTTATAAACTTTTAAAAAGTTTTGCACCATTTCTCTCCAATGAGTCAACACCCAAACAAATCTTATACAGGAAGCACCCTGAGAGAGTAATACTTACAAAGTTTTTGAGATGCAAGTTGTATCGATTGACCCCACAGCTTTCTATCTTGACTTTTGAGACTGTCATTGATGAAATGAACCGCAAGTATAGCTTTGCTCTGAGCATATTTGAGTAGCTTTCCGGCCTTCATACGATCTAGCTCTTGCACAACCACCCAGGGAATTATTAACACAAGTCCGTCAAAGCCTAAAAAATAAAAAAGATGTCTTAGAAGTCAACAAATATTTATGGAGCTTCTAAACTGAACCGCTGTAGGACAAATGAAAGTTATAAAGTAGGGAACTCACAATCTAAATGAAGAAATAGTACATAAAAATGAAAATTAAAAACAGATGTGTCAAAAGAATGTTGGAGATCAAAGAAGAGTAAGTTTAGATTGCATAGGTTAACCCATGAAGGCTTATTTTCTTTTTAAGCTTAATATATTATGCTTACGAGCATATTCAAATGGAAACGTGTTTGCGGGGGGGGGGGGCACATCCCCGTTAACATAAAATATCAATCAAATAAGAAAATCAGAGTCAGTAAATATGTTTTATAAATACCTGGAATTTCTGTTGTCTTTAAAAGTCTAACAAATTTGAGATGATTCATCAGAATATTTGTGTCAATGACAATTAGAAGCTTTTTGTCTGAAGCAGTATTTGCTAGAGAAAAAGAGCAAAGTTAGGATTCCGCGACACTTGGTAAGGCTTCTTTAATAACTGAAATTTTGAAGTCATAGAACTTTGATATCATTCTTAAGAGAAGGCAGTTCTTTAGACAACAAAAACAAAACTGCATTTACTCCAATTTGTAAGAGAAAGAACAGTAATAACAAATTAATAATTAATTATCTACCAGTAAATATTATGAATTGCTTATGGATGTATTTAAATCATAAACTACTGACTTGTCCCAGTAGTAACTATGTTGCCAAACCCTGTCCTGCATCACTGGTAGTTGTGCACTTAGAAATTATAAGCTAATTTTAACATACTCTGAGTGAAATATAATTGAAAAGCTAAATAATATGTAAAAGAAAGAAAACATAATATTAGCATTGTTATTTTATAAGGCCATTGTGAGGGACACATAAATTAATGCACACATAAACAGTAAATTGAAAAATTAAATATGAATGTAATGTAGCACTACTATTTTTACAAACACAATTTAAAATAGTATACTAATATATTTTGGATAATATCTATCATTATCTTCTTCCATTAGTAAGAATGATCAAAATTTTACTATACAAGCAAAAAAAAATCCATGAATATAATACTTTTGAGAAATTTACATTATTTTTGATCAGTGCTTTACATAGCTGAAGTTGTTAAAAGTTATGATTAATACCAGGAATAAAAGGCAACTCATAACTCTGGTTACAGCCCCTTGGAAAAAAGAGGAAGAGAAAATATGCCTGACTACCTAATAATCTAATAATTGGAGATACATACAAACAAACGATGATAAGAAAAATATTAAACCTGATTCCTGTAGCTAAAAGAAATACACTGCAGTCTGTTTCAAATGATCATGTTTTAACATTTTTCATCGAAACACTATAAAAGTTGAATTGGCACAGTCATTCTTAAGAAAGCACAAGAGGTCATAAATATCGTGTACACATAGGGTATACCAGCAGAGGAACGTCCATCATCTTCCACCAAATCAATCTCCATACTCGTTAGCTCTCCAGGAGGTGGAACCACAGGCAAATCCACACTTTTTCCCACACGGGCAGCATGAAGCTCTTCTACTATCTGCATCTAAATTGTAAAAGACCCGCAATAAAATATCTTGACTTACTCTGCAGATTAATAGGAAAGCAATTAATTCTTAATTAATTCACTTGAGGTGGTTTGTGTAAAGAAAAATATTTACAAAAACTATGGAGGCAGCATGTTAAAAGAATAGAGATTTATAAACATACGTAGGGTTTTTAAAATAGCTCTTTTCTTATTACCTCTGTACCCTTAGGCAAGCAAATTATTTAACTTCCTTGGGTCTCAGTTTGTTCATCTACAAAATAGGAATGTTAACTATATTTCCTTTTAGTATTTTTTGAGGATTAAATGAAATAATATGAAGCTCCTTGCACAGGACCTAGTACATTCTCATGCCCATTCTTACTTCAAAGTGTTTTAGGAGCCAAATATGTTTTTATCCAGATGAGAGCAACACACTCCTTGAGATTCTAAGATTGTTCATGAACCATCAGAAATTGAAATCTAGATATTAAGACCCTTCTCACTTCAGCGAAGTAGTTCCCTGAGGTATTCTGATGCAAAGAAATGGAAATATAGTCTAGCTTTAGAGCAGAGGTGAGAAATCTTTCTCCTGTCAAGGGGCACTTACCCATAAGACAGAAAAATACAACTGACCCTCAGTAATAAAAAGCAATTAATATACTTTTAAAGTCCTCCTTAAATAGAAAAATATGAAATGGTCTATGAACCTAATTTTAATTTAGAATCAGGGAACATACAATTCTAAGCAATAATTCCATGAGGATCAATCAGGAGAATCTAGCTGGGAAATGATGCAACAAGTAAAAAAATAATTACGTATGCACGCTTGTTTTCACTGACCAACATTCTCATCTTATTGCTGATTAGAAAAACTGGGCAAAAAAACATGTTAGTATCATACTGCATTCTGGCAAACCCAGGCATAAGCATGCCAAAGCGTGGTAACATTAAATCACGCATTAAATTTGCATAACTTGTAGGCCATGGGCTCCATGCTCTTTATTCAAAACAGATTAGAGCTCATTAGAAACAAAGGCAAAAAGGTGATCAAGTAAATGTTACTACTTTTCCAAACAGTTTTCTGTGACTTCATAAAAACTTACATATTGATTTAAGTACAGTGTTACCAAGGTTTTTATAGTCACTTTTTTATTAAAATAGAACTGTTTGACTTAATTTCATTAAAAATATTGAAAGTAAATAAGGATATCAGTAACCTCTTGATCTGTATCTTGAATACTTTCAAGTGACACTGAAGAACTTGGTGCTTCAAAACTCTGAAACGAAAAGTAATTTTATTAGTTAAGAACGAAGCATATGCCCACAGTGGAGTTGCTCAACCTTGGCACTAATGGCTTTTGAGGTGGGATGATTCTTTGTTGGGGACTGTCCTATGCATTGTAGGACGTTTAGCAGCATCTGTGGCCTCTACCTACTAGATGCCAGTAGCACTAACCCCTCACAATCCTGACAACCAAAAATGTCTCCATCAAGTCAACTACCAAATGCCCCCGAAGGGGTGGAATTGACCCCAGACAAGAAATTGCCCCTAAAATAGAAAAGCCTCATTTTATTAAGGCATGAAACATGACAGAAATTCTTTAGGATTTACTCATTCACATTTATATTCCAAAAAATATTCATATTATAACTACATGCCACCCTAAGAAACAGAAAGAACCATGGCAAAGGCAAACGAGCTGGTCTTCAGTGGTGGGCAATTTTCATCCAGGAGTCACTGAGCCATTTCTAAAAGTTGACATGACACAACAAGGACAGGAACTCGAAGATGATAATATGGCTGAGAGGAAAGGCTAAAAAAATGCAAAGCTGTATTTATTATACATAGATGGAGCACCAGAGGTTTGTGTTTTATTTTTTTGTCTTCTAGCAGAGATTGAAAACCTCTCCAATTCCAACTTTTCACTGGCACTTTTGCTGAGCAGAGAGACCTACCTGACCCTATGTACAGGTAACAGAGCTCAGCAAAAGACACTACTGAGCAAAATCATCTAAGAATTCTCCAAGATAATACCAAACTCATATGTATTTTACAGGAAGCTGTATATGGTACAAATCACAAACCGTCTTTAAAGAAGGGTTGCTTTATTGGGAATTCAGTCTTCCCATAACTATATGCATCACACACATAGGCCCCTCAGAGCTTCATTATTCTATGATCCTGGATTTCACAACCCCTTCTCCACCTGACATTAAATCTCCCTAGATCTTTAAGGTTCTCTTCAACAAAGAAGTGTCAAGCGAGTTACAGATTATCATCAGAACTTCCTGGAACGCTTGACATTCCAAGTCTTCACTCTTTCACTTAGGTCACTACTACCCTTCACTCTCTTAGACCACAGGCCACTTCCAGTGACTTCAATACACTTTCTATCATCTAAAAACCCAGAAAAGTTCATATCAATTGTCCCTGAGAACTGTCTATTAAAAAAGAAAGTCTTAGTGGGCATTTAACTGCCCTCCCTTATCATGCTTTATTAAATACATGGATTGGGATAAAGGCCTCTCTGAGGATGACAAAAGAGAGTATCAATAATGAGAATAATAATGTTTTTATCTACCGGGATGATTCTAAACTGAAAACCTGATTATATGGCTTCCCTGATTAGATTTCAATGGTTCTGTACCATCTACAGGATACAAGATAAAATCTTTCTCATGGGATGCAAAATCGTCCATTGTCTGGACCCTGGCTGCCTCTCCTACTTCTTCTCCTATATATTCTCTCCACATCTCAACTGAAGTGCCCACGTCCGCTCTTGCCATGCAATTTCACAGCTCTGTGCCATGACACACTGGACCTCTACCCTGGCAGGACATCACTTCTATTCCTAGCACTACACGCCCTTCAATACCCAGCTGAAAATCTCCACCTTACGGGCACTTCCTTAACTCGCCCCCAAATTTGTACTAACACCAACACAACTCTTGGGGCTCTAACATTTACTTCACTCTATTGCAAATGTGTTTGTTTACTAATCTGACTCCCTGGGAGCTTCTTGAGGATGATCATCTTATTCATCTCTAAATCCCTAATACCAAGAAATGTACCTCATACATAATGGGTACTTTTAATTAATGTTTAAAAAACTGATGAATTTCTACCTCACAAACTTGTAAGGATTAAGTGGGATGCTGTTTATAAAAGTGGCCTATAAACTATATTTCTAGAATACAAGTTTGCAATGTTGGTGGAGGTACAATCTATATCAAAGAACTATAAAACACAGGAAACAAAATAAGTTATTTTCTCTTAGGAAAGCATAACAGGATTACTAAATAATAGGATTACTAAATCCAGAAAATACAATTATTTCCTTGTAAAGTACACTCATGATTTTTGGAAATTAAGAATTATCTATTGAGGAATTTATGAGGAAAACAACAAACATAATATTGAAATGATTCTCTATTGTCAATAACGTTGGGAGCCGATTGAGGACAGCTGGGGATACTGAGGCTGTGGCAAACTGCTACATGCCTCTGTGCAGGACCCTATGCCTAAGGGAGCAGCTGGATAAGAGAGTCTGCTTAGTAACTGCATAAGCAAGGCTTAGACACTCCCAAAAGTATCCATTCCCACAGCAAGCCAACCGCAGAGCCCACCGCAAGGCTTATTTACAGTTTCACTATGGACTCATTGCTTAGGGGATTTCGGGCCTAGTTCCTGGTTTCTGTACGCCTACGCCCAAAGCCCCCTGCTGAAACCCCCTACCAAAATCCCCTGTGCATAGCTAGGGAAATTTCCCTGCAAAAGAGGAAGTTGCTTTCTATATAACCAGTGTGTATCCAATAAACAGTGGCACTCTCCGCCACCGGCGGCAGAGTGTCCCTCCTGCTCCCAGCTTTTGTCTCTATTCTCTTTATTTCTCATCTCCCACCCAATCCTCTCAGGGACCTTTTCTGTGAGTTCCTGGCTGACGAGCCAGGGGCGTTCGGTTGAGTGAGCTGGTCTCGTTCACAATAATATAGGAAAGATAATATATTCAAGATAAGAACAATATTTACTTGCTTTCTGCTCCTGTGTCTTAATAACTTTAAGTCAGATACAGCTGTTATCAAAGGAACAGTTTATAAAGAGCTTTAATTGCAATAACTATAAAGTAATCATGCAAAAATTTCTTCCCCTACAACTTAATATTCATGCTATGTCCCTTTTGGTTTGTGTGGTAATTCTATACAGGGACCAAAAGTAACGAGAAAATGTACTGCAGGTGGGGGAACACCAAGCAATGACACAAAAATGTGCACTGAATGTACTGGCAAGTTCAAATACCTTTCTTTCATTTTATTCTAGAGAACTGGTTATTAACTCAGGAAGAAAACTGGAGGTTGTTTTCCTTTAAGAAAGCAATAGAGAGCCGGCCAAGTGGCGCACTGGCTAAGAGTTTGCTTGGGACGCCAGCTCTGAGCAGCAGGACACTGGTTTGGATCCCACATGAGGGCCAGTGACGCTGCACCCTCTACAGCTAAGATGATGAACAACAGCTCGACCTGGAGCTGGGCTGCCATGAGTTGCCGGCGCGGCGTAGGCTGCAGTGGAGCTGCAGTGGAGCTGCAGTGAGTTACCGTGAGTGGCTAGCCGCCAGTGTGAGCTGCCAAGAGCCGCCATGAGCGGCTGTCCAGTGGCCAGTGACCGATCTGCCTCACCTGGGAAGAGCACAATGATAATACCAACATGGGCCAGTGAAGCAACGTCCTCCACAACTAGACTGAAGAACAAAAGGACAGCAACTTGTCTGTTCCCCTTCCCCAATTACCCAATAAAATCTTTAAAAAAAAGAAAGAAAGCAATAGAAAGAACAAATTCCATTTCTTTACCTCTTTGGAACCCTTCAAGTTCATAGAATGAAAAGTATCCTCCCTCAAGCTCTTCGGGCCTCCGTGGTTACATAATCCCTCCATTTTTCAGAGGAAGTATCTTACTACTGCAATCTATAGTCTTGACACCTAAAAGCAGGTAGACTCAGCCACTCCTGTTTATAAGCAGTCTCTAAACTTCAGAATTTCTGAAGCTCTAAAGTTCTGAAGTTCCAAAGTTCTAAAAATTCTCTTACAGGTAAGGAATTTTGCCATAGAAACAAAGCTATAGAGAACAGGTTCTCAAATGAGTCCACAAATGCCAATTTATTCCATAATTGAGAAACAAAATAGGTGTGCCCAGCTTTCCAGCCAGGATCTCTGCACATGCAGTTAGATCCCTTTGCCTGGAACACCCCTGCTTCTCCCATCCCACCTCACCTCTACCTAAACAACTCTTATTCACTCTTTAGTTCTCAGCTTAAATGTTACTCCCTCTGGTAAACCTTCAACTAATCCCTTCACAGTGTACCAGGCCATGTTGATCCCCTGCTGTGAGCGCCCATATTGTGGTTAAGTACTTACCACACTTGGGTGATTGCTGTGTCTCACCTGAATAAGCCTCTGAAAACAGACTGTGTCCCTTACAGTTTATTTTATAGTATTGCCTGGCACACAGCAGCACTCAAAAAATAATTTGCTGAAGGAATAAGCTATTCAGAATACTAACCCCTAGGTGTTCCATAGTACCTGGGGTTAAAGAAATGCCTAAGAGACTATCCTGGTGCTTTTCGTTTTTCGTTTCTTTTTTATTAGGGGAGCAGTGTGTTTTTCCAGGACCCATCAACTCCAAGTCAAGTAGTCATTTCAATCTAGTTGTGGAGGGCACAACTCAGTGGCCCATGTGGGAATTGAACCGGCAACCTTGATGTTATGAGCACTGAGCTCTAAACAACTGAGTTAACTGGCCGCCCCCTACAGTGCTTTTCTTAAAGGACTAACTGTAACTGCTTCTTTCTAAATTTTTACACATTCTTCTATTATGGATCCTTGATACTTGCCAGAATTATCTTCCTAAAAAAGCTGGAATTAAGGGGTGAAGGAACCAGCATATATCTTCCTAAATTTGAATCGTACCTCTAGATGAATAAAACATCATCAGTTATTGTATTACTCTTTGCTAAAACCTATTCTTTGTTTTGCACTACTTTACCTGGGTTGGGTTTTCACCAGAACTTGAATCATTACTTTCTTGATGCTCATGGTATTTTCCTTTCCATTCACGAACACTTTGCTTATATGTGGAATCTGAAGATAAATGTTTACTTTTGTGCCTCGTCAAATTTAATGAAACCTGAGTGCTTTCCAGGCATTCTTTTTTCTTCTGCTTAGTCTTTGACTTGTTAGAGTTTAAACTGAAGACATTTTCTTCTACAAGCTTTTGATGAATATCACGGGATTTTATTGGAATTTTGAAACTGATCTTCCTTCTAGATTCGAAGGGCTCCTTGACTATTGTGTTGGAATTACAATCCTGAAAAAGTTGGATTCTCTTGCATTTTTCCAAAACACATTTTTCAGAATTGTCTCTAGACTTACTGTGCCTTCCTTTTTTGAGTTCCTTCATCTTCTCTCTCTGAGCAAGGGAATGAGGACATTTTTTGTCACTTGCGTGGCTTTCAGCTTTAGGTTTCATATCTTTGGGAATCTTAGAACTGCTAAGGTATTTAATTCCATGGTCAAGTGTACGCCTAACATTTGTCAATTTGATATCTTTCAAATCTACACATTTACTCATGGCTTCTTTAGTTCCATTTGAAGGAGAACTCTGTGGAATGATTTGATTATCATTTGAATATGATGCTTCTTGAAGATTAATAGGTCCCTGGGGTGAAGAATAGACTTTTGGTCTCTTTCTTGGAGTCTCAGTGTCTATATTCAGCCTGTAAAGCAACACAGAAACCTAGGTTATATTACAATTATACATGGTTACACAAAATTTTCATTGTATCATTTTAGTAGGAAATGACAGAACTAGCCTGACACAAACTTCATAAAAAGTAGAAATGACTACATTAAGAATGAAGTGAAAGGCCAGCCGCGTGGCTCAGTTGGTTAAGAGTTGGCTTAAGAGCGCGAGCTCTGAGCAACAGGCCCAGTGGTTCAATTCCCACATGGGCCAGTGATGCTGCACCCGAGCTGAGCTGCCGCTTGAGCTGCCAACAGGTGGCAGGATGGCTCAGCTGGTGTAACAACAAGACTGCCTGTTCGATGGTGGGCTATGCCTACCCAGCAACTAAGACTGAACTCGGCACCTTGAGCTGAGCTGCCACCCGGATGGCTCAGTGGATGGAGCTCGCACTGTTAACAACAAAGCTGCTGGTTCGACTCCCGCATGGGATGGTGGCTACGCCCACCCACAACTAAGATTGTAACACAGCACTTTGAGCTTGGAGGCCCGAGCTGCTGACAGGAAGCCAGATGGCGAATGGTGTCCTCCACAACTAAGATCGAAGAACAACAACTTGGCTGATCCCTCTCCCCAATTCCCCAACATTATCCCCTTCCCCAACTCCCCAATTTAAAAAAAATAAAAAAAATAGTTAAGTGGAAAGGATTACTAAACAAATGGTGTTGGAAAAATTGGTTTGCTGTTTGGAAAAAAAACAAATTTACAGCTTTATAAAATGCCAAACATAAATTCCAAATAGATTAAACTCTTAAGTGCAAAATAATGATCATAATTGCTATAATTCATATCAAACCCTTAAAAATCACAGGGGGAAAAAGGAATACCTATCTGATTTCTTAAGGGAACTTCCTAAACTTAACAGCAGTGGGAAAAATCACAAGGGAAATAGTAATTGTAAATGACTATTTACTTTAAAACTTTAGCATATTAAAAATAACAAACAAAATTCAAAGAACTGGGAAATGGCATTTGCTATATATGTGACAGCTTATTAGCCTTAGTAGATAAAAAGCTCATCAAACAGTACAAAGCAAGGATGCCTACTTTCACCATTTTTATGTAACATAGTACTGGAAGTTCTAAGTCACAGCAATCAGACAAGAAAAAGAAATAAAAGGCATCCAAAATGGAAATAAGGAAGTAAAATTGTCAATATTTGCAGATGACATGATACTATACAGAGAGAACCCCAAAGATTCCACCAAAAAGCTATTAGAACTGATAAATGAATTTAGTAAAGTAGCAGGATAGAAAATTAATATTCAGAAATTGGTTGCATTTTTATACACCAATAACGAGCTATCAGAAAGAGAAATTATGAAAACAATCCCAACTGCATAAAACTGCATCAAACTGCATTAAAACTGCATCAAAAATAAATAAAATACTTAGAAATAAATTTAACCAAGGAAATAAAAAACCTGTACTCAGAAAATTATAAGACATTGAGATAAATTAGATACAAATAAATGGAAATGTATACCATGTTCATGGATAGGAAGAATTAACATAGTTAAAATGTCCATACTACCCAAAACAATATATAGATTCAATGCAATCCCTATCAAAATACCAAAGGCGGGTTGGCTGAGTGGCGTGTTGGTTAAGAGCTGGCTTGGGATGCCAGAGAGCCCCAGTTCGGATCCCACATATGAGGGCCAGTGACACTACCCTTTACAGCTAAGATGCTGAACAACAGCTCAACCTGGAGCTGGGATGCCATGAGTCGCCGGCGACGGCAGGTGGGTTGCCATGAACTACCGTGTGTAGCCAGCATCCAGCGTGAGCAGCCAGCAGCCAGTGTGAGTGGCCAGCAGCCACTGTGAGCGACCGTTCAGAAGCCAGCGACTGATCTGCCTCGCCAGGGAAGAGCGCAATGATGGTGCCAACTTGGGCCAGTGAAGTGACGTCCTCCACAACTAGACTGAAGAACAACAGGAGAGCAACTTGTCTGTTCCCCTTCCCCCAATTCCCCAATTAAAAAAAAAAATACACGAATGGCATTTTTCACAGAACTAGAACAAATAATCCTAAAACCTATATGGAACCATAAAAGACCCTGAATAGCCATAGCAACCCTGAGAAATAAGAACAAAGCTGGAGTTATCATGCTACCCAATATCAAATTATACTATATGGCCAATAGTAATCAAAATAGCATGGTATTGGCATAAAAACATACACATAGATCAACAGAACAGAATGAAGAGCCCAGAAATAAATCCATGCCTATATGGTCATTTTAACTAAGACAGAGGAAGCAGGAATATACACTGGAGTAAAGACAATCTATTCAATCAACGGTGCTGGGAAAACTGGATAGATACATGCAAAAAAATGAAACTGGACCACCTTCTTACTCCATATACAAGAATAAACTCAAAATGGATTCAAGGCTTAAACCATAAAACTCCTAGAAGAAAACATAGGACGTAAACTCTCAGATATTACCCTTAGTAATACTTTTACTGATATATCCCCTTGGGTAGGGAGATAAAAAAATAAACAAATGGGATTACATTAAACTAAAAAGTTTAGTTTAGCAAAGGAAACCATCAACAAAACAAAAATACATCCTACTGAATGGGAGTAGATATTTGCCAATGATACATCTGATAGGGGGTTAATAACCAAATTTTATAAAAAACTCATACAACACCAAAAAAACAAACAATCCAATTAACAAATGGGCAGGAAACGTGAAGAGACATTTCTCTAAAGAGGATATACAGATGGCCAATAGACATATAAAAAGGTGCTCAACATCACTAATCATTAGAGAAATGGAAATTAAAACCACAATGAGATATCACCTCACTCCTGTCAGAATGGCTGTCATCAATAAATCAACCAAGAACAAGTGTTTGTAAGGATGTGGAGAAAAGGGAACCCTTGTGCACTGTGGGTAGGGTTACAAATTGTAAAAAAAAAGTGTGCCACTATAGAAAACAGTATTGAGGGTCCTCAAAAAATTAAAACTAGAACTACCTTATGACCCAGCAATGCCACTCTTAGGTATCTATCCAGGGAAATCCAAAACACTAATTCAAAAAAATATATGCCCCCCTATGTTTATTGCAATGCTATTCACAATAGCCAAGATATGGAAACAACCGAACTGTCCATTGATAGGTGACTGGATAAAGAAACTATGGTACATTTATACAATGGAGTATTACTCTGCCATAAAAAAGAATGAAATCTTACCATTTGCAACAAAATAGACGGACCTAGAGGACATTATGCTAAGTGAAGTAAGTCAGACTGAGAAAGACAAATACCATATGATCTCACCTATATGTGGAATCTAAAGAGCAGAATAAATGAGCAAACAAAACAAAAATAGACTCATAGAGACAGAAAAAAACTGATGGTTGCTAGACGGGAGGAGTGGTGGGAGATGGGTGAGAAGGTGATGGGATTAGAAAATACAGGTTGGTAGTCGCAGAATAGTTACGGGGATGAGAAATACAGTATGGGAAATATAGTCAATAACGTTGTGAAGATTATGTAGGATGTCAGATGGGTGCTGGACTTGTGGGGGGATCAATTCATATACTATATAAATTCCTAACCACTGTGCTGTATACCTGACACTAATATAAAATAATATTAAATGTCAACTATAATTATGTATATATATTCAAAGGATGTAAAGTACAGTATAGGGAATAGAGTCAATGGTATTGTAATAGCTATGTACAATGTCAGAGGGGTAGCAGACTTGGTATAGGGTTATCATTTTGTGAGAGGTGTAAATGTCTAATCATTATGTTGTTTTCTATGCCTGAAGCTAATAATAAAATTAAATTAAATTTAAAAAATACTAAGGCTCTAGAACAGCACATAAACAAAAAATTAATAAAAAAGAAAAAGGCAAAGCCTAATCAAGATTTGGGAAAATAAATTTCACTTCCCTAATAATCATAGACATGCTAATTGCAATAACATACCATTTCTATCAAATTAGAAAAGACTTTTAAATAACATTAAATACTGGCAAGGGGTTATAAAATGGACCTTCTCAGGTTGCTGATGGAAATTCAAAATGATAACAGTTCTACAAAGGAATCTGACAATACAATTAAGAATTCTTAAAATGTTCATGTTCTTTGACTTTTTAGTAATTCCCATTTTACAATTCTATACCAAGGGGGAAAAAAATCAGAAATGAACTTAAAAAAAAAAAAGATACTCAATTCAGGATTATTATAACAGGAAAAGATCAGGTACAAGGTAAATGCTAAAATTTTGGAACTAAGAAACATGTCACTTTATCAAATATGAGAGAATATCATAGTCATTTCAAATGATCTTTATGAAAAGTTTTCAATGATATAACAAGACATATTGATGTAACATTAAGCAAAAAACAACCAGAACACAAATCTGTATATATAATGTGGTCTCAACAATTTAAATAAACAGAGTAAAAAGGACAGAAAGAAATGTGCTAAAATGTTAGAAGTAGCAATATAAATATAAATATAAACCAAGGCAATTCTAAAATATCTTGTATGCCAAATGTTCCCTGACAAAAAAAAATTTCACAAGTATGTAGCGTGCTTACCTATATTTGAATGCGAATATTCAATATGAACAATAAATCCAAATGCTATTCCTTGTTCATGTTACTGATATTGGTGGCCTGATTACACATGAGCATCACACAGTGGCAAGCTCATTGATCACATGTGGGCTCAGGGATGCAGAAATGTTGCTGCAGCAGGCATTCAACTATTAAACCTTGCAAGGGCTGAAGCTAAATACCAGATTTTGAGTAAATGCTGAAGCCAAGTTGAACTTCACTGCATTACTAGAACAATTTAGATCTTATTCTCAAAATAATTCAATATTATTTCTTCCTCTCCCAAAGACTATGTAGACAAATCAGAAGTCTCTTTATGCTCTTATATACATGGATATAAAATCAGGTGCTAGAAAATATACCCTGAAGCAAAAGGTAACTAGTGAAAAATCAAGCAGCGTTTTATTTATTTTTATTTGTCAAGCAATGTCTTAGAACTTCAAATAAAATTTTACAAAGGATGCTAGTACAAAAGGCATTAAAAATCTAATTTGAAAATTTAGAAAGTGATAGTTAACATAACATTTCTGACACAATAAACTTCAACGGATAGTAATATAGAAGCCAAGTATCACAAAAAAAGAAGGAAATGATTCAGAAGAAAAACTGAAGAAGAGTCAGAGGCAAGTTACGGTAGATTTTTGTATTTTTGTTTCTTGCTTTTAGCAAACATTAACTGAGCTTGTGAGCTTGTCTGGGAAGCAGAACTTTTATTTACATATTTAATGTGCCATTTAAATTGTTTCCCCATAATTCTTTATCTTCAGAAAAACTTTGATCTTATCAACTTTTATCATGAGTTATACTTTTCATACTTATTTACTCAAATTATTGGTGAGAAATTCCTTCATTACAAAATTCTCTGAAATTTTTATCCATAGGACACAGAAATTAAAGAATGATTTCCATTATTCCAACCACTATTTCCCAAGTTCTCTATTTGCAGCCACATCCTGTTTAATGAACATGGTGGTAGAGCCATATCAACTCAATAAGCTACATATTCTCAAGGGTAATATGCAAAGATAATTTATCCAAAATTTCTAAGTTAGCCTCATAACTTCTTCCACGGCTGTATGTAATGAAGTTACATATCTTATAAAGGCGTGTCAAAATCAAATCACTTAAGATAAAAATCTACACTATACTTGAAAGTGGCTCTTATATAGTATAGAATTGAAATTTTTTTTTAACATTTATTTATTTATTTATTTATTTATTTATTTTTAATTAGGGAATTGGGGGAGGGGAACAGTGTTGGGGAATTGGGGAGGGGGACTAGCCAAGTTATTGTTCTTCAATCTTTGTTGTGGAGGGCGCCAGTCACCATCTGGCTTCCCTTTGGCAGCTAGTGGCCTTTAAATTCAAGGTGCTGTGTTCAATCTTAGTTGCGGTGGGCATAGCTACCATCCCATGTGGGAGTCTAGCCCAGCAGCCTTGTTGTTGAGAGTGCACACTCTATCCACTGAGCCATCCGGGCGGCAGCTCAGCTCAAGGTGCTAAGCTGAGTCTTAGTTGCAGGTGGGCATAGCCCACCATCGAACAGGCAGCCTTGTTGTTAGGAGCACATGCTCTCACCAGCTGAGCCATCCTTCCACCTGTTGGCAGCTCAGCGGCAGCTCAGCTCAGGCGCAGCGTCACTGGCCCATGTGAGAATCGAACCGGCGGCCCTGTTCTCAGAGCTCACACTCTAAACTAAAACTTAACCAACCGAGTCACTTGGCCGGCCCCTCTGACAGACATTTTATTTCACTCAACTTTTTCTGAAATGTATATGAATATGAAGAAAATTCAAAAATCATAACCTGTGATATAACTAAAAATATTTGCATGCAAAACAGTACTAACCAAAGTAAGCAAAGGATTTGGCAAGTCTAAATATTTAAGTATCATAATTCGAGGCCAAAAAAATAAAAAGATATGAAGAAAAAGGGAAATTTACCTTTTTAGTTCTTGTGTTCTTTTTACATTATAGTACAGAATGTCTGCATCTTCTGATTTCTGAAAAAAAATAAGGTGTCATTTAAGAAATGTTAAGTTGTGCACTGGAATTATAGCCACAGGGGAGGAGACTGGGAGACAGCGGTTTTCCATACCTGTGTGTTGACCTGTCTATTCTCTCCCACCCTGTCTTTCTATGTACTCTGGGAATACAGCGCTCGACACAAGAAAAATAAGAGAGAAATAGGATATCGTCCCTGTCTTAAAGAGCTTAGCGTCAAGTCAAAGAATAAGGTAAAGAGAAATAGAAGCATATGTACAAATGACCTAATATAAGGACATAATTAAGTATCAAAACAGAAGAATTGACAAAAAGTTGTAGAAGAGTTCAATACATCAACTGACCAAAAGTTGGAACATACTTAGAATAAAAGGTGGACAAAATATATGTTAAAGATTGAATAAAGATTAATGGGGAGGGGGAAAAAAGCATTCTCAGCTAAGAATGTTTAGGTACTCTAAGAAGCTAGAGCTGACTGGTACAAGTTAAGCAGAGAGAAAATATACCAGCAGGAGCAGAAGTTTTGAGGAAGAAGAAAAAAGAAAACTGGATAGATAAGGTGTGACCAAACTTAAGAGGGTCCTGAATGGGGCTGGCCGAGTAGCACGTTGGTTAAGAATTGGCTTGGGATGCCAGAGGGCCCCGGTTCGGATCCCACATGAGGGCCAGTGACACTGCCCTCTACAGCTAAAATGCTGAACAACAGCTCAATCTGGAGCTGGGCTGCCGTGGGTCGCCGGCCACGGCATAGGCTGCAGTCCCTGCTGCAGTGGGTTGCCATGGGCTACTGTGTGTAGCCGGCAGCCAGCGTGAACAGCCAGCAGTCGCCGTGAATGGCCGTCCAGAAGCTGGAGACTGATCTGCCTCGCCCGGGAAGAGCGCAATGATGGTGCCAGCTTGGGCCAGTGAAGCAACATCTTCCACAACTAGACTGAAGAACAAAAGGACAGCAACTTGTCTGTTCCCCTTCCCCGACTCCCCAGTGCTGTTCCCCTCCCCCAATTCCCCAATAAAATCTTTAAAAAAAAAAGAGGGTCCTGAATGACAAACTAAGAAGTGAGTGAAGGTTTTTCAACAGAGAAGAAATATGATGAAATCAATGTTTTAAGAAGGTTAATATAGCAACAATAAGTTGAAACAGCAGTTTCATTACATGAAAACAAATTCTTAAAAACACAATTCTGCTTTCATGGAACTTTCATGACTACTTTTTCTTACCACCCACAACTCTGTAGCTATCCCAACAGACACCTAACTTCAACTTAAATGTAGTAAGTACTTCACCACCCCTGCACTAGTTTCATGTGTTCGGTCTGCTGACACTGTTTTTTCAGAAAGTGTGAGAGTGGAAAGAACTATCTGGACTTGGCTCTCCTGCTATAAACAACAGGTCCTCGAATAACATCATTTCATTCATCACTTCGTTATAACGTTGAGGAGACACTGTAGGAACTTAGCTCTTATTTCTATCAATTAGCCTACGGTAAAATTGGTTTCCTTATGCATCATTTCACTTAAAATCGCAGAATCTAGCAATGACATTAAGTGAGGATTTACTGTACAATTTTGTGTCCTTGGACAAGTCACTTAACCTTCTGGATCTCAATTTCTGAATCTGAAAAAATGTAACCACCACATCTGCCTTGGCTACCTCAAAAGGAAATTTTAAAGACAAATATAACCATATGTAGTAAAAGACATAAAAAACGGCTAAATTTATATCCCTGTTGTTGTAATTCCACATGACAGGGTCTATCAGCCCAAAGAAAAAAAGAACTTGATAAACGCTTTTTGGGAGTAGAAGGAAGGAAAAAACTAAACTGGTTTTCCTTCCACTGGCTATCAAAAAGTTAAGCATAATATAAAGGAAAAACTAATGGAAAAGTAGCAGGGGAATTTGCATCATAAACCTTCTAAATGTACATTAAAACTTTAACATAAATAAGTTCTAGAGTTAGTATCTAAACACTCACCAGTTTTCTCTTCTTTGATGAAACGGATCTTATAGAACAAGCTGAACTGGTAGAACTTGCTGAGGTTTTTTTCTCTTTCTTATCCTGAGAATGACATTTGGAAAAAAAGGGAAGAAAACCACAAAATAAAGCATAGTATAAAACAGCATTATTCCATCACTGTTAGAAATTAACATTCCTTCTACATTAATAACAAACTTCAAAGGGGAACAGTGTTGAAAGTTTGTAATGTACAAACTTTGGTAAGAGGAAGGGAAACTCAGCTAGACAGGAAGAGGAAGGGAAACGCAGCTAGACGGGAGACTCAACTAGAAATCAGAAAACCTAGATGCTTTTCAATTAGAGATGAGACGGGATACAGGTGTTATAGAAGGCCAGCTGACATGTCAGCTCAGATAAGGACACTGGGAGATGGCACTGCCATGGCAGAATCCAGTCTTCTCCAAAGCAAAAATGTACTTCCAGTTATTTTTTAGGGGATCCTGAATTCAATAGAGCCAGGACAAACATATTGTGAGTATCTACTATGTGCCAAAGGCATTTTAGACATTAGGGACAGATTAATGAAAATACTATAAAAGTCCCTGCCCTTATGGAGGTTAAAATCTAGTACAGTTTACAAATAAGCAAAAGAGATATTTAATGTTTCACATTATGCTATGGAAAAAAATTAAGCAGAGAAAAAGGTCAGCAAGGGCTGGGAGGAGGGGGTAGAGGTAGGTGCAATTTTAAACAGAGCAGTCAGTAAAGGCCCCACTGATAAGTTGCCATGTGAATGGAAAGAAGTGATGGAACAAACCACGTGAATATCTAGGGAAAGAGTTGTCAGTTCAAAGGGATTAGCAGCCGGTGCAAAGCTCCCGAGGCAGGAATGTGCCTGGCTTGTTGGGACACAGCAGGGAAGCCATGCAGTGGAGAAAGTAAAGGGACAACCAGAGGGGGATGCAATGGGGACAGCACAGTCACTTTGTCGGCCCCAGCAAGGACCTTGGCTTTTACTCTGGATGAAGTGGGAGGCCACTAGAAAGCACTGAGTAGAGGAGGGATGTGATCTGACCTACATTTTAATAGGATCACTCTGGCTGCTGTGTTGAGAAAAGAACACCAGGAAAAGGTGAAAGCAAAGAGATCAATTTAGAAACTACTGGAATAATCTCGAAAAGCAAGTCGATTGCCTGGATCATGGTGATAGCAGTAGAGGAGGTAGTGAGACACTGAGGATGTTACTAAGAGAAAGCTGACAGAATCTGCTGATAGACGGATGCAGGTAGAGGATGACGACCAGGGTTTTGGACGAAGCGACTGAAAGAATGGGATCGCAACGTACCAGACTGGGAAATCTGAGGTTGGGCACTACAGTTTAAGAGAAGGAAGAACTAGCAAAGGACACTGTGAACAAGTTACCAGCGAGGAGGAAAATCAGGGTATGGTATCTCAAAAGCTAAGTGAAGAAAGTGTTTCCAGGAGAAGGTGTAATCAGTTACGAGTACGTCAAATATTGCTGATTGGTCAAGTCAGGTGAGGTCTGAAAACTAGCCAATGGATTCAGCAACATGAAAACCATTGCTGGCCTTAATGAGAACGTATCTGGAGAAGTGACAACAAGAAAAAGTCTAATTCAAGTAGTTGAAGGAGGCTGGGAGGAGAATTGCAAATAGCATGCCAATCATTAGTGTCGCATAGGGAACACATACGTCAAGGACAGCAGAGTACTCTAGGGCCACCTTCCCAGGTCCTCTTTCCAACACCTAGGAGGCCAAATTCGTAATCAGAAAGGTAGTAAGCAAGGAACAAACACCAAAAAGTGTAACGATCTCTAGAACACTTCATTCAAGTGATAAAAACGCTCTATGAACTAACCTGCTACCACAGAAATCACTTTTTTAGTGAATATTCATTCACCTATGCCAGACTATAGTCTCTCATCTTGGATGGTAACACAGCATAAACACTATCTAATTCTGATGATGCACTATTAACACTATTCAGAGAGTTTATAATGAAACTGATTACAGGGTATTTTGTTTGTTTGTTTTGGTTACATCAATCACATGACAGTCTTGCTTCCTGGAGACAACACCCAGATCAATGAGGTTGCTCTCCTAAATTTCATTTGTCAAAGCACTTCTTAAGGCAGCGTGCTGACAGTATCAGAAAAAAGTTCAGTGAGCAAGCCTTCCCTACCCTCAGCATCCTCAGCACAGGGGCAGCCCATTCTGATTGATGCACATGTAATCCTACCCAATGCTAAGTAAATGCACAAGGGAGATGTGAAAAATGGCCTAATGGTGAGTTATTTCTATGAAAAGAAAGATTTGGGGGAGGTTTAGAATTGAAGTCAGGAATGCGTAGGCAAATTGCTTACCTCTTTAAGCCTATTTCCTCATTTGTGTAAATGGGACAATAACAGTAACTACCTCATAGAATTGTGAGAAATAAATAAAATAATGCAAGTAAAGAACAAAACAAATGACTTCTCCTGGGTCAGAAGGGCAGAACAAAATATTTATGTATCTCATTTTAAAACAGAGGTGTATTTTTTTGCATTACACAAAAATAAACTGTAAAAAGGGGCATCTATGGGTCAGTAAATAAAAATTCTTACTTCTTCATCAAAGTTGGGTAATGAGGTGGTGCCTTTTCTCTGAGACGTCTCTCCTTCTCCACAAGATTCTTTGTTGGACATTTTTTGAAAAGCTAAAATAAACATTAAAAATATATTACGTGTTTTTTACCACCACAGCAAAACAATACATTAAAAGTTATTTTTTCAGTTATATAAAGATTGAAATTTTACAAAATGATTTCCATTTTCTAACTATTCCCAAGATGACAGGATTCCCTCACTTTAGTTCACTTATATTCTCCCTCATAATGATGTGTTCCCCTCCTTCAGCTTCATCTATCATCTTTTTAGGAATGACTCAAAACTATGCCTTTGGGCCGGCCAAGTGGCGCGTTGGTTAAGAGTTGGCTTGGGATGCCAGCTCTGAGCAACAGGGTCCCAGTTCGGATCCCACGAGGGTCAGTGATGCTGCACCCTCTACAGCTAAGATGGTGAACAACAGCTCGACTTGGAGCTGGGCTGCTATGAGTCACCAGTGACGGCATAGGCTGCAGCCCCTGCTGCAGTGGGCTGCCATGAGCTACTGTGAGTGGCTGGCAGCTGGCATGAGCTGGCGTGAGCTGCTGTGAGCGGCCGTCCAGTGACCAGCGAGCGACTGCCTCACCCGGGAAGAGCGCAATGACAATACCAACATGGGCCAGTGAAGCAACGTCCTCCACAACTCACAACTAGGCTGAAGAACAAAAGGACAGCAACTTGTCTGTTCCCCTTCCCCAATTCCCCAAAATCTTTAAAAAAACAAAAACAAACAAACAAAAAAACTATGCCTTTAACCCTGACTTTTCTCTCAAGCATCAGATCACCATTTTCAACTGCCTGCAAGGCTACTGTATTTTGCCCCACCTACACCTCCAAACCAATTAGTCAGGAGTCTTCATTTTCCTGACACACCCTCTGTCACTCACTGAGTGAGACTTCAGACACACCACATACATTTTTTGAGCCCCAGTTTCATTACATGTAAAATGGAGATAATCCGTCCCTGAGGGTTTTTGAGGGATTCAAATGAAACACTGAATATTAAAAATACCTTGCACCAGGTAGAGCGTAGTAGGGTCTAAATAAGTACTGGCTTATGTGGTTGTATTTCTACTAGAACTTGAGCCCCTTGAAGAGTATGCTGTGTTAAAAACTTACAAGGAGCTCCTAAGTGTCTGCTGAGTGAATAAATGAGTGGATTTTTCTTCCTCAGAATATTCACTCTTTCGTTCTGAGCCACTCCCAGTTCTTAACCATTGCAGTTCCTCCATCCACTTCCCATCCCAGTCTCATCTGTCCAGCCCTGCTTTGGATGAAGTCAATACTGTTAGCTGCTGAAACCCTCCTCCCACCAAAAAAAAAAAAAAAAGCATAAGACAAACATAGTCATTCCTTATGGTCACAAATGCTCTCTGTCAAGTTAGTGTGTACCAAAAGCATCCTGTGCTGGAACATAGAGGCCAGAGTTTGGGAACATCACCAGGTCTGTTTTGACAGGAAAATATAAACGGGGTCTAGAAGCAAAGCTCAAAGGCGAGCTTATTGCTGGTAGTGACACATATTAAGACTATGAACATAACAAAGGCTAGAAACCAAGCAGTTGCAAGTACTGCTGGTCAATCATGATCACAGTAAGTGAAGTTTTATGAAAGAATGATGAATTAGATGAAATCAAATTAGCTAATTTAAACCTCTTAACCATAAGACAAATTGAAAAAAACACAGATAGTGGACTATCGAAGGAAAAACACCTATATGATTACCATGACAAGTAATTTATATTTGTATCAGTGTGAAATTCATATTGATTTTATGAAAATAAAAATATACACTAAATATGAAGAGACCTTTTGCCCTGGCCAGGCTCCAAAATGGCTCCTGATGATTTCTGCTGCCTGGTAATTCCACTCTTATGTAGTCTCCTCTCACAATAAATAGGGCTGACCTCTGCAACCAATAGGATATTGCTACATGGCGATATGTGGCTAGGTCATATAAGGCATTCTGGCTTCTGCCTTTCCCTGTCTTGAATTGTTCATTCTAGAGAAAGCCAGCTGCCACCCTGTCATGAGGACATTCAAGTAGCCCACCACGGAAGAACTGAAGCCTCTTGCCAAAAAAGAACCAACCGCCAGGCATATGAGTGAGCTGACCCTGAAGAGCCCTAATCATGCCAGCGTCCCTGGCAGGCATCTTCACTACAGCCTCATGACAGACCCAGAGCCAGATACACCCCGAAATCCATCTCTGAACTCCGGACACATTGAAACTGTGGGGTAATAAATGTTTATCACTGTTGTAAGCAACTAAGCTTTGGGGCAACTTAAAGCAGCAATAGATTAGTAATACACTCACTTTACGTAATTCTCCAAACTCTGAAGTTTCCTTCTTTAGGATGTCTCAAGAGCAGGAACCACGCTTGGAAATTCTTACTGAAATTCCCATAGAACGCACATTCTAAAATCTAACTTTTGTCATCTTCCGGTTTCCAGATGGTATTAATTAAATAAGTATTAAATGATAAGATTGACATGCTGACCCATTAAGTCTTTTAGAAATACAAAAAAAGAGATCAACAATTCTTGGATGCTGGACAGCCACTACTCATTTCTAGAAGTTAATACTGTGTTATTATCCCATTTTGCAATTGACTGTCCCGTGCCTGAGACTAAAAGGGGCTCCCCTCACCTGCTGCCTATTAACGATCGGACCCGTTCCAGGCAGAGCAGCCAGAAAACAAGTTTTCTCCTCTGCCTGCCCCAGTGGGCACAACGAGTGAGGCTTAAGCTCAAGCAAGCCCAGAGAGCAAAGGGAAGAGAAGTACAGGGGGTCAGGGGACTCACTGGCATATGCCGTAGGGAATCTGAATGGCATCAATCAAGTGCCTGGAAGCTCAGAGATCTGGTTATGAAAAGCCTAGATACAAGCGTGAGGGGGTGGGGGGAAGCCCTATTCACTGGACGCTTACGACCACTGCGCAGCGCTGATGGTACTGAGAATATGTTGATTAAAGCAAAAATAAAAAAGGAAAATAGTGTTCGGGTCACGGTGTGGGTGAGGGTGCGAAATAATGAGCTGATCCCAACTCCAGCCAGCCGGACTGACAGCTCGTCAGCCGCTCGTAAACTGCCGGGGCCCACCGGCTCCGCAGGAACTGACCGGACTTTTACACTGAGCAAGGGGCAGCCCCAGAGGCAGAGCCACACCCTACACTGAACTGGCTGGACCTCAGGTCCGCCCAGAGTCGCCCGCCCCAAGCTCGAGTTGGCCCCCTGAGTTCTCAGTCCCGCCGGCCTCCAGTTTAGGCTCCCAGGGTGAGACGGGGAGCCTGCCCAGGAAAAGGTCAACGAACTCCCCCCGCGCGCCCCCCCCCACCCCCCAGGTCCCTACCTTACCAGCCCCGCGAAGGTGGTGACTTCGTACGCCCGGCCAAGGGAGAGAGACCCCTGAACCCGGAGCCCGCTGGGAAATGTAGTTCTGCACTCGGATCCAGACTACCACTTGACCGCTTCGGGGCGTAGCTTTGCATTTACTTCCTCCAAAGACGTGGGACTCCGGCTCCGCCCCCCCCCCCGGCGGCGCGGCGAACCCTGGGTATTGTAGTCTTGGTTTCGTTTGGTGGTTGACGGCTGAAAGGGAGACGCAGGGGGAAGCGGAACTCTGTATCTCATTGGTCGCTGTCCCCACTATGCTTCTGCGCAGTCTGTGGTGGCGTCGTAATGCCTCGGGGAAAGGGAAACTGATGGGACTGCGAATCGCTGCCTCTGGCTTTTTATTTCTCTGCTGACAGGATTTGGTCACTGGTTCTCCATCTTTTGTCTGTTGCACGCATCCCGTCCCCCCATTTGCTTTCCCACTCCTTGGATCCAGCCCTCTGGGAATTCACGCCAGTTCTCTGACCCCGCCGTGAGCCCCTCCTGGTCCCGGGGCGGGCCTGGCACGGAGGCGGTAACTATGGAGAATATGGCGGAGGAGGAGCTGCTACCCCAGGAGATGGAGGAGGTCGCGGTGGCCCAGGTCCAGGTCCCGACCCCGGCCCCGGACTCAGCTCGGGTCCCAGCTCCGGCCCCGGATACGGCCCCGGCCCCGGACTCGGCTCCAACCCCAGCCCCTGCCCCGGCTCAGGCTCCGGCCCTGTCCCCGTCCCTAGCCTCTGCCCCTGACGAGGCTGAAAGCAGTAAGTGCAGGAGGCCCAGATCTTTCTGCCGCAGGACAACCGAGATGAATGCGCCTTGCTGGGGAGGCCCGTCTTCACTGGGATGGCTTTTATGGGGAAAGGCAGGTTTCGAGAAACGGGGGGAGGACGGAGGGACCCGTGTAGCGCGGAAAACGGGTACAAAATGGAAGAAAGCGTCTCCACAAACCTCGAGGACTTCACGATGAAGGTTATGTGGAGGCCAGGGGTGCTGCCAAATGAGGTTGAGGGCTTCTTCGTTAAGGGGGGGCTTTTTCCGGTACAAAAAAATAGGAAATTACACCTAATTTGATAGTTTTCCCTCAGCCTCGTCTGCCATGGTTCATTCAATAAGTCTTTTAAAATGTGACACAGTAACCAAGGCAACCTGTTTACTGTAGTAGATCCTAGCTGTCAAGATTCAGAAACCATTGCTGGCCAACGAGTTTTTATGCCTCGACATGCATAAAGAGATGGGTTTTTCTCATTGTTTCATTTTCTATAACAGCTTGCTTCCAACAAGAATTTGAATCTGATGAGTAAAGAGCCAACTGAGTTATGGATGTCTTCCCTCAGACATAATACCAGTTGAGTTTTGTACTCCATTCCATCAGAAGTCAACTGTTGAAAATTAATAGCCCGTATTATTGTGCTTCTGACTCTGCTTTGCATGTTTTCTAAGTGGTGATTTATTGGACCATAAAGGATTTTAAAAGATTAATAGGATAACATTTAATTAAGAACCTTCTGAACATTTCAGTGTAAGGTCTAAGAAAGTTTTTGGGTTTTTTAAATTATTTTTTTGATCCATAAATTGATTCTTATGCTCTTTCTGAATTATAACAAAATAAATGAATTCATTTTCTTTCCTACGTCCAGGCCAGCTGTGAGTTTAATGTCATAAAAGACTTGGATAGTTACTCTAATAGAATTATTTTGCAATGTTAAAACAACATATGGGTGTAGATTTGAGAGTAAGGCTGATCACAGAAAAAACGAAGATCGGAGCTAGTAGGTGCGAAATAAGGCCAGCTGTTTCCTCACCAGCAGCTACAATGGGGGGTAGAGGAGGTACACTCTTGAGTAAGTTATCCCCCCTACCTCACCTCTAGATTGGGTCTCTTTATATTAATCAGAAGTGGTTTACCAGCTTTAGGGAATGTATGCTTTTGCCTTACCATCAAGAATATGTTAAACACAGTTTGGGAAGATTTATTTGTATATTCTAAAATTTACAAGTATGTAATTTGGAGAAGGTGTGATGTTTGAGACACCTGAAAATGCGTTACTGGGACAAATATGTAGTGACTGAGAAACGTGAAACGCATTAGAAATAATGTGTTAATCACATTTTAAATTACTTTTAGATGGTCCAGGTAGTCCTTTGAAATCAGTCTTATCTAGGCAAGATGAAGATGTCATAACTGAAATAGAACTGAAAATCGAGGAAAACGTAACAGAAGAAATAGTAAAAGAACCTAGCATTTTGGACTCATCTGATTTAATAAGAGGTTTGCTGTTGACTTTTGGATTATTAGTGTGTTACCAAAAGGTTGAGTGATTTAAGTACAGATAGTGTGCTATCAACTATCTTGAGCCAGAAAGTGATTTTAGAGGTGTACATAGGCATATGGTGAATCTTTAGATCTTTGCGAGTTGTATTCATAGTGGACCACAGGATTTTTCGTTCGCTTCTAACTTACAGCTTCCTTTCTCTTTATTTTGTACTACTTAGTAGTTAGAATGATTTCAATAAGCACGTCTTTATGTAATACTATATATGTTGTTTCACATATGTGTATATAGATCTTTGAACTATGGAATGCAAAAGCTTTTGTGATTACAAATTAAATAGGTACACTTGAATTCATTGCCAGAATCTTAACTGTATGACATCGCAATTAAAATGGGAAAAAAATTTTGCCTGTTTATAAGAATTATAGCTTGTTAATCATTGGAATAATACCTGAGTTAATCATGCGTTGCTCTTCATTTTTCTCATTTAAAAACTAAGGTAAAAATTGTATTTTAATAAACTTGAGCAGGAATGTCTGATAGTACTGAATTGAATTCCCAAATTACTGACATAGTGTGCCGCTGCATCCAAAAAGACTAAAGATTTTTCAAAATTATTTAACAAAGTTTAGTGCCTGCTGTGTGCAAGTTAATGTACTAGGCACTTAACCATTACAAAGATGAATAAGGCCTGACCCTTATTTCTGCTTGCTGCTTATTTCTGGGGGAGCCAAACAAGGACACAAATTATACAGAAGGGTAAACAAAGGAACTGGGAGTGAACCTAGAAGGTAATAGTTGAGAAACCTGAAAATGTGTTACTGGAACTGGGTTTTGGCTTTTTACTTCTCTTTTTCACAACGTTGTTTCCTTAGGCTTCCTTAGTCATGCTCATAGTTTCATCAAACATATGTATTTATGATTATATGTATTCAGAATCCCTCCAGAGCCCTAAAACCAATTCAGCTGCTCACTGGACTTGAGTACATGCATACCAGAACTACATAAACATACTATGTCAAAAGCTAAATGCCCTTTTTTCCATTCCTCTTTCTTTCTGCCAAAAGTGTTTTTCTCTTTCTTCATTGGTAAATGGTTCCATTATTCTCAACTCAAAATCCTAGACTCATTCCTGCATTTACTCTTCACCCTTACTTTACACCCACATCCCAAATTCTTTGCTTTTTTGGGGTTTTTTTAGGCCTCCTATCCTCCTGTACCTTTCCATTACTAATTTCTCACCTCAATTATTGATCCTTGGTTCTACAGCCAAAGATAACCTGAAACACATTCAAATCATATTCACTTCCTCAAAAACCTGCAAAGACTTAGCATTGCCTGATAAATAAAGGCCAAACGAACTTGCATAGAATTTACCGTATTTCCCCATGTATAAGACGCACCTTTTCTTGAGAAATTTTGGGTCTAAAAACTGGGTGCGTCTTATACAGTGGTTGTAGTTCGTCAAGTCATTTAAGAAGTGTGGCATTTCAAATGCCATAGATGGAGCTGAGGACGAGGCAATATATGAAGACAGTGATTCATCATCAGACACAGATGAGGACAAGCTAATGGTTGGGAGTTTTCACAGTGATGAGGAGTTGTATGAATTTTATGATGAATAAAACTTGAGTTCAATAACTTTATGTAATTGTCTTTATGCAATTTTTTTCAAATTTTGGGCCCCAAAATTAAGATGCGCCTTATACATGGGGAAATACGGTATGCCTTCCATGATCTGGACTACATTTTTGGCTGCATGTTTTTCTACCAACTCCATCCATCCAACCAAGGGTGGAATAGAGGTAGCTGTGTTTTTTTATACCACTTACCTTTGTTCATAAGGTTACATAAGTTTATAAGGCCAGCCACCAAATCTCTACTTATTGAAATGCTATTCATACCTTAAGTCTCAGTTAAGTGGCACTTCTTCAGCAGTGAAGACATTCTCAGCAGCACTTGATGCAATTAATTACCCCTCCCTCTGCATGCCAGCATTATATTACCTTTACCCCTAGTATTCATTTCATTCTGCCTTGTGTTATTTAGTAGTTAATCTCTCCTACCTGACTTAAAGTTCTTTGAAACTAGAAAACATGGCTTATGTTCTTTTCTTCAGTGTTTTGTACGGAATAGAAACTTTTTTTTTTTTAGAATTATATTGAATAGTTAGGTAAATTTTAAAGCTGTAAAGTCCCACAGTAGAGTTTTCCCCCCAACTTTTTGGATTCTGAGGCACACTTGTCATTTTATAAACAGTTCCAGCAGCATTCCCCATCTAGGTACCAGAGCAATATGCTACAGGAAATAAAACTATAAAACTGACATGATCAAATAAAAATGGAACGAATACAGATTGTTAAAGCATAATCTTCTAACTCTTAAAATTTCCTTTCAGAGAGACACATCTCAATTCAAAGGCAGCTTGCTGATCTAGAGAAATTGGCTTTTGTAACTGAAGGGGACTTTGACTCGGCCAGTTCATTGAACTCAGATAATCTTGATGCAGGTATTTCCATGTTTGGAGGTTGTGTGTGTGTGTGTGTGTGTGTGTGTGTGTGTGTGTGTTTTCTTAATTTCTAATGGTTTGTCATGTTTAACCTTATGAAAAGTTTGCTAAGAATAGAGTTGTGTATTCCACTGAACTAGAGCAGTAGTAAAATAAATTTCTATATTCAGGAAATAGATAGCCGCCTATATGCAGAGGTGCTGTGGGTATTAGTCATTTCACCACTCCTCCAGGAAATTACAATCTCATGGATACCTAAGGGCTATGTATTTTATGAGTTAGAAATTGCATTGGGCTATAAGTAACAAAAATCCCAAAAAGCAGTGCAATTAAATATGATGGAGGCTTGTATTCGCTCATGTAAAGAAAGTTCCAGGACAGGCAAATAGGTCTGGCACAAGAGTTCCACAATAGTTTCAGTGTCCCCAAGCTCCTCTCTGCCTGCTTTGCCATCCTTAGTGCTTGGATTCCATGCTTAAGATCACCTCATGGTTTATTAGTATAGGCAGAGTATATTAAAAAATAAATTATGCCTATGCTTGCAGTGTGCTGTACGTGAAAGATATTTGTTGGGTTAGAATTTATTGAGTTATTGATTATTTTTGTATGTTTTTATTGCTTTAAATCTGAATTTGAGATTTTAATTGTTTTGTGTACTATCAAACTTTTTATTTGAAATTAATTTCTAATTAGACTTTTATCTTGATGATCCATAATCTTTTTGAGACTATGTTAATAGGGAAGAATTTACAAATTCAGTAATAAGACACAGTGGTTCTACCCATGCCCCCCAGTCTCAGAATAGCAATTATATTAAATTCCTTCTATTGCTTTGAATTCCTTCTTCCACTTATCTGACTCCACATATTAACTGTTTTTGTTGCTGCCAGAGTAGAATACCATGGCAGGTTCGTATGCTCTCTGCCCAGCTCCTGGCCCTCTGTGAGTGTGACAACTGCTGCCTTTTCCCCTTTCCCAAACACAGAGTGACGCTCTTTCTGCCAGGCGTTTTGGCTGGAGGGATAGCATATAGTTGATCACTTCCTCATCCTTTCTGTTCCCAGGGGCAACAAGAATATCAGCTAGCCACAGAGTGGAGTCTTCGGGTAAAAATTAATCGCTGACCATGTGCTAAAACAATTATTATTAACTATCTACTGAGGCAGGAATGACTTCTCCCTGATGTTAAGAAAGACATTATGTAAGAAGGGAGGTTGGGGTTCAGGGGTCCCCTGTTACTTCTTCTGTAGCTGAATCTAGGCATTAATAGCTAGTTTATCCTGTGCTTTATTGGTTCTTTTTTCTTTATCAGGAAACAAACAGGCTTGTCCATTGTGCCCTAAGGAAAAATTCAGAGCTTGTAATAGCCATAAGCTTCGTCGTCACCTTCAAAATTTACACTGGAAAGTCTCAGTTGAATTTGAAGGTTCGTATTTTTGTGCTTGCCTGAAATTGAGGTAAATGAAATTCAAGATATGATACCAATTTGGAATTTCATTGTGACCTAAAATCAAGTATTTTCAGTTTAAAATGATGAGAGATTAGTGCCCCTCTTTTAATGTGTGTGTTAATAAAAAACCATATAGCTCTCTAGGTAATAGCTATATGTGACATAAGTAGTTTAGTTAGGCAAACGTGTATTAACGTGTATCTGTCCTGTACTGCCTACTCTGCTTGGCCTGGGCGTCCACATTACTTACTGAACAATATTTAAATAAGTTATACTTTTTCTTTTGTATTAGAACAACTGCCATTTTGCACATATTTTTGAAGGTATAATAAATGTAGTAACATAAGAAAGTAAAAAAATAATTGGTATGAATATTGGAAAAGAGAAAACAATATCTCTTTTTTCTCTTGATGGCTAAAAAAAACTAGAGTTAGTAAGAGTATTTAGAACAGTGATAGAATATATGATAAATAATCAAAATCATACTCTTCTTTCACTCTAGATAAATGGAAATAGAAAAATATACCAATTATAATAATGACATTGTAAATATTTTGTAAGGTATCAGATGGTCACATGTCTTGTTAGGGAGACCGCTTCATGGATGGGGTCAAGGCTTGATTACTGCACTGTACACCTGAAACTGATGTTGTATAATATTGTATGTCAACTATAATTGAATATATATATGGTCACGGGATGTGGAATATAGTGTGGGAGTGGAGTCAATGGAATTGTACTAGATACGTATGATATGGGGAGGGAGTGGGGTGGTGGATTGGGAGAGGGGGTTGTCACTTTGAGGGGTAAAAAGTATAACTATTGCACTGTGTTGTACACCTGAAACTAATAAAAAAAATGACACCATTTGGGGGAGTAAACAAGAAGAGTCATATAAAGAAATGATTGGGCTGGCCAAGTGGCTCAGTTGGTTAAGAGCTCGCTCAAGAGTGTGAGCTCTGAGCAACAGTGGTTCGATTCCCGGCCCAAGCTGAGCAGCTGCTGAGCTGCCAACAGGTGGCAGGATGGCTCAGCTTTAAAAAAAAATGATTAAAGTTGAAGGACAAAAACCAAGATCTTATCAAATTAAAAGACTTCTTAAAGATAGTAAATGATTATTAGATTCTGAGATAGTGAATTATGTGAATTATTATAGCATTTTTGGAAAGAGATATGGCAACATTTAAAAATTTTAAATACATAACACATATCTATCCACCAGGCACTCCTTCTCCTGGGAGTAAAAGAATCAAAAGACAAGGATAGACATACAGGAATAGTCATTGCAATATGGTACTTAGTGACAAAAACATGGAACTAAAAGAAAAGAAGGACGGTTAAATAAATTATGGTACATACCATGACATACTATGTAGCCATTAAAAAGAGCACATTAGCTCTATGCCAATTTAGTTGGAAAGATTTCCATGGTAAACTAATAAAAACAGTAATATAATAGGGAAGATTTTATAATATTCCATTTGGATTAAAACAAAAAGTACCCCCAATAAAACCCTCAAGTGAATCTTAAATATGTGCATACTTGTATTTGGATATGATTATGTGAGCATAGATATTGTTAAATGTAGTTATTTGGAGTTTCAACCAAACTGGATGAAATAGCCAATATGAGACACCCAAGGAAGAAACCAGAGCTACCGTATTTTCTTAGTAGTACTGATAAAACATTATCACTAGTTACTTCAGAAAAAGGAAATTAGAGTAACTCAGAAGTCATCCTGAACAAGACCAGCTCGCTCAACCGAACGCCCCTGGCTCCTCAGCCAGGAGCTCACGGAAAGGAAAGGGTACCTGAGAGGATTGGGTGGGAGATGAGAAATAAAGAGAATAGAGACAAAAGCTGGGAGCAGGAGGGCCTCAGCCTGCTGGGGACAGACTAAGACCTCGTTTATTGGAAAGGCTCTGGTTATATAGGCAGTAAGTTCTTCTTTGTGTAGGGGAATTCAGCAGGGGGCTTTGGCAGGGGGCTTTGGGCGTAGGCATACAGAAACCAGGAACTAGGGCTGGGGAAATGAGTCCATAGTGAAACTAAATAAGCCTTGAGGTGGGCTCTGCAGTTGGCTTGCTGTGGGAATGGATACTTTTGGGAGTGTCTGCGCCTTGCTTATGCAGTTACTAAGCAGACTCTTATCCAGCTGCTCCCTTAGGCATAGGGTCCTGCATAGAGGCATGTAGCAGTTTGCCACAGCCTCAGTATCCCCAGCTGTCCTCACTTGGCTCCCAACATCATCCAGCCTTTTATGTTTAATTTTATGTAAGAATGTCTATTTAACCGTATTGACTTCTTATGAAAAAAGAAAGATCTCATCTTAATTAAAATGGTCTCTTTTGTAGTCTTTATTTAAGCCATTGTTTAACCTTTAGGTTTGGTCTCCTTCCTCCAAGTTATTCTCTTAAGTGATTCATGGTATCTCTTTCCTTTCTCATGTACGTTAGGTTGGTGAATCTTTTCACATGGTGAGGATCTGGTGGATGGTCAATAGCATAGTTTTTTAGTGAGAAGACTTCAAAGGGTAGTTGGCAAATATGTTGCAAAGAGAAGCAACAATATCTGCTGAAGTAATACAAGTGAGATGTGAGGCAGAAAAGCCAAGAATGCTTGGGTTTGAGACTTGAGCAACTAAAAAAATAGAGTTGTCCTTAACTGAGCTGAAGCAGACTACATTAGGACCAGGTATGAGGAAGAAGGCCATGACCTTAGATTTAGGCATGGAAAGGTTCAGATGCATCTAGTGGAGTTATCAAGTAGCCTGTAGGTTGTATGAATCTGGAGCTTGGGGGAAAAGTTTGGGCTACACATGTACATTTGGGAGTTGTCAGAATTTAGATGGCATTTAAAGCCCTAAGACTGGATGGGATAACCATAAGGGAAAAAAAAGTCGTCCCAGGTCTGGTCCTGGGACACTTCAGCCTATACAACTAAGAGAAATGATTGACTATAAGGTATGAAAAGAAAGGAGTTGGAGATAACTTACAGTTTTTGAGTTAGGAGCAACTGGAAGGCATCACCATTCATTTAAAAAAAAAGTGAAAAAGAGACCTGGTTCAAGAGCAAATGATAAATTTATTCCTTAACAAGTAGATTTTGAAATGCTGATCCAGTAACCAGTCATAAATCCTCAATAGGCAATTGGGAAGAGCCATCTGGCCCTCAGGACCGAGTTAGTAACTAGAGTTATAATTTGGGATTCCTTCCCACAGGGGAGATAGTGGCAATCATGAAACGCATTAATGTTACCAAGAGCGTGAGAAAAAACTCATGGAGCGCATCAAGTCCATGGAAAACTGACATTTCAGAGTGTGAGAAAGGGAAGAGGATCTATAGAGGAGGTTAGGAAGGGTGGGAAGAGAACTAAGGTAGTGCCATGTCATAAACGAAGAGGCTGTGTAGAGGCAAATGCAGCGGAAGGCAAAGCTGAAGAAAAAGTCAGGATGGCAGAGAACAGATGATCAAATTGAGTTCCAAAGAAGCTAAGTAGCTAATCCAAGATAATACAGATAAGTCTTTTGGCAAAACCAGAATTCAAACCCGGGTCTCCTATATTTGTTTTATACTATTGATATATATAACACTAAGGCAGTCTCATTCAAATAAATTAATTATGACATTACAAATATAAGAATAATCCTAGTTAATTCTTATAAAATAAAATTTGCTAATAATTTTTAATGATAATTGAATATTTAATGAACCAGCCATTCTTCTTTCTAGGTTACAGGATGTGCATCTGTCACTTACCTTGTCGACCAGTAAAACCAAACATTATTGGAGAACAGGTATTCAGATGTTAGATGTATTTTTAAATTTAGCCCTCTGTAAAGAAAATGCTTTAAGACTAAAATGTGCATATTCAGCAATAAGGTTTACTTTAAGGTTTTCTATCTGAGTGTTTTCAGATTATCATAGTAGGAAAAAAGAGTTCCTGTATTGAATTTTCCACTTTATACTTTTTAATTTCAGTCACATAAATTGCTGTCTTGTATTCAAAAGGAAAATTAACTTATTTACTAATTTTAGAATGGAAATTCTAAATAGAAAGCAATTTTTTTTTCTTTTAAGATAAATTTTGATCTTGAGATAAGAGCCTTCAATTTCTGTGATTTAGTAAATGCTTAGCATGTGTCGATTCATACTTATCTTTTCTAGGCTCTTTTAATTTGTCAAAGGACAGACTCAAACTTTCTGAAATCTTTGATAACTTTTTAAAAAGTACATTTGTTCATTTTTAGGATAAATTTGATTTTTTGGGAATACAAATTATAAAATACTTTTAGTAACACTATTTGAATGCATATTAGTTTAATGAGTCCTCATTAAATTTTTTTTTTTTTGGTTACTAAAAAAGAGTAAAGTGCTGGGGGCAAAAAACCAAACATTTCTTAAACAATCGTCAGGGCAATGCTTGGTCTATCTACCCTATCAAAAGTATTTTGAATATGATAACCTCAGTACCATAAGGAACCCTGTGCAATGTTCTGGTTATTCTCTACAGTTACTTATATATATCTGTATGATCCCAAGTAAGTAGGAGGTAGAAGCACTAGGAGTAAAAAGCATCAAAAATAGGAAAGAGCCATTGGAGGTAGTGTTGTGGTTCTCAGCTAAATGAAAAATTGTAAAGTGAGAATTTTTTATTTGAAAAAATAGACTTTTCGTTATATCTCTAGCATTCAGTGGTGTGCTGGAACAAGCTCAGATTTCCAGAAATCTTGAAGGCTAGTTGCTAAACATGGCCATCATTAAAAATTAAATTATATAAATTTAAAAGTGAATATATTAAAAGGTAATGAGGGCCGGCCGAGTGGCTCATTTGGTTAAGAGCTCACTCAAGAGTTTGAGCTCTGAGCAACAGCAGTTTGAGTCCCGGCCCAAGCTGAGCAGCCGCTGAGCTGCCAACAGGTGGCGGGATGGCTCAGCTAAAAAAAAAAAAAAGGTAATAAATACTCAAAATTCACTACTTCCTAATTATTTTACTACCTTTTGCTATTATCTGTGCTCTTACAGTTATGTATATGTACCTATGCTCTCTTGTATGATATTACATATCTTTTCCCAGATTCATGTTCAGTGATGTCACATTGGTAGCTTGAAATCTGTCACAGTTGTAGCTTGAAATTATAGAGTATTTCTTTTTGAAATATATGCTACAGAATTCTAGCTGCAGACACTACCAATCATGACTTTGTTTTCTTGGAGAGCCAAGTTAAACAACTACCAGCACACCGCTGCTAATATTATACCATTTGTAAGTGCTACTTATAGAAAATAGGACAGCTATTCACTGATTAGAATGAATGGAAAAATCTAAGAAATTAAAGTTGTAGCCTATTGTAAAGTAAGATTAAAAAGCATAAGTAAATATAGATAAGGAAGTAAAGATCCCTTCCAAGTCACATAACAAAATGAAAACTATCTTCTTAAACCAGACACACTAACATACTTAAATTTTCAACCTTAAATAAACTCCTATTTTGTTGTCTTAGTCACTTACTTACGTATTTAAATCAAATACTCTGTTTGATAGATATCCAGTAAAATGGGCGCCCATTATCATTGTATCATTTGTTCAGCAACAATCACCAGAAGGACTGATATGCTAGGACATGTTAGGCGCCATGTGAACAAAGGAGAGACTAAATCAAGGTATATTGCTGGTAAGTTGAGCAATCTTTATTAATACGTTAATAAGAAAATCCTTAAACATGCATCAGAGAGATAAATGATAGTGACTTAACCAAATTACGTAGTTAACAACTAATCCATTACTTCAGGTTTCATTTCTTTCTATGAGGCTCCCAACAACACACAACAGCCCTCAAGTAACATATTTAATAAATGGGCAGGAAAAAAGCAATTGATGCTCAAGTAGATGTAGGTATCTTAATGAAAGATTATATTTAGGGTTGTATCACTAATGATGGCTCCTGCACCAATAACTGTGTTCTATTTATTGTTGAAAAACACTAGATAAAGGAGGTAAAGTGACATAAAGACCACTTATTTCCCTGAGTGATAGATACCAAGTTATTAATAATTTGTTATTACTGAGGCAGCCCTTCGCAAGAACTATGCCCTCATGCCGTAAGACATCCATTGTAGGTCATGAATTTCTTTCCTATACATCTAGAATGGTCCTATGTACCTTTCTTTTAAGAATTAAAAAATATATATCACTGAAATAATTTTCTATAGAGCCTGGTTTTCTCACAGCATCTGATTTGAGAAAGGCTGAGCTTGTGAGATATGTGATATGCCATCCTGGTGGCTATAGAAGAATATATAACACAACACTAGGAAAGGTTACTATTATTTGGCATTGTAAAAAGAGAAATATGCCAGTTAGTTAACATCCTGATTGTAATACAATCAAGAAATCCAAACATAATCTCAGTTACGTTTACTCACGTATTATGTATGTTTCCATTCTTAAATATCTAAAACATATACACACAAATACATCAGTATTTTATTTGGGTTTATCTCTAAATTATTTATAGCCATTTGACTGTAATTTGTGATTTAAAATCATAATTATGATAACGTCTTCTGAAATCTAGCATGTTCAAAAAATACAATGATTCTTAGTCATCCATGATAGCTAATGAAATGTAACCATACAGAGATACTAATTTTCTAACAATTACACCACAATAACATATATTTAGCAGCCAACCTCTGCAAACATAATGTCATGTTTGATAAGTAATAAAGGTACTTCAGGATTTTATGCTATATTAGGTTGATTGTTTAAAACTAAGTATCATATATCTATGTATTGATGTGCTAGGCAATTAAAGTTAATAAAGTTTAATTCACTACTTAACTGAGTTCTGCTCTTTTCCAGAGATATTATGGAGTACATCAATTTTGGGTTTTTGTTTTTTTTTACATCTACCAAACTGGTTACCATTAATATAAATTATTATAATGAAAGGTCTTTTTTTAATGTATATTGTTTTAGATACTTAGAATTATTTGGTATTTTACTGGAAATCTTTTTTTTTTTATCTTAGCTTCTGCTGCTAAACCACCTAATGAAATTTTGAAAGAGGCAGACACAGATGTACAAGTTTGTCCCAACTATTTTGTCCCTCAGAAAACAGATTCCTATTTTAATCCCAAAATGAAACTCAATCGGTAAGACAAATTGAGAAAAGGATTATGGGATGTTTCAAATCATTACAAATGTACTCTCTCTTAATGTTCTAATGTATTGAAATTTAAAACTAGGTACAGAATGAAAATCACCTATTTTAGCATTTTCTCAGAATGATTGTTTTCTCTTTTTTCTACCAAACCAATTTCTTTCTCAGAGAGTAAAGTAGGCCTAACTTGATGTAATTAATGAACAGTGCTTTTGGAAGCAAGTTTTATTTATAAAATCAGTATTCATAGTGCATGCTTGTTAACAGAACCCAATCAGATTCATAGTTTAATTTCACAAATTTTGGTTCTGATACTACAAAGTAGGGAATATGTTATTAGGCTTCCTTTTAAAATACTTTGTACAGTAAATAGGAACCTCAGTTCTTACTATTCTTAAATAAAATAAAATCTATAAAGATGAAGCCATGATAAGTAAAATTATTTCAGATTATTATATTTTCTTCTAGGCAGCTAATATTCTGTACATTGGCTGCTTTGACTGAGGAACGAAAACCTTTGGAATGTCTAGATGCCTTTGGAGCCACTGGTAAGTTATGAAGCTTTTTTGGAATCCAACTTTATTTCTCAGATTTGTACAGTAACTTTTCTTAGAAAATGTATATAAATATCATGTAGTAGAATATTTTAATCTAAAAAAATTAAAGATCCAAGGTAAATTCTTTAATTGTGGAAAATTTTCTAATACTTTTAAAAGTAGAGAGGATGATAAATGAATCCCTTTGTATCCATCACTCACTTCAAAAATTATCAACTCAGGCACAGTCTTGTACCTCTCCCCATGCCCTTTCCTCATACCTCATGCCCTCATCGCCATCCCCATTATTGTGAAACAATTCACAGATAGGTCATTTCATCTGTAAATATTTCAGTCAGATCTCTAAAAGATAAGGACTTTTTATAAATAAAATCATGATACATCATGACACCTAAAAAATTAATAATTCTTTAAGATCATCAAATGTTTAGATATGATTATCTCCTAGTTTTTTAAAAAAATGAAATCAGAATCTAGATAAAGACTATTTCAATTGTTTATATGTCTTCTAAGCCTCTTTTCAATCTATATTCCTTTCTGTCGTGTATGTGTGTGTGTGATAATTATCTGAGTGTGCATCCTTGTCTTGTTCCTGATCTTAGAGGAAAAGCACCATTTAGTATGCTGTTAGTTGTCAGATTGTCATGTATGGCCTTTATTATGTTGAGATACATTCCCTCTTTACTTACTTTGTTGAGAGTTTTGTCGTAAGTGGATGTTGAATTTTATCAAATGCTTTTCTGCATCTATTAAGATGATCATACCATTTTTATCCTTTATTCTGTTAATGTGGTGTATAGCATTTACTGATTTTTGGATGTTGAACCAGCCTTGCATCCCTGGAATAAATCCTACTTGATCATGGTGTATAATTCTTTTAATGTATTATTGAATTCTCAACAACATTTTGTTGACAATTTTTGCATCATGTTCATCAGGAATATTGGCCTGTAACTTTCTTTCTTGTGTCATCCGTGTCTAGTTTTGCTATCAGAGTAATGCTGGCCTCATAAAATGAATTTGGAAGAGTTCTCTCCGCTCCTGTTTTTTGGAAGAATTTGAGAAAGACTTGTAGTAATTCTTCTTTGCATATGTGTTTGAATTCACCAGTAAAGCTGTCTGGTCCTGTACTTTTACTTGATGGGAGGCTTTTTTTTTTCTTTTGAAAGGTTTTTTTATTGGGGAATTGGGGGAAGGGAACAGACAAGTTGCTGTCCTTTTGTTCTTCAGTCTAGTGTGGAGGACGTTGCTTCACTGGCCCATGTTGGTATTATCATTGTGCTCTTCCTGGGAGAGGCAGTCGCTTGCTGGCCATTGGATGGCCGCTCATGGCGGCTCATGAAATCTAACGCCCACTGCAGCCTATGCTGTCGCCAGCAACTCTCGGTATCCCAGCTCCTGGTTGAGCTGTTGTTCACCATCTTAGCTGTAAAGTGTGCAGTGTCACTGGCCCTCGTGTGGGATCCGAACTGGGGTCCTGCTGCTCCAAACTGGCGTCCCAAGCCAACTCCTAACCAATGTGGCACTCAGCCAGCCCTTGATGGGAGGCTTTTGATTCAACCTTCTTACTAGTTAATAGATCTGTTCAGAGTGTCTGTTTTATCATAATTCAGTCTTGGTAGGTTGCATGTTTCTAGGAATTTATCCATTTCTTCTTGCTTGTCCAACTTGTTGGCATATAATTGTTCCTAGTAGTCTCTTATGAACCTTTGTATTTTTTTTGGTATGAGTTATAACTTCCCCTCTTTCATTTCTGATTTTATTTGGGCACTCTTTCTTTTTTCTTGGTGAGTCTAGCTAGAGGTTTGTCAGTTTTGTTTATCTTTTCAAAGAACCAGCTCCCAGTTTCATGGACCTTTTCTATGGTCCTTTTAGTCTATATTTGACTTATTTCTGCTCCAATCTGTATTTCCTTTCTACTGCTAACTTTGGGCTTCGTTTGTTCTGCTTTTTCTAGTTCCTTGAGGCATATGCAAAGATAGGTTGATACTTTTCTTGTTTCTTTTTTATTGGGGTGTTGGGGGGAAGGGAACAGTGCTGGGGAATTGGGGAAAGGAGAACAGACAAGTTGCTGTCGTTTTGTTCTTCAGTCTAGCTGTGGAGGACGTTGCTTCACTGGCCCAAGTTGGCACCATCATTGCACTCTTTCCCGGGCAGGGCAGATCAGTCACCGGCTTCTGGACGGCCGCTCATGGCGACTGCTGGCCGCTCACGCTGGCTGCCGGCTACACATGGTAGCTTAGGGCAGCCCACTGCAGCAGGGGACTGCAGCCTACGCCGTCACCAGCGACCCACAGCAGCCCAGCTCCAGGTTGAGCTGTTGTTCAGCATCTTAGCTGTAGAGGGCAGTGTCACTGGCCCTCATATGTGGGATCCGAACCGGGGCCCGCTGGCATCCCAAGCCAGTTCTTAACCAACGCGCCACTCGGCCAGCCCCTCAAGATACTTTTTGATTCCTTTTTTGATTTCTTCTTTGACTCGTTGGTTTTTCAGTAGCATGTTTAATCTCCACATATTTGTGAATTTTCCAATTTTCTTCATGTAATTAATTTCTAGTTTTATCTCATTGTGATTACAAAAGATGCTTGATATGATTTCAGTCCTCTTAAATTTATTAAGACTTGTTTTGTGCCCTAACCTATGATCTATGTTGGGAAAATGTTCCATGTGCACTTCAGAAGAATGTGTATTCTGCTGCTTTTGTGTGGAATGTTCTGTAAATACCTATTAAGTACATCTAACGTGTCATTTAAGACTCATGTTTCCCTATTGATTTTGTCTTTGGATGATCTCTCAATTGATGTAGGTGGGGTATTAAAGTTTCTTTCCATTATTATAATGCTATTTTTCCCTTTAGATCTAGTAATGCTTGCTTTATATATTTAGGTGCTCCTATGTTGTATTCATGAATATTTACAGATGTTTTATCTTCTTGTTGGATTGACCCCGTCATCATTATGCAATGCCCACTCTTTGTCTCTTATTACAGCCTTTGTTTTAAAGTCTATTTTGTCTGATGCAAGTATAGCTACTCCATCTTTCTTTTGGTTTCCATTTGCATGGAATATCTTTTCTCATCCCTTCACTTTCAGTCTGTGCTTGTCCTTACATCTAAAGTTAGTCTGTTGTATGGAACATTTGGATGGGTCTTGTGTTTTGGGGTGGTTTTTTTTTGTTTCGTTTTTTGTTTTTATTCATTCAACCACTCAATGTCTTTTGAATGGAGAATTTAATCCATTTACCTTTAAAGTAATTGTTGATAGGCATGTGCTTATTGCCATTTTTTAAAACTGTTTTTGTAGTTGCTCTTTGTTCCTTCATATCTTACTCTCTTTAGGGTTTGATGACTTTCTTTAATGGCATGCTTATGTTCCTTTTTCTTTATCTTTTGTATATTAACAGTAGATATTTTGCTTTGTGGTTACCATGAAGCTTATGTATATCAACTTATATCTATAACAATCTATTTTAAGTTGATAGCAACTTAAGTTTGATCCCATTATAAAGCTTAACATCATTACTGAACTCCCATCCCCACTTTTTGTTTCTGATGTCATATTTTACATCTTTTTATCTTTTATAACCCTTAACTATAGTTATCATAGTTATTTTTACTACTTTTGTCTTTCAACCGCCATATTAGCTTTATAAGTGATTAATCCACAATCTTTACTATATAATTATCTTTCCAGTGGGATTTAATCTTATCTTTCATGTGTGTTCTTGTTGCTAATTAGAAATTTTATTTAAACAGGGATCATAGACAAGTCTAATAAGAAGTACTAGTGAAAATCTATAAGACATTTTTTGTGGTAACCTTCAGAGGCTCTGTAGTGAGAAAGTAGAAAAAGAATTATGAAAATATTAAGATTTTGAAATAATTTATTTTTGTTATTTATAAAATTATATTCTATGTTATACTATTTTTACTTTTTTAATTATTACAATTAAAAACTTATTTTCTTCCCATTTCTCCTAAGGGATAATGGGATTACAATGGGCAAAACATCTCGGAAATGCAGTCAAGGTTACAATTAATGACTTGAATGAAAATTCTGTGACATTGATTCAGGAAAACTGCCATTTAAACAAATTGAAAGTGGTGGTGGACAGTAAGGAAAAGGAAGAGAGTGATGATATCCTTGAAGAAGGAGAGGAAAACCTTGGTAATATTAAGGTGACCAAAATGGATGCCAATGTGCTGATGCATTTGAGATCTTTTGATTTCATGTAAGTGAAAAACATTTGCTGTGTCACTTTCTAAACGGACTTGGATTTTTTCTGGGGGGAGTGCATTAAAAATTTAGAGTTTGCTGTAGTTGTTTATTTCAGTTAATTGTTGCTGTTTATTTCAGTTGATAGTTTTTTTGTTTGTTTTTGTTTTTGTTTTTAGCATTGGCCTAAGGAATGCAATAAGAACATTTTCCAGCATTTGAAATAAATGCCTGAGCATGACCATTTTCATCTAAGCCTCACCCATTTTTACATGTCTAACATATCATATGATCATTTTATTATTTACTTTAAAAACAGAATTATGTATTTAAAATAGATATGGAAAGTACTTTCGAACCCATGGAATTTGATAAAAAGTAATGACAATTGTCTCATTTTGGTTACTAGTATGATTTTAAATATGTCTAATTCTTTCTGATTTTAGACACTTAGACCCCTTTGGAACGTCAGTGAATTATCTAGATTCTGCATTCAGAAATATAAGAAACCTTGGCATAGTATCAGTGACTTCTACAGATATCAGTTCATTATATGCCAAGACACAACATGTTGCCCGGCGTCACTATGGATGTAACATTGTCCGAACTGAATATTACAAGGAACTAGCAGCCAGGATTGTTGTCGCTGCAGTGGCAAGGTACCAAATTGCCAACAGTGTACTTAGTATGCTTGTGTATATGGTAAAAATAGGTACAAGAAGTGCTTATCTCATTTTTCAACATAGGTACAAAATAAAAATTCTGTATTCGATATCTATAATCTTGATTTGTTTGGGAATCTTATGTTGTATCTTTTAGAATTTGATTTAAAAGCCTGTACCTAAAATAGTCCGTTCATTCTCCAATTAAAAATGTTACAAAAATAATTAAAGTAGTAAGAAAGAAAAGATAAAAAATGTAAGTAAATTTCAAATCAGTTATTTCAACAATGTAGGGTAGATAGGGCAAAGATTGTTTTTATATTTTGAAACAATCATTGTTTTATGTCTATTTCATCTATTCTTTATGTAAATAAATCATAAAATGATGGCTTATTAACTTGATTCTGCGAAACGATCTTACCTACAAAAAAAGTTCTCTTTCTCATCAGGATTTGTAAACAGTTGGAGAAAGTAAGACTTTTTTTGAGTACCCATTTTATTCAGAATATTATGCTAGTAAAGTAATAGAATAATACAATATAAATGGACATTGAGAGTATAGATAATGATCAGCCAGCTCACTCACTAGCCTCAACGCTAGTTTAACAGCATTTAGATTGAAATTCCTACCTCAGCATAAATACAGATTATTAGACTTCATAGATTAACATAACCTTAAGGGTTATTCCTAGTTAATTGAATACTCTGATGTTCAGTTTATACATGCCAAGGACCTACTGTACATACTTAAAATGTTTACAAAATAACACCAGCATAATCAAATTAGTACATATGAGCTAAGTTTAGTGTGTAACTGCAGAGGTAAATCTATGTACATAAAGGGTGCATCAGGTAGAATTTAATCCAAGTCTGTAAAATTAATAGTGTCAGGGACTTGGACTATTCATTTCACTGAATAGTCAGCAGAAAGTATACTAACTTGCATGTAGTCCATACTCAATAAACATATATTGTTTGGAAGAAGGTTTTATAGGAAAAATATATAAAAAGGAAGAAAAGTGGTGGTCATGACAAGAAAGAAAGTGACACTGAAAACCAGAGAATATAGTCCTATTGGGAGGATATCCTAAGGGAAAATGTCTAGTAACTGAAGACCCTGCCAAGCATCCTTTATTTCCTGTGTTTCAATTTGTATAAAAGTTATAGTAATGATCTTGTAAAAACACTGCTGCTAAGAATTGAATTTTCCTTGTTTTCTCTTAAACCACCCATCGTTTTCACTGTCAATATAATGCCAAATAAAGGATAATGATAAACCCCCAAAATAACTAAAAAATGTTATTTTGTTTTCTAGAGCTGCAGCTCGATGTAACAAAGGCATAGAGGTCCTGTTTGCAGTGGCTCTGGAACATTTTGTCCTGGTTGTTGTGCGAGTTTTGAGGGGACCTACTTCTGCAGATGAAACAGCCAAGAAGATTCAGTATCTGATCCATTGTCAGTGGTGTGAAGAGAGAATTTTTCAGAAGGACGGTAACATGGTAGAAGGTAGATTCAAGTTTCTTTTGACTGTACATTGTGTTTCATTTATGTATAAGCCTCCAATGAATAAGCCTTTATCACACCCCTAATTATACATATTGTCCTTTGATTTTAAAGATTACAGTGCTAACATTATTTCCTATACTGGATTTCCTTTCATCAACAGACAAGACATTCGTGTGAGTTTATGAAAGTTATTTACTCATGCTATACAATATACACTCTTTAGCCCTGCCCCCCTCTATTGAAACATGTAGAAATAACTTAGCTTCCACTGTCACTAATTTTAGGAACATAAGTCAGATTACCTCTTCCTCTAGGCTCTCTCAAATCATTAATTTTATAAAAATAATTTTCATGTTCCTGGCTGAATACAAAAGCCATCAGTTATAAAATTCATTAAACATTTACTGAGCCTCTACTATCTGCCAGGCCTGGGGATCAAGGAAAAAGATGTGGCTTATACCCTCATAAGCTGTTTCTATTTTGCTTTTCTAGTATATAGAAACAGTTACCCATTGTTTTCTGTTATGTTCTTGGCATTTTTAAATATTAATCTTTAAGAACTCTTTATATATTAGACTTTAACCCTTGTGATATGAGTTGCAAATATTCTCATTTGTCACTTGTGTTTGCAAATCGGTTTTTTAACCTTTGATGCAGAAGTTTTGCATTGTCGCTGTTGTAAAATTAATCAAACTTCGATTATGTACAGTGAGTCCCCGACTTACAAACATTCGAGCTGTGAACTTTCACAGATACGAACAGACCTCGCATTACGAACATTCGTAGATGCGAACAAATCGCGGAAGTAGCTCACGTGTCTGCCGGACATTGTCACAGTTGTGCTGCTGTGTGCTTAGTGTACAGTAGTTCAGTGCTCAATCAGAGCCCAGGATGTCCGGAAGCAGGAGGAAAAGCAGTGGTGATGTGGAGGGGACTGCTAGGAGCGCAAAGACTCACTTTGTCGGACTTAGGAACGAACCGACTTACGAACGAACGTTCTCCTGGAACGGAACTCGTTCGTAAGTTGGGGACTTACTGTATTCTGGATTTTATCTATAGTTAGAAAGATCTTTCCTATTCCTAAGTTATTTAAGGTAGGTTACATTTTTTTTTTTTAAAGATTTTTATTGGGGAATTGGGGGGGTGGGAACAGTGCTGGGGAATTGGGAGAAGGGGAACAGACAAGTTGCTGTCATTTTTGTTCTTCAATCTAGTTGTGGAGGATGTTGCTTCACTGGCCCAAGTTGGCACCGTCATTGCGCTCTTCCCTGGTAAGGCAGATCTGTCGCCGGCTTCTGGACGGCCGCTCACTGCGGCTGCTGGCCGCTCACGCTGGCTGCTGGCTACACACGGTAGCCCATGGCAACCCACTGCCACAGGGGCTGCAGCCTACGCCGTCGCCGGCGACTCATGGCAACCCAGCTCCAGGTTGAGCTGTTGTTCAGCATCTTAGCTGTGGAGGGCAGTGTCACTGGCCCTCATATGTGGGATCCGAACCGGGGCCCTCTGGCATCCCAAGCGAGTTCTTAACCATCGCGCCACTCGGCCGGCCCTAAGGTAGGTTACATTTTATTGAATAGTTCACCTCCGCTGATTTGAGAATACCATTTCTTTTTTTTTCTTTTTTTCCTTTTATTGTTAGTTTCAGGTGTACACCATCTCTTCCTTATACTAAAGTCCCACATGTATTTTAGTTTCTTTCTGGATATTCTATTCTTCTCCAGTGGCTGGATGTCTATTTACACAACCTCACTGATCTGACTACAGAAGATTTTTAGTGTTGTTTAATATCTGTTAAGGCAGCCCTTCCTCAAAGCTCAATTTTCAGAGTGTTCCTGATACTGGGTCTTTTTTTCTTAATGAAAAAGTAAATAAAAAGACCAGTTGGTAGTTTATTTTGATCACATTAAATGGAGGAGGATGATACTGTTGTGGCTTTGAAGCTTCCTAAGAACCTAGTATGCTTTTTATTTGTACAAGTACTTTCGCTACAGTGTTAATTGATAGTGGGAATGGTGAGTAGCCTGCCATGTTCCTTATTTAGTTCCCTCTGACGCTTTTTGATTCAAGCATGAATCTGAGATACCTGTCATTTATCATGTTAAGAAAGTAGCCTTCAGTTCCAATTTTAGTGTATTTTATTAAGATGTTGAATTTTATCATGTTTTTTCAGCATATGTAAAGATGGTTATATGGTATTTCTCCTTAGATCTATTATTTTGATTAATTATAATAAAATTTCCCAATATTGAACCATTCTGAATTTCCAGAATAAACTATTTTGTCAGGAAGTATTCTCTTAATATGGATTCTATTTGCTAATGTTTTTAAGGATTTTTGTTTCAGTATTCATAAGTGAGATGGCGTATGGTTTTCCTTTTTTAGCATGATTTTGGTTGGGTTTTGGAATCAGTTTAAACTCCCTTCAAAAAGAATTTGGAATTTTTTACCTTTTTTTTCAATGTTTGGGAACAGTTTAACTAGTATCAGAATTATTGGTTCATTAAAGGTTTAGCAGTATTCACTTAGCTTTTCTAATTTATTTAGAGTTGAGCCAAGTCTAATGATTCCTTTTAATTTCCATGGTTTCTGTGGTTATAGTCTCATTGTTTAAATTTTTAATATTCTTTTGCCTTTTTTCTTGACTCATTTGATACTGGTTTATTTTTTTTGCTATTATTGTTTATTATCTTTCTTAGTTTACCTTTGAAGTAGTGAATATATATGTACTATATGTTTCTGTAATTTAGATTTATCTGTTTTAAGTAATATACTTTGGTTTGTGGTATCATAAATGAGGTAATCAGCCTTCCGTTTTCCATTTTCCCTAACTAATCTATGATCAGTAAACCATTTCTGTTATTAGAATATGTAACATTTATATTCTATTTTGCCACTATAACCTGTACACTAAATATATTCAGTGCTCATCATTAGTCTTTTTGCCATAATTTCTCTAATCATCTCTAGGTGGCTAAATTTAACTTGAAGAGTTTAGTCAAGAGGGTCCATGGGGAAAATACTCCTTGACTTCATGCATGTTTAGAGCTCACTGTTCATAGCCTTTATACTGAAGGAGTTTACAGAGTTTCTTTGAGGACCTTGTAGAAGTTCTACTGTCTTCTGTTACTGAATATTATTGTAAATTTTCCTTCTTTCATGTGACATGATCATTTTGTTTGGCTGCCCAAAGGAATATTTATTTTTGAAATCCAGTAACTTTATATGTACGTTCTTTTAGGATCAGTGTTTCTAGATCATGGTGTACCTTTCATCATGTAGTTTCAAATATTTTATTTCAAGAAAGTTTTCCTAAATGTGTATTTAATTCTGAGATTTGTCTTACCTTTGTGATATTATGCCCGTGCTAGACCTTCTCAGCCTGTCTTCTTTAACTATTATTTTATCTCTAAAAATGTCCATGTAGATTTCTCATTGCTATATTTTCTTCTTGTATTGGTCCTTTTATCATTATGAAATGTCCATCTTTATCTCTGTGATATTTCTTGTCTGAAAGTCGATATTATCTGATATTAATATAAACACTACTCTTGTGGTTACTATTTGCATAATATATTTTTCTCATCTTTTTACTTTCAATCTGAGTGTCTTATTGGATCTTGATTTTTTATCCACTCTGATCATTTTTGCTTTTGATGAGTGTTTAGACCATCATATTTAATGTAGTTATTAAAATGGTTGGCTTTATGTCAGCTTTTTTATACGTTTCATGTATTTCATGTCTTTGTTCCTCTGTTCCTTTGTTGCCCTCTTTAGTGCTAAACCTATTTATAGTATGTCATCTTAATTAATTTCACTGTTGATATTTTAGCTGTATATTTTCTTAATGGTTTCCTAGGGATTACAATATATACCTTTAACATCTCGATCTATCAGGTTAATATTGAGGTAAGACTGGCAAAATCTAGCAAGTTTGCTCTAATATAATTTTATTTTCCTCTTCCCTCCTGTGCTAATTTTGTCTTGCATTAATTACATTTATATAGACCTAACCAAAAGTACCGTAGATTCATTTTTAAGTACATAATTTTATGATTTTTCAAATGAATTAAGACAAAAAAATAGAAAATACACACACACAACACACACACACACACACAGACCATCTTTTATAGTTACCCACATAATGCCTTTTATTTTGTTCTCTGTCATGGTAGCTCTCAAATATCTTTGGTTGTCCACACTGAAAATTGTTTGGAAACATTTGGAGCAGGGCTTATAAACTGATGGATTTTATTGTAATCAGATGACATGAGTCCACCTTTTCACTAGGAGACCCCCTGCCCTCACCATACCAATAAATATAAAAGTCTTTTCTCTTGGATTGCTAAGTTTTTCTAGAGAGGAATCTTCCATTCTTCTGTCAGCTTTCCAGGAGCTGCATTGGGGAAGGAGACTGGAAGATCTTACATTTATGCATTCTTTTACTTAATCCCTCTCTTTTTATACATCTCCCCACCCTCAGCTGTGACTAATACCCCTTGTTCCAGATCCTCAGTGGTTCAGCCTCAGCCAAGATTAACTTCATCTTTTGGGATGGGGAAGACACAGAAACCTGCCTGGGTATTAGAGAAGAAGACCCAGGAGTCTTAATTGGACCCCTTAATTTAAAAAAATTTTTTTTTTAGCTGAGCCATCCTGCTAACTGTTGGCAGCTCAGCGGCAGCAGAATCGAACCAGCGACCTTGTTGCTCAGAGCTCGCACTCTTTTTTTTTTAATTTGGGAAATTGGGGGGATGGGAACAGTGCTGGGGAATTGGGGGAGGGGAACAGACAAGTTGCTGTCGTTTTGTTCTTCAGTCTAGTTGTGGAGGACGTTGCTTCACTGGCCCAAGTTGGCACCATCATTGCGCTCTTCCCGGGCGAGGCAGATCAGTCGCCGGCTTCTGGACGGCCGCTCACTGCGGCTGCTGGCCGCTCACGCTGGCTGCTGGCTACACACGGTAGCCCATGGCAACCCACTGCCACAGGGGCTGCAGCCTACGCCGTCGCCGGCGACTCACAGCAGCCCAGCTCCAGGTTGAGCTGTTGTTCAGCATCTTAGCTGTGGAGGGCAGTGTCACTGGCCCTCATATGTGGGATCCGAACCGGGGCCCTCTGGTGTCCCAAGCCAGTTCTTAACCATCACGCCACTCGGCCGGCCCAGAGCTCGCACTCTTGAGCAAGCTCTTAACCAACTGAGTCACTCAGCCTGCCCTGGACCCCTTAATTTTTAACAAGGCCTCTTTTTTGCAGTACCACCCTACACCTATCATCAGAGACAATCAGTACCTTCAGTGCTCAGGGTTTCTGGGGTCCCACAACACCAGTGGGCTTGCTGTTTTGTTGGTAACCCATATGTCTTACTTATTTGAGGTTTAGGGTTTAGCTTTCTCTGGTCTGAAAAATCAGTTATCCCATTGTGTCCTGCTTCTAAAATTTTATTGATATCTCTCATCATCTTCAGTTACCTCTTCTCCCGTTTTATTTATTCTTGGGGTTTGATTTGTATTCCTTTGCTCTCATTTTAATAATGCTTTAAGAGACAGCATTGATAAAAGGATGTGTTCAATTAATTGCATTTAAATAGAAGTCTCAAAATATTTTTGAATTCCTCATCTGAAATTGCCTTCATAGCCTATATACTAATGACATGGAAACACTATTTTTCTTTCTTTATCCCTTCATTTTTTGCTACTGGTAACTTGAAATGATAGCCCTGACCCCTCAGAGAGGGAATTTGCTGATGTTGACCTAGTACTGAGAAATCCTAGGCAAAGGACTTGGGACAGACATAGGTTTGCATGATGGGAGCATTCTGCAAAGTGCATCAACAAACAAACTACTGTAATACAAATTCAGTGTGCTGCCTGCCTGTGGTAAGTGGGTGTAACAGAGTCATAAATGTAAATCGCCCTTGTTTGGGCAATACTACCTATAAGTATTTGTAATTTAGTTATTCCAGGGAAGATTTCTTGAATATATTCATATAGTGTTTGAGGAACACAGTGCTCAACAAAGCTAATATGGGTGATAACCCCACCTTACTTTAGCTTAGAGTTAAATAATACTGGAAAAGTAGACATAGGAAAAACAGTGAAGGAAGCCTTTAAGTAAATCTAAAATGAGATCTCACAACTGCATTATGCCATTTAATTACATTGAGTAACAGTGATATCAGATAACAGGAAGCTAGAGACATGTCCCTGCCACCAGAGTCCTGGGTTCTGGATATATCTAGGACTCACTGATCAGATCAGGCCATTGGAAGAAAGTGAATGATCCACCCACGAATAGCCTGGGGGAAGTTAGTTGGAGAGAGTCTGATTTAAAATGACTCTTCTGGGCCTTAAGTGCACTGAAAAGTTCATGGCAGAACATTGCTCCATTTTGGAAACAGAATAGTGATAGTACCTCCCCACTTTCCTTGTGATCATATCAGGCCTCTCATTACCCTTTAAATGGAATTAGATTCTTCCAGCATACATTTTAGGGTTGATTATGAATCAGGCCTAGGGAATAGTTTATTTTCTTCCAGTCACACACGAGCAGTGTCTTTATTTTGATGAGATGTTGGTTATATTTATCAAAATTCATTAACCTTTTCACATAAAATATATACATTTTATTGCATGTAAATTGCACCCGTTGATTTTAAAATATGGATATCTAGAGGACTTTATAAGACTGTCTTCTACTTAAATTATTTCATGTAGTGACTAAAAGTTAGTGAAAGTTAAGCCTCCAATAAGCTGTTTGACGTGGATTTCTAGTCCCTCTTGAGCTTTAATCCTCTGATCTGTGTAATTGAGATTTTAACAGTACCTACTTCAGAGTTATAAGGATTAAAATTTTTAAATGCATAAAAAAGCACAATACCTGGCACATAGTAGATCCTCAATATATAGTTGCTGCAAATTATTAATATAACAATTACTACTATTTACATTGCCATTTCTCCTATGATTTCTTTTTATTATCTTTTCACAGAAAACCCATATAGACAGCTGCCTTGTAACTGTCATGGAAGCATGCCTGGAAAGACAGCAATAGAACTTGGACCTCTATGGTATGTGCCTCGGCTTAATAAATACATTCAAAATTGATTGATGTATTGATTTGATTGCTGATTTGTTATGATGTCTGATAACAGACAAGCAAATTTTGATTCATTTTTTTTAAGTCTAGGCAAATAATTACGACTCTTCTATCACTATGAACCTGAGGTATAGAGTTTTTCTATACTCTCAAGTTTGTGGTAGTCCTAAGAGGCAGTGGAATTAAAGAGAAACCTGGCTGATTTGCAAACTAGGTAACTCATTTCTGAATAGGAAGAAGGAGGCTTTTTTCAGTAATAATTGTAGAACTAGGGTGTGATTACAAAGTGATCACAATAACTTTTTATAGAAGAGTCAACTAATATAAAAGGTCTTTGAGGAATTAGTTTTTAAGTAAGAAGGGCATATGAAAGTAAATAACTGTTTTAGGGAAAGTTGTTTAGATAGGACTCAGTTGTGAATTTTTAACGTATATGTGCTTTTGCATTGTTAATAACTAGAGATTCATGACAGCATTGGGACAAGAATCACTGCAGATTTCTACCTTATTAATTTACGAGGTCAAGGCTTAGCCATTACTAACCTAAAAATTAACCCAAATGGTAAATATGTGCTGATGCCCATTCTTTTATCTTGATCCCATGTAAATACCCTTAGATGAAGAAGGACCTAGCCAGCCTTACCTTCTCCTACTCGCTTACCTGTATCCTGTTACGTGTTGATACTGCACACTGATCTCAGAACTAAGGAAATTAACCATTCTTAACAGGTTGCAGGACCCAGAACAAAGGCCTCCTACCCCAGCTTCCTCATCTTACAGGCGAGAACATTGTGGCCCATGGTGTTTAAATGCTGGCTAACACTGACCCCCAAAACTTAGTTAGTAGGTCAGGCAGGGCAAGAACTCGGGTTTCCCAAGACTGAGTGCCAAACCACGACTTGCGATTTCCTCACTCAAAGCCACGGTCATGTCTTTACTCTCATCAGGAACCTCTCCCCTCTTCACCAACTCCAGTTCAAATTCTGCGTCCTCTTTGAAGTTTCTGCTTTGTGTTTCAGCCCAGATTATTTCTAAATTTCCTTTTAGTAAATCTTACATTGATCACTCATTTGACACTTTAAAATCCTATCTTTTCACATATATTCGCTAACCCTAATAGCTGCCATTCATTAAAGATATACTTTGTAGTAGAGATTTGTGCTAATTCCCATAACAAGTCTGTGAGAGGCTTTATTTTCCATTTTATGATGAGAAGTGAGACTCAAAAGCAGCAATTACTCCAGATCACATGGCTAGTAATAAAATGGGGGAGCCAGGATGGGAATCCAGGTTCATCTGACTTACAGTTTCATGTTCTGTGCATTATACCTGTGGTTCTCAAATTAAAGGAGAAGCATGTCAGACTCAGCCTGGGGCCATGTCTTAACTACCTCCCCACCACATGGCATTCTCAGGTATCTCCCCCTGCCCGCCACCATATACACACTGGAATAATGATTTCCTATTACTGACAGGAGGAGGTGCATGGTGAAAACCTCTGCATTATGTTATGTCCCTGTCTGGATCCTGTCTAGAGTTATAGGCTTTTATAGGGTACGCATTGTATTTTATACTTTGGTATATCCTCCACGCCTCGGTGTACCTACCACAGGGCTGTAACACCTTACGAAGGCTCAGTAAATTCTCGTTGATTTACAGGGAATGAAATTTCCTCAACTAATCCCACTACTTTAGAGAACTGACATGATAAAAGGAATGGGGAAGTAGAAAATAAGCAATTTCAAATTAAATCATAAATTATTTTAATTTTAGTATATAATCTTCCTGTAATTCTATTTCTTAGTTGTGGTTAAATTATGGAGATTCATTTTTTTTTTAAAGAATATTAACATTTCTCACACCCAGTTCTCTGTATTTTCTTTTTCTTATCAGGTCAAGTTCTCTGTTCAATACGGGATTTCTCAAAAGAATGCTATTTGAATCTCTTCACCATGGTTTAGATGATATTCAGACCCTAATAAAGACATTAATTTTTGAGTCAGAGTGTACTCCTCAAAGTCAGTTTTCAGTTCACGCACCTTCGAATCTCAACAAGCAAGGTAACTAATTGAACACTGACTTAGGAGCTTACAAATTGATAAAAAATACTCTATCTTTCTTGTCTTTAATTGATGTTATAATCAAAAGGAGTATAAGTAGTATGCTTTAAGTAAATCCCCTCTAATGAGTTTAATCATAATCTAGTTAACTTTTATTTTTTTAATTGCATACTCTTCTTCTGGTTTATATTCAGGGCCTGAAATGAATAATGGTTTTATTAAGATACAAATACATTTTTTAAAATTTTAGATTAAAAGCACTAAAATCTGTTGTGATTTTATTACCGTTTCTGCTTTCTAGAACGAGAAACCTCAGGTAATTTTGAGAGTAGTGTAACCAGGATTTTTGGTAATATCCGTTGAGATACAGAAGCTAGATTTTACTTATCCCTCAGTAAAACTAAGTTTTTTTTCTCCTTTGTTTTCTCTTTAGTGTAAATAGGCTTTTGTAGTTTTATCTGGCCATTGACCTAAGGGCGGGCCACATTTCTCATAAATCATTAGAAGCAGCAGCTACTGCAGTTAAAAGTGTAACTCTTGCCCTGGTTTTGCCACAGAATCTGTTATATAGATATAGATATAGATATAGATATATTCAAAACCAGTGTGGCAATAATTTATTTAAACTTTGAATTATTACTTAATGTCATCCTGTAGACTATTTTGTGACTCCCGTTTTTTATTTTAGAAGAATATGGTGCATCTACTAAAACTACAGATGACACAGCAGATAATTACGTTGCACAAGGTACGTGTATGTGTGTACCTATGTATGTATCAGTGCGAAAGGCAGCAGAAAGGCAGGAAGAGATTGCTTCAGTAGCCTACTTCAAAATGCATTTTTATCATATTAAACTAACATAATTATAGGGAAACTTGTTTATCTGGCATTTGCACAGTTCAGAATTTCTATTAACATGTACTTTGTTCCCACCTCTAATATATGGTGATCCCTTTGAAAGACCTATAAGATCTTAAAGAACCATGTGAACCAAAATCAGATCAGATTATGTTTGATAAACTTATAGAGTTGATTAAATTTTATTGTTATTCTTTTAAACGTTCTCAGCATATGATGTATAGCAATTCTGTTGATTAACCAGAAGACCTACTCTCTAGCCATAAGAATTGACTAGATGGCCTTTCTTATAATTTGAGATGTGTGCATACTTTAAAATGTAGCTGCATTAGGCATTGAAACTTCATATCAAAAGGGTGTTTATATATATATATGTTTATATATATATAATAAGATATATGTGTATGTCAGTGCCTTCATGTCTAAGGTTTTGTTTTTCTTTTTTTCTTTTTAAAAAACAACTTTAAATTCTAAGTTGAAAAAAAGAAGAAAATAGACAGTATTAAGGTTGGAAGAGGACAGGATTACACTTACAAGCTGTAATCTTGTATTAGTTGGTCAACATTGTAGTGTTGCTCTTCCAAGACAAGAAAGCTTCAACTCCTGTTAATAGCATGCTGTTTCATAATGATTGCATGCTCCAACAGTCATGTTTATTTGGCATCTTCAGCCGATTTGCTCACAAATTACTTAAAATGACTTATTCTACTTAATGTCTGACAAAGGGAATAAAAAGGCATTGTGGTGTAGTACTGTAAAGAGCATTAGATTGAAGAGCATCATTCTACTTCTTTGGGCTGTGTAACCTTGGCCAGGTTTTGTGTTCACTGAAGACCTGCGAATATTGGCATTCGGTAGAGAGCACAAGTATAAAAATAAAAGGACATTACCCCAGAAACTTAGAATACAATCTAGGAAGAAAGGATTTACAAACATAAAAGACTTACATACATGAAACAAACAAAAAAAAAGACAGAACTTAATCACACTCTTGAGTAGTATTGACACTAATGAAATCTGTGAGATGATTGGCCCAGAATTCATGAATAGCTTTCTATTGGAGGTTGAAATGGAGGCTTGTAATTGAAGATGGTAGCAAAAGGGAGTTGTGGGCCGGCCGAGTGGCGCGATGGTTAAGAGCTGGCTTGGAACGCCAGAGGGCCCCGGTTCGGATCCCACAAAAGAGGGCCAGTGACACTGCCCTCCACAGCTAAGATGCTGAACAACAGCTCAACCTGGAGCGAGTCGCCGGCGAAGGCATAGGCTGCAGCCCCTGCTGCAGTGGGTTGCCATGGGCTACCTTGTGTGGCCAGCAGCCAGTGTGAGTGGCCGTCCAGAAGCCGGCGACTGATCTGCCTCGCCCGGGAAGAGCGCAATGATGGTTCCAACTTGGGCCAGTGAAGCAACGTCCTCCACAACTAGACTGAAGAACAAAAGGACAGCAACTTGTCTGTTCCCCTTCTCCCAATTCCCCAGCGCTGTTTTCATTCCCCCAATTCCCCAATAAAAAGCTTTAAAAAAAAAAAAAGAAAGAAAGAAAGAAAGAAAGAAAGAAAGAAAGAAAGAAAGAAAAAGGGAGTTGTGACTCAGCAAACAGTTAAAAATGACATCGGTAGAGGATAGTCAAAATATCAAGAATAAATATTATTTTTACAATAAGAGGAGTCCTCTTAAGAATTGAGATTAAAATGGTGTATGTCAGTGGATTTAGTCTTGAGATAACAATATAGTTATAAAAGTATTTGGTTTGTAATTTTTCCGAGACTGCTAACTTTGCATGTGTGTATATGTGTTTCAGGAAAGAGAAAAGTTAATGAAACAATCACAAATTTAGCAAAGAAGCAAAAGACTGATGTGAGCACTGAACACCCTCCCTTTTATTACAACATCCACAGACACAGCATTAAAGGGATGAATATGCCAAAGTAAGAGAGCTGCTGAATGGCAACATGTATATTTTATATTTTAATGACATTGTGATTTAAGGAAAAACACCTCATTATTTTTCCTTTCCTTGTTGCAGGTTAAAAAAGTTTCTGTGCTATCTTTCTCAAGCAGGCTTTCGAGTAAGCCGAACTCATTTTGACCCAATGGGTGTCCGTACAGATGCACCTCTGATGCAGTTTAAATCTATCCTTTTAAAGTACAGCACCCCCACCTACACTGGAGGACACTCAGAGGGCCACGTCCAGTCAGCATCCGAAGACACAGTAGCTGACAGGGTTGAAATGTCAGTGAATGACAAAGCAGAAGCAAGTGGTTGCAGAAGATGGTAAATGTCGCCGAGCGTTCACTCTCAGATGTCTGTATAGATGGCCTGATAGTTCTTGATACCAACTGTAGTTCTTTTTCTATTCTTTTCAATTTAGTGGTGTAAAAATAAAACAGTGCTGTTTTCATTCAGAAAATTAGCAGTTTCTAATTTAGCTGGTTTGGGAGCTATGCTTTCCAAGTTTTCCTTATTTTAAAGAAAACTTAAAGTTTTAATGAAAACATTTCACATGAAGCCAAGTTTATGACTGAGATCACCCGACTGTTTAGTAACTCAGAAAATCTTCACATGCAAAGCGTTTGAAATTTTATGTATGTTATGGAAGCCATTCTTTACTATTCTTAATCACCTTCCTGCTTAAATTGACCCTGAGTACAATAGAAGAACAATGTCCTGTAGGGTCACTAATATATTTCATAAATACAAAGCTAAAATGTGTTCTCAATTTTAAAAAATCACACCTCTCCCCACGTTGATCTTTTTATTACTAGCTTTTGAGAAATACCTGAGATAGAAATACATTTTTAAGTTTAAGGTCTAGATAACTAAACTTCAGAGTAAGGTTTTGTGTAAGTAAAGTGAGACCAATGTCCTAATTTTAATTGTTCACAAGCACTGAAATTCTCAGATTTTGTTATAAATTAAGTAAATTTGGTGATCTCAAGTGCCTCAGTTAATGCACGTACAATATTCATTCACTTGGTTGTGCTACCTCAGATGTAAAACTTGTTCTTTATGAGCTTATGAAGTGAGGATTTTGTTTGGAGAATGGTTTTTATTGTGTTTTTGTTTAGGTTTTTTTTGTGGGTCGTTTTGTTTTCTTTTTGGTATATGTGTTAATTTTTTACATAAGTAGCCCAGGCTAACATTAACAGTGAAAGTCAGTTGAAAAAAAAATCTTGTTTCCAGTATGCTTCATTTGAATATAAGAGTTTGGATGAAAGGATTTAGTGTAAAGTTTAGATTTTTGTCTCAAGGATTTAATCAATATTTACCCTGCAGTATTTATTAGAGGAAGTAACTTTTCACAAGCATTAAGCTTGCGAGGTAATGAGTGAGTTATAACTGAAAGGTTTTAAATACACATAAGAAAAAAAGCCCTCCTATCACATATACAAGAATCCAGGGGGCTTAGTTGGTTAAGAGTTAGCTTAAGAGCGCGAGCTCTGAGCAACAGGTCTGCCAGTTCGATACCCACATGGGCTAGTGACGCTGCACCTGAGCTGAGCTGCTGCTGAGCTGCAAACAGGTGGCAGGATGGCTCAGCTGGTGAGAACATGTGCTCCTAACAAGACTGCCTGTTCGATGGTGGACTATACCCTCCCACAAGTAAGACTGAACTCGGCACCCTGAGCTGAGCTGCCGCCCGGATGGCTCAGTGGATAGAGCATGCGCTATTAACAACGAGACTGCTGGTCTGACTCCCACATGGGTTGGTGGCTACGCCCACTGCAACTAAGATTGAACACAGCACCTTGAGCTTAGAGGCCACGAGCTGCTGATGGGAAGCCAGATGGCGACTGGCGCCCTCCACAACTAAGATTGAAGAACAACAACTTGGCTGGTCCCCTTCCCCAATTCCCCAATTAAAAAAAGTATGCTTTTGTTTATAGCCTTAACACTCTTCTATTTGTGTAGCCAGGAATGGGTACATAACCAAGGTTTACTAAAGGACTAAAAAAAAGAGGTCTTTATAAGTAGCATTTTTGCCCTTCAAGGAACAAACATACTCTGTGGCATAGCCTTGCTAAAATATCTCTAAAGAATAGCCTTGATACAAGAGGGCAAAGCTCTTTTTCCAGCCAGTGTGCCATGAATGAAAATGATAAGGGACAGTCCCCACTCTCTCTGAGTGAATAACAAAACCAACCAAAGTAGGAGGAAGTGAAATGGAAAGAGACTCCTTGCCTGAGTTAATGGATATGAACATCCTTGGATGTCCAAGTGGTAGAACCCTGCTCAAACAGGAAGAAACGTCTCTCTTAAAAATGTTAGCTCATTTGGAATTTTGGAGTGTTAAGAGCCTTTATTGTTCATTTTAACTCATATGAATGGCTTATCACTGCCATTAATAAACATTTCATTCCTTTTCAGTATTCATGAAAGTTAAATCCAAAATGAACACTGCACATGTGGCTTTAGAAGAACATGGTAACATCAGCATAAAATCTACCAAGTGATCTTCCCAGTACCATAGAGAAAAAGGTGATAAAATTTCAAGCAGCAGAAGGGGGCAGTAAAACGCAACAGACCACTCTGGAAGATTTTTACTATGTTTTCTTATTTTCCTTTCAAACAGACAATTTCCCAACACACATTTAAGAGACTAATAAAATAAATTTCATACCACAGATAGATATGTTTATCTAAAACAAACACAGAAACACTAAGTATATACAAAAGTGAGAGCTATTATATGAAATATAAATTTTACATAATCAAAAACTCATTTTTATCATATGATGTATCATGGCACAATAATCATATTACTTTTCCAAATAAAAGAGGCTTAGCCATTTTGATTTGGTTTGGGACTAATATCATCCTCCCATGACCAGTATCCCAAAATGTACTAGGCGTTCTATTGTATTGTCTCAGACTTGTCAGAATTATTTAATAAATCTTATCATAAGAGTTCTTCCTCACTCCCATACTCAGACTTCCTTTCTAAACTGTTCCCATCCTGAAAGTGTCACTTTCTCCTTGAACTCTTTTCTGACTGTATAGTACATAGAAGTCTCTCCATCCTCCTGTGAATTTATAGATTAAAACAAGCAGTTTTACCAAACAGATGTTTTTTTGTTGAATTTCCATTACAAGGCAGATTTTTATTTCATTACATTCCAAGTAGTCTAAATGTGATTATTCTCTATGCCCTGTTCTGTCCTCACCTTTTAATTCCGTCTCCACAAACAAGAGAACACACTTCTGCACATGGTAAGTATACAGTTAAGATCTGATGAGGAAGATGATGATGATGCCCACTTCAAAATGAATTCAGGATTACACTGTAAAATTTTAGCACACTATCAGACTCAAAGTATATTTTTACATGGCATCTAGTGAAGCTTGAATTAGCAGTCCTAGAAATCAACTGAAAATTTGAGTGAATACCACCTACTCATTTACAATGAAATAGAAAATTGGATTTCATGAAATTGTTTTAAAAATCTATGCTCTTCACTGACATGTAAGACTCAGTACAGTAAATGGAAGTGTTACAAATGGAATGATTAAATATGACTAGAGGAGGCTGGCCGAATGGCACAATGGTTAAGAACTGGTTTGGGACGCCAGAGGGCCCCCGTTTGGATCCCACATATGAGGGCCAGTGACACTGCCCTCCACAGCTAAGATGCTGAACAACAGTTCAACCTGGAGCTGGGCTGCCGTGAGTTGCCGGCGATGGTGTAGGCTGCAGCCCCTGTGGAAGTGGGTTGCCATGGGCTACTGTATGTAGCCAGCAGCCAGCGTGAGCGGCCAGCAGCCGCAGTGAGTCCAGAAGCCGGCGACTGATCTGCCTCACCCAGGAAGAGCGCAATGATGGTGCCAACTTGGGCCAGTGAAGTAACGTCCTCGACAACTAGACTGAAGAACAAAACGACAGTAACTTGTCTGTTCCCCTTCCCCCAATTCCCCAGCACTGTTCCCATCCCCCCAATTTCCCAATTAAAAATATATATACATATATACATATACATATATACATATATATATATATACATATATATATATATATATGTATATATATATATATGACTAAGGAGGAGAAAAGCTCCTTGGATGAAATGGAACTTTAGTCATTTGTGTCTCATGTAGAACCAGATAATGTGGACATTAAGCAAAATGGTAAAAAGAAAAATTCAAGTGAGTCCCGTTTTTTTTTCTTTAAGACTTTCGCAAATTGTGGTATCTGGTGTAATTTTATTTCAGGTTTTATGCCGTCTTTTTCCATGAATGCTAAGAATGTATGGCTTCATTAGACGTTTTATCTCTACTTTTGCTGCTGCAATTTTTTTTTAAGTATTTCACTTTCACATGCCCTTCCCCGCCACCCCCAAAAGTTAGATACTAAAAAAAGCAAACGATGGAGAAATTAAAAATTATTCCAATCACCCTTTTCCTCCATGCCATCCAATTCCTTATCAAACTATGTTCCAAATTAAGAATAGTCAGCCCTAAATACAATTTTGTCCCAATTTGTCGCACCTCATCATCTTGGAAAAGGGGGTAGAAAGACAAAAAAGCAAACTTTAAAAATCGTCTTTCTCTTATGTGTATCTACTGTTTGAGACTGGCTAGTGACCAAAACAGTGGAAACCACACAGCAAAGAAAGAAATGCATGAAAGTCGATGTTCTGAACATTTGGCATCCTGGCAGATCCCGGGCACCTCTGCTTCCCTCGTTGATCAGAGGAGAGGAAATGTAGAGACGATAGCTGGAGCCCCAACTGACCGCTTTTCCAGGATAATTGCTTAGGAGCAGTATTGTGGAGAGGAATTTACCCCTTTCCTCTATAAGCAAGGAGGGAGTGGTGGTGTGGAGAACAGTGTGTCTTCTTTCTAAGCACAACTTATCTATAAACAGAAGTGACAGGTATGTACACTAACTATAGATGTATTTCATTCAGTAAATAAAAATTTTAAAAATTGAAGGTATGTAGGTGCTGCGTATAGACTAAGGGTCGTCACGAAAAATCAAACATGATACGTTTGAAATACATGAGACGTGTAAAACATGTCAGCAGTTCTTGGCTTTGCTTGTTCCAGTCTGTCCAGACTGGCTTCCTTGGCCTCCCGAAGAGCGAGGGACAGAAACAGCGGACGCGCTCCAGGGGATTCCCTGCGTGCGCTCCGGGACCTCCGGACACGGATTCCCGTAGACTGAGCGTAGTGCCCCGACATCCCCACGCCCCCAGGGGTTTGTCTAGAAAATCGGCTCCGGGAAGAGCTGGGTCAGAGACCCGGAGTAAGGAAAGGAACCTGGCGCAAAGCCGAGCTGCGGGAGCAGAGCAGCTGCGGGCGGAAAACATGGAGATCCGAGCGGGGAACGTGGCAATCCGTGTTGCACCCACCTTGGGGAAACTGAGAGCAGCTTCCCGTGTTTCCGCTTTTCTCATTTGCGTCGGTAAAAAAAAAAAAAAATCCTGTCTCCACTGAGTCACGCAATTATTTCAATGGGGGGCGGGAGTTGCGCAGGGCGGTAAGGAGAATTGGAAAGAAACAGTCACGGCGTCGCATGGGCTTAGTTTTCACGATAAAAGGAGGGCTCGCTGTGTTAACGTCCAGTTGTCAAAGGACTTGCAGCGGAGCGTCAGGAGTCCGCCCAGCGCCGCCTCCAGCCTCACTGCCCCGAGCTCGCAACGCCTGCGCCCGCCGCAGAGATGCTCTCCAGCGCCCTGCTGCTCTGCGCCACCCTGGCGCTCAGCGGTGCGGGTGGGTACTTGGCGCCCCTCGCAGGGCACTGCCAGCCAAGATTTCGCTCTGACCTCCCGGAGGTCCCCCTCACTCTGAATACTCTCCGGATAGGGGAAGGCCGTAAGACTTTGAAACCAGCTTCGACTACTTTGAGTTCAAAAGAACTGGGTGGATATTCCAGCGTTGCCACTAGCTCTGATCAGCGCGGGCCAGTTACTTAACTGGTCTGGGTCTCCCTTTTCTCACCTGCTAAATAAGAACAGTGCTACTAATTTGCAAGTTGTCATTATGATAAGACAGGATCTGATAGATATATGGTGACGTGTGTGTGTGTGTACGTACTGTTATTGAGTGGAAATAATTGTATTAAATAGCCTCATTAGTGCTTTCCTGTCCCCAGGAAAACCCAGGTTATGTGTGGTTTTTTTAAAGATTTTATTGGGAAATTGGGGAGGGAACAGCGTTGGGGAATCGGGGAAGGGGAACAGACAAGTTGCTGTCCTTTTGTTCTTCAGTCTAGTTGTGGAGGACTTGGCTTCACTGGCCCATGTTGGTATTGTGATCACTGTGCTCTTCCTGGGTGAGGCAGATTGGTCACCGGCCATTGGACAGTCGCTCACAGCGCGGTTCACGGCAGCTCACACCAGCTGCTCACGCTGGCTGCTGGCCACTCACGGTAGCTTAAGGCAGCCCACAGCAGCCCAGCTCCAGGTCGAGCTGTTGTTCAGCATCTTAGCCATAGAGGGTGAGCGTCACTGGCCCATGTGGGATCCGAACCGGCGGCCATGATGCTCAGAGCTCACACTCCCAAGCCAACTCTTAATCAATGAGACACGCAGCTGGCCCCCAGGTTAGTTTTTTAAGATAAGCAAAATATTTTCAAAGTAAGCGGTTTTAACTTTGTAATTTTCCCTCAATTTTGATTAATGTACTCGATCTATTCATTGTAATTTTGACAGTGCTACTTATTTGAGCTTCTTAAAAATGCTAATTTGGACATCAAAAAAGTTACTAAGAAATAGCTTAGCAACATGATTTCCCAGATTGAATATTCTGTTATTCTTATTTAGAATAGAAAGTTGGTATTTCTACCTTATAACCATTCTGTAAGACAGGTTTTAAAAATGGTTTTCCCATGACTACCTGTATATTTCTTGAATTTATTATTGTAAACTTGACCCATGGTAAGTAAAACAAACGTTTCAAAATGAAAACACTGAAGAATGATTTATTTTTTGTCTTTACTTTTATTGTAGCAAATCCTTGCTGTTCCAACCCATGTCAAAACCGACGTGTATGCATGACTGTTGGATTTGACCAGTATAAGTGTGACTGTACCAGAACAGGATTCTAGGGTGAAAACTGTACAACACGTGTTTGCCCTTGGGTGCCCTCATTTGGAAGGGATATATATATATATATATATATATATATATATATAATCGTTTTGCAGATTTGTGTCTTATAATGGGCCCCCCTTTTTTCCCCTCTTCTTGCAGCTGAATTTCTGACAATAAAATTATCCCTGAAACCCACTCCAAACACAGTGCACTACATACTGACCCACTTCAAGGGAGTCTGGAACATTGCCAATAACATTCCCTTCCTACGAAATGCAATTATGAAGTATGTGTTGACAATGTAAGTACAGTCTCTTTCTAAGGTATTCAGCTGCCTCAAAGAAAAATGTGCTTTATAATACTCCAGATTACTAAACCTAATCCCAAAACATATTTCCAACCTTGTCAAAATGACTTTAAATATATTTTAGTGTGCCTTCTATCTTAATGGTAGAAAATATTGACATTTAAGTCTCATACAGTTTATAAAGTCCTTTCTCACAGTCAGAATTCTACTTACAGTCCTGCATACCTCTTCCAAGCTTCTTGGATAGTTATTTGAAAAATCATAATGGTGAGACCATCATGTTTTGTGTAGCATGTATATACTTTATTAGAGATATACTTTAATGAATCATTCTTTTTTAAGTAGAAGTGGCAGTTAGTCTTTGAAGTGTAATTGTTTTAAAATAGAGCATCACTGTTGGAATTCAATCATTGTTGGAATTCAATTCAACCTCTGGTGCTACCTTGCACATTTTACAATAAAAATGAACATTGATTTGCTTTGATATGGGAATGAAACATTTTTTTCCCTTGAAAATTTCAGCCAGATCACATTTGATTGACAGCCCGCCAACTTACAATGTACAGCATGGTTACAAAAGCTGGGAAGCCTTTTCTAATATCTCCTATTATACCAGAGTTCTTCCTGCTGTGGCTGACGACTGCCCGACTCCCATGGGTGTGAAAGGTGAATGAGAGGAGGCAGTTGGAGATGTACTGCAATGGGGGCTGGATTGCTACTTAGAAAATTTGACCCTAAACTATCACTTGTTGGTTAATAAATCTATAGTTTTTTCCTTGCTTATGCATATCTATGGAGATTTTTGTTTGAAAGTGTGACGCTATATGAACTATTCCATGAAAGTGAATGGGCATTTTCGTATAACATCTCAATGTTTCCAAATTTTTTTCATTAAAAATGAGTTCATACTAGTTAAACAAAATAGATAAAATTATTCAAAAAGAAGTATCTTAGAACTTTCACTTATATTTTGATCCTGGTCACAGTTGTATTTCTCCTATAACTGAGGAATGTCTTTCTAAATTGACAGTCACTATCTGCTGCCAACAGGTGGCAGGATGGCTCAGCTGATGAGAGCACGTGCTCCTAACAATAAGACTGCCTGTTTGGGGGGCCGGCAGAGTGGCTCAGTTGGTTAAGAGTTTGCATGGGAGCGTGAGCTCTGAGCAGCAGGGCCACCGGTTCAGATCTCACATGGGCCGGTGACGCGGCACCCTCTACAGCTAAGATTGTGAACAACAGCTCAACCTAGAGCTGGGCTGCCGTGTGTGGCCAGTGACAGCATAGGCTTCAGCCCCTGCTGCAGTGGGCTTCCATAAGCTACCATGTGTAGCCGGCAACCAGCGTGAGCGGCCAGCAGCCGCCGTGAGCGGCCGTCCAGAGGCCGGTGACCGATCTGCCCCACCCGGGAAGAGCGTAATGATAATACCAACACAGTCCAGTGAAGCGACGTCCTCCACAACTAGACTGAAGAATAAAAAAGGACATCAACTTGTCTGTTCCCCTTCCCCAACTCCCCAATAATATCTTAAAAAAAAAAAAAGGTTGCCTGTTCGATGGTGGGTTATGCCCACCCGCAACTAAGACTGAACTCAGCACCTTGAACTGAGCTGCCACCCGGATGGCTCAGTGGATAGTGTGTGCATTCTTAACAAGGCTGCTGTTTTGACTCCTGCATGAGATGATGGCTACGCCCACCCGCAACTAAGATTGTAACACAGCACCTAGAGCTTAGAGGCCATGAGAGAGCCAGATGGCAACCGGCGCCCTCTACAACTAAGATGAAAGAACAACTTGGCTGGTCCCCCTCCCCCAATTCCCCAATTTAAAATAAATAAATAAATAAATTACAAAGAAAAAGAACCCAGGGAGTGAGAGTTACTACATCAACATAGATTATTAATTTAGCAGAAATTAAAGAAAATCTTTGTATTATTACAGCATAGTCCTAGAAGAATGTTTTTTCTTTTCTCCAATTAATGAAATCATACATTTTAGTAAAATAAAATAGGTGAAGTACAAATTAGTTTCTATAATGACCACAAAAAAATTATAATTCTTGCCAATTAAAATCACTCACAAATGAGCACAAAGAAATAAAAGTTATTAGTTATTTTTTTGTTTGTATAAAAAGAAAACACTATAAGTCAAAGGCAAATCAGTACTTGGACAATTTGATTTAATATCTATATCGTTCAATTGAATATCAGTCTCAAATTTTGCTAAATGTTTATCAGCATGACATATTTTGATCAATGATGAAACTGAGTTTTATGCCAGGAACCTAACTTGATATATGAATATATAAATTACTGATATTTAAAATGTTTATCAGTATTAATTTTGCATCTACAGGAAAACTTCCTGAAGAAAAAGTACTGTATCAACCTAGAGAGGAAGTACTTTTAAAATTCCATCTAATCTATATTTGTAGCTTGTTCCCATTAACAGTAGTAATTTGGGACAAAAAGTAACATCAGTTGTATCCCTCCATTAAAATTTGGTAAACAGGGCCGGCCGAGTGGCGCATTGGTTAAGAGCTGGCTTGGGATGCGAGAGGGCCCCAGTTCGGATCCCACATATGAGGGCCAGTGACACCGCCCTCCACAGCTAAGATGCTGAACAACAGCTCGACCTGGAGCTGGACTGCCGTGAGTCACTGGTGATGGCGTAGGCTGCAGCCCCTGTGGCAGTGGGTTGCCATGGGCTACCATGTGTAGCCAGCAGCCAGCGTGAGCGGCCAGCAGCCAGCGTGAGCGGCCANTAGGCTGCAGCCCCTGTGGCAGTGGGTTGCCATGGGCTACCATGTGTAGCCAGCAGCCAGCGTGAGCGGCCAGCAGCCAGCGTGAGCGGCCAGCAGCCGCTGTGAGTGGCCGTCCAGTAGCCAGAGACTGATCTGCTTCGCCCGGGAAGAACGCAATGAAGGTGCCAACTTGGGCCAGTGAAGCGACGTCCTCCACAACTTGACTGAAGAACAAAACGACAGTAACTTGTCTGTTCCCCTTCCCTCGATTCCCCAGCGCTGTTCCCCTCCCGCAATTCCCCAATAAAATCTTAAAAAAAAAAAAAAAGAAACCAGTTCGTACTCCACAGTCAGGAAACCAGTGTGTTGATTCTGCTGGTTGCTTATGTTAATCCTCAACCCACACACTCAGGAAATGGGGGAAATAAGAGAAAGAGGAGGGTTTGAGGACCCCTGTGGCCCACTGTGGTGGATTTGGGTTAAAACTCCATTTTGATCAACCGACTTCCAAGACTCCACTCTGAATAAATACACGCTCTGATTTCCAGAAATTAGAACACGACCAGTTCAGTAATCCCAAAAGGTCTAGGAATTTCTTTTCCTCATCACGCAATTGCTCTGGTAATGCCCCCAGGTTGCTTTGGAGACTAAGAGAAGATACGTAATACAAACTTCGGGTGCAATGGCAGGTCCTTTCTCAGATGGCTCTGGGATGTGAATTAAATCAGGCCTGGGGAATGGATAAGGGGTGGTGACTATTATAGTGGTTCAAGTCAGACCCATAGTTTCAGTTGTGTAAATCAAATAGGGCCATTTTGGGCCTTTGGATCACATGATCGATTAGCCAAGGCTAAAAAATCCCTGTCAGACGATACTGTAAAGCTTTTCAGGGTGCTAGTTCTCTGCTTACCAGTGTATTTCTCAATGCCTTGGTAAAAAGAATCCATTTGGCTCTTACAAGGGGTGCAGTGAGACCATAATAAATCTTCTCCAACATTCCCCCTTCTAAGTCCTTGTTTCCTTTCTCTATATTGTATCAAGGCATTTTTAGCATCATCTCCAATTTAGATGAGCCACTGCTGAGTCAAAATTTCCACCAAGTAACCACATCCAGCTGCTGTTCAAGGTGACAAATTGAGACAGACTCTCTGGTATAAGTGTACCCATATTGATAATCTGACTGGATTTAAAATGATGTTCTCTCCTTCAAGATCTAACAATCTATTTCCATTGGCATTTTCCACAAATCGTCAGTATATATGATCAAAAAAGCATTCTTTCAGGACGCACTTTGTCCCCCAGAGTATGCTAGGATCTGACTCTATGTCCTGGAGACAACGGATTGTATAAAGAGCACATGGGCTGCTTTTTGCAAGGTAACTAACCCTGAAGTCGGGTTATGAAGGGGCTGGCCGCAAACATCTATGAGGTTTCTTCCATTTTAAGTGAGTCTCACTAGAGTTAAGAATTTAGGATACTGATTCATCCAAACCTTTCCAAAACTCTTACTCCAATTCTCAGAGTGCCACTCACCTGACTAGTGTCTCTCATTTAAGAAACCCAGCAAGATAGCTAACTCTGCCCACTTACAGGATCAAACTTTTCTTTTCCAGCTATCTCAGCCTTAAAGCTATAGGGGAGGCTGGAAAAGTGAACATTTCACAATTTTAGTCTCCACGTGGAGACTGACTCTCCCCCATTAGGGAAGGGACTTCACCAAGCCCAGGAAGAGGTTGTAAAGGTGAACATCTATAAAAAAGAAAAAGCAAGTGTCTACAGTTGTCTACCATGCTGTGTCACCCATGGCCATTTGATCCCTTTATTGCCACCCTTTCCCCACTCTGCAAGGATCAACCCCGCTTCTAGCCCAAGGATCCTTTCTTAGTTCTCAGGAGGAGATACGAATACTAATTTCAAAATGTGAATAAATGATAAACGTGAGTTATCCCCAAACTGCAAGCTTCTTCAAACTATTTTATGCAATAGAAGTCACTGAGACTTTAGACCACGTAGGCCAAAGAACAAAACTTGCTAAGGAGAAACATTTCCTAGGAAGTGGCATATTAATTATAAGAGCTTATACTTATATATGACATTTAGCATTACAGTGTTGTCTTTACACAGATTAAATCATATAATCTATAGCAAGGCTAAAGGAGATGAACTCCTTTATCCAATGCCATTCTAAAACTGGCAAGTGAAAGCCAGGGTCCAATTCCAGCTGACTTCAGTGCTTAAGCTTTTAGACTTGGTGGTCTACCTTTACTAAAGGAAATTATGACGTGTAAAATCAAAGTTCAATGATAAACTTTGGACCACAGGAAATGCTGTAGAAACTTCTGGAACAGAATTACAAGTGTTAACCACTGGCCTACTTTACACTGTCCACATCTGAAGCCCTCTTACCCAGTCTAGTTTGTATTCAATAATCTATGCATATACAGAAAGCACTAACTCAGCTTCATTCTTTTTCTATGGCCAGGATCTTCCTAGGACTTAAGTTTCTGACAGCAAAATCTTTGCCAACTACAACCCTTTGAAGACAATAGATAAAAAAGTGATCACTTACAACTTGAAAATCTCAATACATCTGCTAAGAATCTACTATCTTAAGTGTGCCTAATCTGTAAGGATTTTATTACATACTTTCAAAGATAATGTTGCTGTTTTAGAGATAGAAAGGACTATAGACAATACCCACCCCTTCATCTTAAAGAAGACACTGCTATTGGGGTTAAGGAAAACACTTGGCCAAGGTCACACCATATTCAGATACAGTATGTCTTAAGGCCTATTTTGTGTGATTAGTATAGCTTACTCTGGTTCTCTTCTGCTAACTGTTGGTATGTTTTTCCATCCTTTTACTTCAGTCTGTTTCTTTGAAACTAACATGTTTCTCATGGACAGTATATATATAGTCCAGC